GTAGAGCTTCCAATTGATGCCCGACTGCGCGAATCGTACAGGGTAGCCCAAGATATGCACTAGGTGCTTGGATTTACTCGTCATCATCATGTCCATCCATGTCCAGACTCCTCGCCCGGCACTCGTGTCAAGTGGAGGCCGAGATACCGCAGCTTGGAGCCAATTCAAGGTTCACTCTTAAGCATGCCAAGAAAGCGGATCGAAACTCGTTATCCCGGTGCTAGCATCTTCCCAGTAGGTTTACTTGGCGTCAAATTCCCCGTTTCGCGGATAAGAAATAGGGCTGATGTGCGCCAGAGCAGCCATGGATATAAGCTACTCGAAGGCTCCAAGAGGCATTTCATCAGTCGAGAGAATCTTATCAACTAGATGACCGGTATTCGCATCTTCATTCTACTATACCCTCTTGGAAGAAGAGTGGCCGCCATTTAGCAAATCGCGTCCTTCTACCTGGATATCGTCGGCTAGGCAGAGAATTCATGCACTCACGGAAGGCTTCATGACGAATGGTAGTTTACCCACAACATCGACAAGGCTGCAACCTGTCGAGGCGACAGATCCCCGTAGCCTTGTTATCAATACTCGGGCTAGATACAAAGATTCCTTGCTCTTGAAGAAGAGGAGAGGTCATCCGAAAGAACCTGGACAACTACTGCAGCCCGGTGCCCCCATAGCGGGTCAACCTTGAGAAGAAGGATCCCGAAGTATCAAAACGTGGCTGCTAGCATTCGACTAGACCGTGAGCAGTACACATACATGGAAAGGTCGGAGCCCACCGACTATTCCCAAAGAGACGAGGACGGTGCTGTATAGTCGCAACGATGACTATCGAATCAACAGCCGCGAAGGACGCTCGTCATATATCATATCAAAGAAGAAATATGATATATTGGCTACATGATACGCGCGTGCTGGGTACATCTCTTGGCCCACCATCGGCCGCATTACATACCTACATCTCGAGGCAATCTCACTAGTTGACCGGACTGCCGCCGCAACGATGACGGTGATGGCTCCGGTATTCTCCTTTGTGCCGCCTTTTGACTACATCCCGGCTCAAATAGGGATCGAGACTCGATTGACCGATGGTGAGCAGGGAGATGTGACTCTATGCTGGCTGCAGGTATCGTGCGTGGGGGTGTGTAGTTTCTCAACTCAGATCGGTTCATTGATGAGACCACTTTGCTATCACAGTCAATGGAATCGGCTAACCTTGATAATACAGATTAGGACGAAACCATGGATGGCTCTGCTGGGAAATATCGGCTTGTGCAAGTTGACGGGCATCTGTTGGTCCAGTACCTAGCAGGGAGGCCGCGGCTGTGCACATCTCTTCTGCAGGGAGACAACGGAGCTGGGACGTGTTCAACGCACGGATCTGCTGTAGGGTTTGTCACACACATGCAAATACAAAGATGCCCGCGGAGGCCCTTCTGCGACAGCCGAGCACTAACACTCGGCATCGAGAGTAGGACGGAGCCGATATGCGTCTCACGTAAGGGGCAGACAATAGAGACGGGGGCTCATGAAGAAAATGGGGATGAGTATGAAGATGAAGACGATGCTCATCGAGTCTCACTCAGAGCAGAGTACACAGATCGACAGAGACAATACCCCGTACAAGTAGATAGTAATTCATATGCCGTCCGATGTCGTCGTTTTGAGAGATAAGCTGTCACTCACATGGCTCTTACGACAAAGGTCATGTCCCCTCCCCACGAGTACTGTACTGACCGTCTGCTTCAGATATACAGGCGCCCTCGTGACACACATTAGACACATCATGGGATCTCTTCTTTTTTGAACCAACCAAGCACTTCGGGCTCCATTCCGGAGGAGAGGATTGGACACCGTCGATGGGGGCGGGGAGGGACGTGGTCAGAATTTGTCACCCTCTTGGTCTCCCATCTGCTTGGCACCCTCCCGGGGTACAACGATAAGAGAGTGCTTCTTGTATGAGATGGGAGGAAAGATGGTAGGATTCTCTGCGTCATTGGTACAGCCAGCCTGTAGACGCAAAGTGCATGTACGTGGTTGTACTCTATACGGCAGGTCAAGGTCACCGCAAAGCCGTAGCCAAGTCGTTCAAGGCAGAGCAGAGCGGCTATCGCCCCCATCGGCGGTAGGCAAAGGAAGGGGGCAAGAATGTCGGCCGCCGCTCGTCGGCCGTGAGAGAACACAGTACGTGAAGGATCGAGCCCGGCCGGGCTGCGCCTTTTGCGGGCTTAGAGAAGGATAACGCCGACGTCCAAAGGCTCCTCTTCCAAGCTTCAATTCTCTCCCCCCATGTTAAGACTTGGCATTGTCGGCCTTTGGAACTGAAAGCGCGAACCAATACTCGTCCAATACGGACTATGTACCAGGATATGAGGAGGGGGTGCGGGAGCGGCTCGAGCCTGAGAGAGCACGTAATGCCACGACTACCTGCGCGAGCAAAGTACCTGCTACCTGGTCCAGAGTACTACTGTACCTCCATCGTGCGTCCGTAGGCTGGGGGGCCTTTCCGGTGAGGCGTGGAGCGCGCGCGATCTTTTCGTCGTGATCGTGGGCTCGTGGCGGTAGACAGGCCTGTGCGATCCTTGCCGCGCTGCGGATGACGACAAGGGACCCCCAATTGCTCTACTGTAGCGCAGGTCGCGGGTCGATGTTGGGACCAGGCCATTGGTATCCGGCTGTGTATGATGACTTCCGCATCGTGCTGGCAGGGGTGGGATTGAAGGCAGATGATCGCAGGGGGTGTGTCAATGTAGTTGAGCAGGGGGGGGGGGGGGGGTGGTTTATTGAGGAGCCGGCAGTCATTGAAGTCTCTACTCGTACGTCCATCTCGCTGCCTGTGGGTACTATGTCCTCCCTTCAGTTGAAGGGAGAGAAGAGAGTGAGTGAGTGTGGGAAGCCCCCAGTGAGAAAAAGGGAAATACGACTCTCACCATGACTAGTCATGTCTTGCCCTACAGCGGCCTCTGCCGCGTCCGAGTGAGACACGGAACTGTCAAACAAGGCCAGCGCTTGTCTCAGAGAGCCCACTGACACTTGTCTGGTCCGCAATACAGTACGGACGGCGGCCGTAAGAAGGGAGGGCAAAGGCACGCCGTAAATGGCGAGACGAGTCGGCCCTGGGCATCCCAATTGGGCTCGTGAGCATCCATCTCTGGAAATCCGGCCAGCCACTAGACCCGAGGCAGGTTGTGAGTACTTTTTGCTGCAAGCCTTTCTGCTGTCTTTGGATCTGTGTGGTGTCTCGTCCCCTTTGCCACGGCTTGATGAGAGACAGGACGGTGTCAATCTTGCATGCTGTGAAGAACATCTGGCGGTGAATGCGATCCGGAGACCTCCGTGCTGCCCCGGAGCGTTTCTTGACGGGCAGGCAGGCAAGAATCACATACATGGTGTGATATCGACGAACCATTTCGCATGTATGTACCCATGTCTACCTACAGTACAAAGGGACTGGACGAATCGAACGCTACAGCAGGAATGCTTGTACGACCTTCGGCCGCCGCCAAGGGAGCGAGTGGTGGCCATGAAATTACATCGACTAATAGCCCTAGTGTAATAATTGCCAGTCCTAGTCTCACGGGGCTTTTTCGCCTTGGTGGCTCTGATGCTTCTCGCAATGTGAGGGATGGGGAGGGGGAATAAGCGAAAAGCGGCTCGCGCAGTTATTTCCTCCGCAATAAGCAATCGGCGACGCTAAACTTCCTAGTTGGATCGTTCCGACGCCATCCCATCTGTTTGCTGGGAAGGGGGGAGAAAGGTGCATCCTGGAGATGAATAATGGAGCACCCCGTATCTCCTTCTAAGCCGGCAAGGATGCTTGAGAAGATTGGACTTCGCGTATCCGTTGAGAAGCCTGCAAAAAAGGAAGGGCAGAAAACTCTCCGTGCTTGTAGGGTGACGTCTTAACTCGGTGAAGCTGAATAGGAGCCTCGCTATTTCAGCTGGGGAGCTCTCCCGAGCTCCTAGGGTCCCTGTTCCGCCTCAAGCGCGTCTGGGTCAAAGTCCGATCTAGAATTGGATGCTTGCTGACATTATTCATGGTGAGAGTACATGTGAACAAGGTTTCCGAAAAGCAGTCGTAAGAAAGCATCGCCTAGAGCCATGCCACGTCAGGTAAAGGCAGGGAGAGGGCATGTAGGGCGTCTTGGCCTAGGGGCAACGGCAACTCCATAGGAGCTTTCGTTTACCGCTGGTCACAGAGGATTCATGTTACATGCTGACAAGATTCAATGGGCCTCGGCCATGGCGAAATTGATTGGGGGTGCTTGATTGTATCACCTCTTTTCGGGGGATGAGAGGTGCGGGCTGGGCCAAGATTCGACCGTGAATCTTGGTGGCGTTCTTTGTGTTAGTCGTTGTGCTACGTGGCTTGACTTGGTTCATTCGATAGCCACGGAGCCAAGGTTAAGAAGTTGCAAAGTTACATGTAAGCGACAGCCGGGGAAACTGAAGAGCGGTTTTTAAAGTGACCAATTGAGTGTTGCTTCATCAACTCCATTGGTATTGACATAGGTCTTGTTGGGCAATGTGTCTTCTCGGCAAATATGAGAGACTTGCTAGTGGTCAAGACTGGCTAATTTTCCTCAACGACGACAGAGTGTGAATCTGGTGGTAATTTACACAAACTTCTGTTGCAGTTCCAGATAGCCAACTAGATGCAGCTGGAAGTTATCAAATTGGCCCAAAAAGGATTGCAACATATGGTTGACAGTGGGCCTGCGTGTAACGATATATGCGATTCATGGAAAGATATACCACACTAACCCAGATCATATCGTTAAAAGGTTTTAGCTATTTATTCGTAAGCAAAAGATCACAGAGACTTGATGTCAGGGTTAGATCAATATATACTGGGAATTTAGTTACAAAGTTCTCCGGTGTCTTCACTACTACTCGGTAACATTTAGTAATTGTAAACTGTATTCATTAATTTGTTTCATACGCTTTTTGTACAACAACCTCAACATCCAAATACACAACCCATGAAGAACTCTCGCTTCAAGCTAAGTTGCTACAACCAGTCCTTCCTGCAAACCGCGAATGGCTACCATAGCTCCCCAAGCACCTGGATCAGGTGGCAGCTCCTTGCTCTCGTTCGACACGCCGACATAGGTTGCTCTACCCAATCTAGGCCTCATCGTCTTGGTGGCGTCTGCCCCATCCTCAGCCGCCTTGACGCCGCTATTGAAGCCAGACTCTCCCATGACCGCAGCAAAGGGGATGAGGGTATCCATGACGGTACGATCTCCAACCTTGGCTGGGGTGTATCGGCGGAGGTTTTCGAGAGCAGTTCCAAGAGCGGCGCCCCAGAGTGCGACTGGGTTCTGGGCCAGGCCAATGTTCTTCTCAACAGCTGCGCGCAAGGAGACGAAGAAGATGCCCAGGATGCCGCCCAAAGTACCGCCCATCTTGCTCTCCACGATGTCTTCGAGCTCTAGGAGAACCTTGACGACTGATCCGGCCTTGGCCAATCCAGAGTCGAGTGCCGTGAGAAGGGATGTGGCACCGGTCTTGAGCGTCTCTCCACAGTCTCCGTCGCCCATTACGGTATCCCACTTGGTCAGGTCGGGCTCGGCCTTGATCAGAGCTTCACAGGCGTTTCGAAGCATGCTTTCTAGAAGAACGGGATTGATGGCCAAGTCCCTTCGCTCATCGACCGTCTTGATCTCCTCCTTTGGCGGCTGGACGAGTTGTTGCTGCCGAGTGCGTCGTTGAGCTTGTGACCCAGCCATGGATTCCCAGAACGTAGTTGTCCTGACGTCAAAGAAGGACTTGATCTCTTCGACAGAGTAGCTGCAGTTCTTTGCTGCCGCCGTGACGTTGATGAAGGATACGGAAAATGCAGGGGCGTTGAGAGATGTTTCGAGAAACCCGGCGCATATCCGAACAGGCTCAATCTTCCAATCTCTTGACAACTGCTCCAAGAGCTCGTCCACCAGTGCACCCATCTCCAAATGGGACATGCCGCCAAAGTTGCTGACGAGCAGCACGACTTCATCTCCAGGGGCAAAGTTAACGTAACCGCGCTCAGGATCCTTTTCATCTAGACAGTGCCGTAGGATTTGTCCGACAAGTTCGGACGCTGATGGCGCGGGTGATAGCTTCTTATAGCCGGGTTCGTTGTGAGGGCCTGTGCCGAGCTCAACCTCGTTCTCCTGCAGCATGCCGTGCTCTGTACGACCGGGAACATGGCAGTGGTCCAAGGTTGCTGCAATCGACACAATCTGCTGCGAAAATGCCACGCCAAGGTTGTAAACTTCATCAAGAGAACCTCCAGCCCCAGCAGCGCCACCCATGACCTTGAGGACGCCGATCTGGCCGGCCAAGCCTCTGCGGCCAACCATGCTTCCGTTTTTGCCAACAGAAACATCGTCACCGCAAATAATGGTTCGGCAGTTGTGGCCCTTGGCATTGGCTTTTTCGTTGGCCAGTCCAAAATGCAAGCAATCACCAGTGTAGTTTGTAATGACTAGAATGGTGCCTGTGTCACTGGGAACAGCGTCAACTGCTGCAACGATTTGTTTCGTGCTGGGGCTGGCAAAGATGTCTCCTTGAACAGAAGCTGTGAGCATGTTCTTGCCTACATAGCCGGTCCATGCTGGTTCGTGTCCGGAACCGCCTCCACTGATAAGGACCACCTTGGCCTTGTCATAGGTAGTGTCGTATACCACTCTGTTAGTTTCATCTAAACTCAGAGATGGGTTATAAGTGATGATGCCTCTCAGAGCCTTGTTGACGAGACCGTCGGCTGAATTGAAAAGATGCCTATTTGACATTGTGTCGACGTTGTGCTAGAATTCTAGGGGGGGTTGAGCGTGCCGTCGTCCGATTGGAACACAGCAAGGACATGGGCAAAAGGCAGAGGATATAAGCAGAATGCAGGCCACGAGGACCACCACACTCCTACATCGGAGCTACGGAAGGACGAAAAAAGACTTCCACATCTTCGTGATCTCACCCAAGCACCTGTACCACCCACAATCCAGCATCTTTGTGGCCAAGGAGGTCGAGAACCATGATTTTGACGTTACCCCGTAACTGCTCCGCCTCCACACCAACAAGCTCGACAGCAAAACAGCAATATAAAAATACACCTTCTCCGCATTTTTACGTTTCTTCTCCACTGCTGTAGACCCTGAAATCCAGAGCTATCGAGTTGGCCCTGCGTGTTCAAGCTTCCCCGTTTGCCTCCCCCGTCTGACCCCAATCGGATTTCCTAATCGGGAAATACCGAACATGTTAGCCACGGAGAGCTGATGTTGTTCGACTTGAGGCCGCAACCCCGCAAATTACAGCAGTCTGTATGTATGAATCAAAGATGTAAATTCATGGAATAGGAAACTCGGATGTGATGGCGGATTAGTTGGTGTGGGGTTGCTGGGTGAGCAAAGGCGATGTCAGTTGGCCGACTCTCGGATCCCGCTTGAAGCCATAAAGACATGGATGAAGCTCGTTTTCTTTGAGCAGTACTGAGATGACTGGAGTTTGCGAGTCTTGAGGGGAAAAAACGAATTTCATTCTCTCTGATTACTTTCATTTTTGTCTCTTAAGTTCGACGCCGATTCACAATGGCACCAAAATGGAGGATCGCCATGGGCTGCGATGTAAGTGCACCTGTTTTACACGATCGCTCCTCCAACCAAGATGAGATGAATTATTGTTCATGAGAAAACATTACAATCATCTATCTCATGGATATGATCATACTTTCATTTTAAGAAGAATCAGCGCCCCAATCTAACACCAATAACCATCCACATAGGACGCTGGCGTCAGCTACAAAAACACAATCAAAAAGGACTTTGAAGTCGACGCCCGCGTAGGCGAAGTCATCGACGTAGGATCCGACGAAGTTTCCGACAAGACACCTTATCCTCTCCGGGCAGCCGCCGCCGCTCGCCTCGTCGCCGAGGGCAAAGCTGATCGCGCGCTGCTCATCTGCGGTACCGGCCTGGGCGTCGCCATCTCGGCCAACAAGGTCAAGGGAATTCGAGCGGTCACGGCACACGACAGCTTCAGTGTCGAGCGCAGCGTCAAGAGCAATAATGCACAAGTATTATGTATGGGGGAGCGAGTCGTTGGGTTGGAAGTCGCGAGGAGGCTGGCTACGGAGTGGCTGGACTACGAGTTTGATCCGTTGAGCGCGAGTGCCAAGAAGGTGGAGGAGATTGGACAGCTGGAAGTGTAATAATGAAAAGTGATTAATTGTGTAATTCTGTTTCATCTAATTGGTGCCTAACAAGGGGCAGATGTGTGTAAGAGACGCGAGGTTCGGTAGAAAGTAAACTGGAATACTGGATGTGGCAACGCAACGCATGCAATGCACACGCAGGGACAATCCGAGCCTGGAAAACATTAACTCGTTTCAGCAAAGGCACAAAACACTAACTGATTTTGTGGCGTTAGCAGATACCAAGTATAACTGGATGCTGTGGATAAAGAAGGAGAAATGAGCAAGTCTCGCGGGCATGGCTGCTTTGGTGTTTCCGACCAACTGTTCATGGGACCGGCCAGTTTGGGCGAATCGGGATCTTGTAAGTGGGAGTAAGAAAAGTTCGAGTCGTATCCTCGTATGCATTCTTGCTGGTGTAAGCACACCCGCAACCGGAGATGATGCCAAATAGCCGCCGCCTTACCGGCATCCCAGAAGTGGAATGGGCGGGACGGAGCCGGTTGCGCGGGGGAAGTTTTGCTTGACCCGCTCGGTGAGGCGGCGTGGATGGAATGGAATAGCTTGGATCTCAGGAGCTTGGCTCTGGAATTGTTTGCTTCTGCTGCAGCTGTTGTTGCCATTGTTGTTGTTGTTGTTGTTGCTGCTGTTGTCTCTAGATATTGTTGTATCTACCTAACCATCACCACTTTGACAGTCGAGACTCGTGCATCAGCAAGTCCGTTACAATGCCCAATCGCACGCCCAGGCGCCGCCTCGTCGGCCTCTCTACCAAAATGTATTTTTCTCTCCAGCGAACAAGAGACTTTACGGATAGCTTCATCTCTACGCTAGCAGCTGTGCCGCAAGAACTCTTATCCAACATCGACGTCTTCATTATCCCCGACTTCATCTCCCTCACCAACACAATCGCGCAATTAGAATCAAGCCATGTCCCCGTATGGACCGGCGCTCAAGATTGCCATTGGGAAGACGAGGGAGCTTTTACCGGTGAAGTCAGTCCCTCAGTGTTAAGCAGCGCCGGCGTCAGGCTCGTGGAAGTCGGGCATGCGGAGCGAAGGAGGATTTTCGGTGAAGATGATGCCGTGGTTGCGAAGAAGACTGCGGCAGTGAGTCGCAATGGCATGATACCGCTGGTGTGTATCGGAGAGAGGAATCATGGCGACGTTGATGCTGCCGTCGATGAGTGCCGCGTGCAAGTTGACGCCATCATGAGCTCTGTAGCCGATGAAGCGGAGGTTTTCCTGGCGTATGAACCTGTTTGGGCAATTGGAGCCAGCCAGCCGGCTGGGGAGAAGCACATTCTGGATGTCGTTTCTGGGATTCGAGACTTGGATTCCGTCAAGAAGAGGACGGGGACAACGAGAGTGCTGTATGGAGGCAGTGCAGGACCAGGGCTCTACGAGAAGTTGAAGTCCGGGCTGGACGGGTTGTTTCTGGGCCGATTCGGACATGACCCGCAGCAGTTTATCAAGACGATACGGGAAGTAGCTGAGGCATGACGCTGAGGGAATGGATTGTGCATCGTTATGGATGGCTGCAAGTTATGATTACAAGCTGAACATCATACAATCCATTATTCGAAGCTGGGCCATGGAGTGAGGATAAGCTTGGGTCGTGAGAGCTAAACAAAAATGACATCAACCATGTTTGCAGAGTCTGAGCTCAACAACTTGGCAAAAACATTCAGTTATTCTAGCGCCCGTCTCTTGAATCCTTCATAACAACCCCATCCATTCGGTTCAGGGTTAGGGCATTCCTCAGAATAAACAATACGAAACCCTTCAACCCACATATTCCCATATCAGAATCTCACTTCCCGCATCAATCCCCAATACAAGCAACATGCCACGATACGATAACACAAAATTCTCTCAATCGCTAAACCGGGTCGTGACGGGCCAAGCCCGGATACCCCCGGCCCATTCCCGCCCGGTTGACGTCGTGAACAGGAAGCCGACATCGCCGTCACTATGATATTATCGAGAGCCGATCGACTGTCATTTACCCCTCCTTTGAGGCAAGGTTAAAAAAAAGCGAGTATAAATTGAGGGTTGAAAATGGCGCAGACCTCGAGCTCTTTTTTCCCTCTTCTCATTACACAACACATCGTTTCTCGATAAACAATCGAACAGCATATTCAATTGAAAATCAAAAGTATTCAGTGATTTAATTCACAGTTTGTCATTGACACAAGCCCAATTGAATCGTCCCATGCATCTAACCATGGCCAGGCACACTCTTACATCACTCGGTACACCTCGTCCAGTCGCCATGGCGTCTTTCGGTGGTAGTCCGTCCAGACGGGATCATGTCTCTTCAGGTAATGTGTATCGCATGAGCCGGTGCCCGCTCTCTCCTTGAATTCACCAACAAGTCTCTCATGTTGCTCTCTCTGTCTACCACTTATAAGAAAGTTTTTTTTTACTTCCAAGAGTAGGTAGATGGAAGAGAGACGTGCTGAGGCTGGTGAGTGCGAGGAGGGAGCGCGGCTGAGAATATACGGCCCTGAACTTGATCTGGATAATACCAGCGAAAGGATCATGCTTGTCCCCCTTACTATCCTGTCCAGGTTTCCTAACCCTCGTAGGTCCATCATGAGTCCTCCCGCCGCCGTCTCGCCCACCCAGCGCACTGCTGAGCTTGTGACGCCCGTCTCCAAGCTGGCCGTTGCTCAGAACCAGAACCAAGGCCCCCTGGCCGAGACCGTCTCCGAGATGCACGGTCAATGGGACTCGTTCACCTTTGCCCCCATCCGCGAGTCTCAGGTCTCGCGCGCCATGACTCGCCGCTACTTCGAAGACCTCGACCGCTATGCCGAGTCCGACATTGTCATCATCGGCGCCGGATCCTGCGGTCTCAGCACCGCGTACGTTCTCGGCACGCAGCGTCCGGACCTCAAGATCGCCATCATCGAGGCCTCCGTCTCGCCTGGTGGAGGTGCCTGGCTGGGAGGCCAGCTCTTCTCCGCCATGGTGATGCGCAAGCCGGCCGATGCTTTCCTCCGCGAGATTGGCGTCCCGTACGAGGACGAGGGCAACTACGTCGTCGTCAAGCACGCGGCGCTCTTCACCTCGACCATCATGGCCAAGGTGCTGCAGCTGCCCAACGTCAAGCTCTTCAACGCCACCTGCGTCGAGGATCTCATCACTCGCCCTTCTGCCGAGGGAGTGCGCATTGCTGGTGTTGTGACCAACTGGACTCTTGTCTCGATGCATCACGATGACCAGTCTTGCATGGACCCCAACACCATCAATGCTCCCCTTGTCATCTCCACCACTGGCCACGATGGCCCCATGGGTGCCTTTTGCGTCAAGCGCCTTGTCAGCATGGGCCGTATCGAGAAGCTGGGCGGCATGCGCGGCCTCGATATGAGCAGGGCCGAAGACGCCATTGTCAAGAACACTCGTGAGGTTGTTCCCGGCCTCATCGTCGGAGGCATGGAGCTCTCTGAGATTGATGGAGCCAACCGTATGGGTATGTTGAAATATCATAAAGGACATCTAGTCTGTTGAAGAGATTGACTAACATGGTGATGTATAGGTCCTACCTTTGGTGCTATGGCTCTCAGCGGTGTCAAGGCCGCTGAAGAGGCTCTCAAGGTCTTTGAGACTCGTCGCAAGGAAAACGCCATCTAAATGTGATTCATGGGACACGCACCACCAACCTCGTCATTCATTTGATACTAGTTCTTTGTGTGACTGGTCGCTCATTTGATGGAAACAAGTAAAATCTGAAAAAGGAAAAAAAAATTGTTCATTTGTTCCGCTGCCAACCAGATTGAATACAAATTGCAGCTATACTCGCATCTCTCTACCAACCCTAGTCTCATACTTGTGACCGTGTCTTTCCATAAACAAGACATTAATTATATCATGCGTGCTAGTTTAAACGTAAAAGCTCCATCATCCTCCCCCAAAAAACGCCAGAGGCCCATCGTGTGTATGCCTGTAACCCCAAACTGCATCTCTATATTGAAAATTCGTCAATAACGCTCCTCGCCTGAGTAAACTCCCTGTCTACCTCGACAACCGGCATCTTGAACCCAAATCCTTCCGGTCCGCCCACCTTGATGCCCTTTTCGCTCTTCCAGAGGGGATGCGCAGGCAGAGCAATGACATTGACGTGCAAGCCATAGCGCAGATCTTGCGAACCGATTGCTTCGCCGTCCTGTCCCAAAATCGAAATGAGGTCTGGAACTGTGCATACAACCTCTTGTGTCGCTTCGGACCCCTCGGAATCAGTAAGAGCGGCGTAAAGATACTCGTTTTGAAACGGAATAGTCATATGTCGGCCGTTCGATGCTGTTTGCTGTTTACTAACGGCCAGTGCATCGCGCTCCTCGTCGTCGAGAGGCGCAATGATGACGGCTCCCATGGTGTAGCCTCCACCGAGATGGCGACGCACATCGACAATTTTGCCGCTGAAGAGTAGCTTTCCAGCACTTTCAGTGAACTGTTGTTTTCTAATGTCAGTATGATTGGAAAGTGGAAAATGGAAAAAGGGTGGACGAAAGGGGGGCATTTCAACTCACAATGGCATCGATATAGCTCGTCTTCCGCCTTCTTGCCTGGTGAATGGCACGGCCCAAATACCACGTCTGAGACAAAGTGTTCGGAATTCCGTACTGCTTGACAATCGACCCGGAGAGCGGAGTAGAGCAGGCTGCGCAGCTCAATCCAAGTTCGATGGCTGTTGTTCGCAGTATCGTCTCCAGCCTCTCAGGTGTATCGGTGCTCTATCAGGTGGTTGAAAGTCAGCCGCAAAGAATTCTCACGCATGTAAAAATCTCCGAAAGAAGTGCAAGCCAACGTACCATGACAACGCTAACATTGTTGCGAGCATCTGTGAGGACACAGGGGACCAACGGGACGCCGTATACACTAAAGGTGACTGCAATCGATTTCGTTAGCCATTCGTAAATCAGTAAATAGAGAGTTTTCGTCTGCTACTCACCATGATACATTGTAGGATATGCTCGGCCCATTGCATCGCCGTCCACGATGGGGACGTCGAAGTGGGCGCTTGTGGGAAACGACGATAGTCCGTTACCACCACCGCTATTTACGCGTCAGTCACATTTTTGAAAGTTGTAGACATGCCCTTCTTCAACTTACATCTCATCCGGAAGCAGTGCATCGATGGACTTTCCTACGATCCTAGCTGCTGCCTCAATGCCGCTGGGGATCTCGTTGCCACCAGATAATCGCTCATTGATTACGCTCGGGCTGCCGTACCATGAACCAAAGCAAACAGAATCGGTGTCTTTCAACGCCGCCGGGGAAATGATCCTCATCTTACCCTGGCCCCCGTTCCGTAGTGCACGCAAGCCCTTGAGAAATTCATAGTGAGTAGGTCCGCCGCCACCAGTACCGAGAACGCCGCATCCCGTCGACATGAGTTCCAGATCGACTTCAGAGACATACCAGACACCATCCCGCACGTCTGGGCGGTATGTCTCCAAGTCCACGTATAGAGATGGCTTCGTAGTGGGCTCGAGGGCATTCGGTACGCTGACCTTGTCCCCTTCGACATCCTCCTCCTCCTTGTAGTCTGGATCTCCGCCAAGTGGCGGAGTAGGGGGCGGAGTCGGCTCGTCAGGGACAGCAAGCTTTCCCACTGCGCGGACCTGAATTCTGATGGTGGTTTGGGACATGTACTGCAGAGGCATCTTGTTTACCTCAACGATGCGCACGTCGTCGGGAGACGCCCCTTTCTCGACTGCCAGGCTGATGGCTCGCGCGCATGCTGCATCAAGAACGTCTTTTTCTTTCTTGTCTCCGAGGATTTCCACAGTGTCGACCTCGCCAGAGACTTTGGCGATGGCAGCTCCAACGGCGTTGGCAGCCCCATGATGAATCGGATGGATACACCTATCAACTCCTGCCAGCTCTTCCGTCACCAGAAGAGCGCCACCACCGACAAGTAGTACATGGACCGGCGCGGATGACACCTTCATCTGGTCAATTACTCTTTCTAGCTTCCTCTTGATCTCCATACGGGCAAGATTGATGGTTTGCTCCGGAACATCCTTGATGAGAGATGCATCTCCAAGATCCGCCTTGCCGAGACCAACCACGACATCTGTCGCCGTCAGTGTGGAACCGCCAAAGACTTTGGCTTGCTTCTTGAGGAAGTGTCCAACAGAGCCGGGACCAACGCGGACCGTGCCGTTTTCTTCAACCTCGACCTTGCTCCCGCCTCCCAACCCGATAGACACAACCTCTGGCATGGAAAAGGCCGTCCGGACAGCCCCGATTTCGACGAACCCGGGGGCTTGCCGTGGAAAGCCGGAGGGCAGGAGGGCGCACACGTCGGTTGTAGTGCCACCAATATCCACCACGAGGACCTGAGGCTCGACTGCGGCGTTGGGAGTGTCGTTCGAGGCTGGTGCAGACTTGCTATCGAGACCGGCGAGAAACGCAGCGCCAGTCATGCTGTTCGTGGGGCCGCTAGCAAACGTCTTGATGGGATACTCGGCGGCCGTTTCGACGTCGATCAGAGTGCCGTCGTTTTGGGAGAGGAACAGGGGGCACGTCAGCCGCAAGCTGGCCATGGCACGCTTAAAGCCATGCTTAACCTTCTCGCCCGTCCTTAGAATGGCGGCGTTGAGGATTGTTGCGTTTTCTCTTTCGAGAAGGCCGGTAGGTCCGATGTCGTGGGAGCAAACTACGCGTAGCTCAGGGGCAGCATCGAGAATTATGCGCCTGCACCGCTCTTCGTGGATGCCATGGTGATCAAGCGGTGAGAAAATGCCAACAAGAGCAACGGCACCGATGCCAGCGGCAACGACTGATTTTACGGCCTCACGGATTTGCTCTGGATTCAAAGGGGCAATCTCTCGTCCATCCATCTCCAGCCCTCCATCCAAGTAGTGGACACCTCCATCGAGAATCCCGCGTAGACCGAGTGGGAAATCCGAAAAGGGGGGGATCTGCTTTGTGAAGGGGCCGCACAACCGGAAAACGGCGACTCGGTCCAACCTCCTCGCATCTGCCTCGATGAGAGAGTTGATAAAATGTGTCGTTCCGATTGTGACGCTGAGGATGCGGCTCTTCTCAGCCTTTGAGCGTGTAAGCACCTCTCTGATGGCGGCTTCTATGCCGCTTGTGATGTCAGGAGTCGTCGTGGCCTTGTACGATGCCAGGACGCCGCGTCCAGGTTCGTCAAGGGCCTTGATATCCAGAATAGCGGCGTCGGTGTTGGTTCCGCCAACATCGACACCGATGCGATATAGAGACATGACGCCCAAAGGAAAATCAAATTGCAAAGAGAGTGAAGAAACCAGAGAGCGAAAGGGGGGAAGGAGGACAAAGATTTGAATTTTTTTCTCTATTTCCCCGTAGAAATCCGGATACCCAAAAAGACACTTTCAACAAGGGGAAGGGGAAAATAAATCCGAAGGTTCTCTGCAAGCTAAAGGCCAGAAGTGAACAAGACGGCGTGAGGGGCTCATGCTGGAAGCAATTTGGGGGCGCCGGTTGCAAGTTAGTGCGGTTACGACCTCTTTTTTTTCTTCTTCGAGATGACAAGTTCAGAATGGAGCAAGAAGCGCAACGGCGAAGTTTCGCTCAACGTCTAGAGATGGAGTCGCCGGCGGACAAACCCAGTAGAACTCGTCGCCTATGTGGTGGAGATGATCGGCTTGTGGGGGACGAAGATGGCCGTTACGAGAGAGCAACAACAGGAGCATATGATTGATTGCACCTCACAATGATTCGAAACACGGCCAACTCTGAATCTGGCCCCCAGCTCAGGGCAAGGCTAAAACATTCCGGCTGCCGCTGGCCCTGCAACCGCCGGACGGGTATGTGGACATGTTGCCGTCTCACCTCACGACACATGGCCATTTAATCATGGCCACCGTGCGCCCTTTGAGCGTCACACCACCTACGGCAGAGGGCCAGAGTGTAGCATCGGGGAAAACTCATGTCGGCCAAATAAGTTGGCCGATGGCGCCGCTAGAGGGTTCGCCGATCACTGTGTTGTCAGAAACAACAAGCCAGCGGACTGAGAGAGATGCTGTCTGAGACGAGCAGAAGCTGCACAGAAGAAATAGAACACAGGATCGAACCCAGAAGAGGCCTTCCAAACGAAGCAGCGCCCTACCAGGCAAAACTCATCCGAGGCGAATTGGGCGAAGGGAGGGGGGTGTCAAGTTGAGCCGAAATAAGCAATGCAACCACATGCACGCCCAGCTGCATTGCATTTATTGATCTCACACCCCTTTGAAACACCAGAAATTCACCATCTCGAATGTCTTTTGCGGAACGATCCCCGGATCAATGGGCTGTCAACGAAATGTTGCGCATAAATGGCTCGACCAGGGCAGCTCATCAGGCCAAACTGCGGGGAGAGTTGTCGGCCGGCCCCGATCTTGAATCTGGGAGACCGTCTTCCATTGTTTGCGACGCCCGTAGCAGTGAGCCCGCGATGACCAAGGACGGAAAGCAATTGAATTGCTTTTCGATAACACAAGAGACTAGCAACCAACTTGGTCAAGGGTGGGCGATTGGCATTCTGCCTCTGCTGTGAGCTAGCAAGGCGGCGCTATTGCTGCTCCGTTCATGTACGTTGGCTGGAGCAGTTTTCCCAAAGCGAGTTTGGCTTACCGTCCCTGGACCAACAACACTCGACCCCGGCTTGGGCTGACTCGACTCGAGGTCGAAAAGCTAAAAACTTGCTGGACCGCTCCAAGTCCCCTTTTCTCCATTTCAACCTCCACAAGGGCTGTTTTGTTTCTCGCGGCCGGCACCAGTCAATCGCTAGCCAGGCAAGTTCGAGGTTTGAGAAGCTTGGACGGCTCTTCCCGGTCGAGCCGCTTCCGCTGCCGGGCAGATCTTGCAAAAGTGAGGCCTCGCTTGCGATCCCTTTTCCCGGTGTCTCGCCCCACTCGTGTCACGGTTCAGCACCTGGCACAAGGGGTTTGTTTCGCTTGGCTGTCTTGTCTGTTGAAGACTCTGCTCGAGGTCCAACAGATTGTTGCTGTTGGGTATTACCTACTTGCACAGCGTCGCGTACTCCAGTTGTGAGTTGTGACAACGGGCCCCTGTCCGAGCGTCTAATCTGTGCTGTCTTCGAGTCGGAGGTACGCCGTAGCGTTTGTCTGGCACGCGTCCACCTGAACGCGACAATGGGGTTGGCTCAGCTCGTTGAGCGCGCAAAGCTCCCTTATGTCTCACAATGGATTGTAAGTCATTTGTGCCAAGGCTGCAATCATTGTCTCCGTCCAACGCTCTCTTGATCCCAGCGGTGTGATGAGCGATGCAACTGGCTAACCAGAGACTTGTTCCGCCTGTGTCACAGAACGAGGATATTCGACCTGTGGAATCCGCCAGGCGAACATGGGGCTTCTGGACATTTCACAATTACTGTGAGTCGCGCGCCCGGTTGGGCGAAACAATGAGAGCTGTTACTGACGAGACGCTATGACTCTTTCGTTGGTTTCCAGGGTTGCTGATCAATTGTAACATTGCAACCTTCCTGACAGGGAGTGCGCTCATCCCGTTGGGCCTGAACTGGTGGCAGGCCATTATTGGTACCATCACTATCCCGATATGACAGATGCAGTTGCGTCGATTGGCTGACAGGTTGTCGCAGCTATTGTTGTTGGAAACATTCTTGCCACCACCGCCATTGTCATCAGCTCGCTTGCGGGTGCCTATTACCATGGTGAGTTTGCGTTCCTGGTGACAACCCTAGAGCAAAACCATGCTGAAAATCACCTTTCCCAGTTGGCTTCTCCGTCTACAGTCGTGCGGTCTGGGGCATGTGGGGATCCCAGTTTGCCATTTGGAACCGGATATTCTTGTGTCTTGGTATGACCCTCATCTTTTCGTATAACATGCGGTGTCTTTGTGCTAATCATTGGCTTGTGCAGTTTGGTTCGTCGAATGAAGATTCTGAATGATGGTTTCACCCAACAGTCGTTGCTGATAATAGTGTTTCCACAGGTACGGATTCCAGTCGTGGGTTGGCGGCCAGTGCTTTGAGCTCATCCTGCTCTCGTGGGATCCCAAATACGAGTCCCGCATCCCCAACCACATGCCTGAGTCGACGGGCATGACGACGGCCCAGTTTGTGTCTTACATCATCTTCTTCGTCATCAGTCTCCCGTTTGTGTGGATCAAGCCGCATCGTCTGCAGAAGTTCTTCTATTTCGCTTGCGTCGTGACCATGATCTTCTTCGTCGTCCTCCTGATCTGGGCCCTGGCGACCATGGGCAGTGCGGGCTTTGGCGACACCCTGGACTCGGGAACCACCCTTCCCAACACGGGCGGGCCAGGGAGTGTCGCCTGGCTGATGGTGTATGGCATCATGTCGACGATTGGCTCCATTGCTGCCGGCATCTTGAACCAGAACGACTTTGCGCGTCTGTCGAGGAAGCCGATGGACGCCGTCTGGGGCCAGCTTCTCCCATACGGCCTCTACAGCATCTTCACCTCCGTCATCGGCATCCTCGTCGTCGCGGCCACGCAGAAGCGATTCGACGGCGAGGCCGTCTGGAACCCGCCAACCATCTTTGTTCGCCTATTGGAGAAGGACAACAGCCCCGGCACGCGCGCCGCGCTATTCTTCGCCGGCGTTGCCCTGTGCATCTCCCAAATTGGCAGCAATGTCCCCGGAAATGCCCTGGCTGGCGGCATCGATCTGTCGTCCGTGTTCCCCCGGTACATCAACATTCGCAGGGGTGCCTACATCACGGTTCTCCTCAGCCCGGTAGTCAACCCCTGGCAGCTGGTCAACACGGCCACGACGTTCCTGTCGGTGCTGTCCAGCTACGGCGTCTTCCTCGCGCCCATGACGGGCATGATGTTTGCCAACTATGTTGTGGTGAATAAGCGAAAGGTCAAGGTGGACGACTTGTACCACGGCCACGGCGGCAGCATCTACTGGTACAAGTACGGCGTCAATTTCCGCGCCCCCATTGCGGTAAGTCAACATGGAGTTTCTTGGTGTCAAGTAGTTGTGAGAGGAGAATGTTTAGTAGAGTTCAACGTGCTGACTTTGTCGGTTCCAGTGGGCGGTGGGAGTTGCTCCAACCCTGCCTGGCTTTATCGCGGCCGTGAATCTATCCGTGTCGCTGCCCGAGGGCATGACGGAGCTCTACTACATCAACTACCTGTACGGCTTCGTGTCCAGCGCCGTCGTCTACTCGGTCCTTCACTGGATCTTCCCTGCCAAGGCGGTCGATGACTTTGTCAGGACGGCACCGACGGCGAGGGAAGTCCAGCAGTACTACACAGACCGCTGGGAGGTGGATCTGGCCCAGGCGAGCCATGTGCTGTCGGACGACGATGGCTCCGGCGTGATGCATGTAGACGTGAGCCCAAAGTTTGAGCCAGCGGCGGCGTTTTGAATTCCCCGTCTCGTGTTGTTTTCCTTTGCTCATTTGCTGGGGGCAGCTTGTCGTGGCGGTGTGATATCGGCCAAGCTGTCCGGCATACTGTAAGAGATGAGATGCTGGAGATGAGTCTTGTTGGATCGACACCGTCATTTCGCCAAAGCGTTTGATGGGAGGGGTTTTGAGAGCGAAAAGTCACATATGAGAGCCGTGATTATATTATCTGATTTAGACTGCTTATGCCACTTAATAGACGGGGTTATGCCATCACCATCCATCTCGCACCTTGCCTATCCCGGGCAGTTGATCTTGCCTGCAGCATCGAGCTTTAAGTTGTCCGAAGCTAGTTGCTACCCTAGTTGACTTGCAGTAATGCCATGAATGCGGGTTTAATGAGATCAACAGCATGGATCCTCCGTGAAGCGATGCGTGTCCCATGTCTCGCCGTGCCTCCGCCGTGCCTCGCCGTGTCTTGGAAATTGGCCGACGACAAGACACGGAACGACACCGGATTGGACGAGGGGTGGCCTGCTGTCGATGTCTTACACACCCATCCTGATCGCTAAACCATCAGTCAACCAATCCAACTCCATCTTTGCCTCGGGTCCGGCTGTTTGGGGTGAGGATTCCCATGACTGCAGCGATCCGACGGAGAACGGAGTAAGCCTTGGAATTTCGAAACGTTTGAAACCTTGAATCGCCAGGTGCAAATTAAAGCATGCCCTAGAGCTTGAGCGCTAGTCCAGCTCGTTATAGGTCTCGTCAACCACTAAACGGCCACTAATGGTAGTCCCCGTGCACCCTAGCAGTTCCGGCTCTTGGGGGGGCATAGAGGACCAGCTTCAGCAGGCCAATAGGCGAAGTGGTCACGTTACTCGACGCTAGAGCCATTAAACTGCCAACGTGTTCCCCGCCTGTCGGCCAACTTGGGGCCAACCGCCATGAATCGACAGCAAGGAGCTTCGCCGCCGCGTTCGCCGAGCAACTCGACCTGTCTCTCCTCTGGATCGCACAAACTCCACCACCCACGCCGCGGCAAACCAAAAACAACCAGCCAGCAAGCAAGCCAGCCCGCCTAGACACGGACCAGCGCGAGAGGCGCCTTCGTCAGACCGGATTGGCCTCGATCGAGCGTGAATCCGAACCCTCCCCCAGGATCATCCAGCTCCAGCATCCCAATGCTCAGCGGCGCCGACTCGGCCCAGGGCCGTCCCCGCAAGTTCACCATCCAGAGCCAGTTCGGCCGGGCTCGACAGCCGCGGAGCCGCAAGAACCGGCCCTGCGACGCCTGCCGGAGGCGAAAGACGGCATGTGTGATCCCTTCGGAGCCTCCTTGTAAGTCTCAACCGGCCTAAGCTCCCTGACCGAACCATCGCGCTGCCTGGCCTGGCCCCTTGCATCTGGGGTTGGGGTGCCTCCTCTGCTGGAGCTCGAGCCGAGCCGCTTGAGCCTCACCGCGCGTCGACCAAGTATGTCGCGCGTGTCCGCTGCGCGTCATGGCATGGTATGCGATGGATGCGATGTGCATGTACATGTCGACGACGGGACACGCCTCACATTCCACACTTCACACCTCACACCTCGCACGATGCCACGCTGCATATGTATTTCTTCACCATGACGCGCACGTGTCCGCCTTCTGCTCGTCTGCAGCTACGGAGCTGCCTGAGTGGCTCGTCGAGCCCGTGTGCTGCCCTCCCAAGTGGGAGCGTCCCCTTTTGCCCGTTGGCCGATGCTACATGCATGATGCTGCTGCATCCCGCCCTCCACAGCTTCGTTTCGTCCCAGCCCGCTGCAGATATACCCAATCCCCTTAACTCACGGAGTCTCCGAATGCTAAAACCGTCGTCGCAGGTCTCTTCTGCAAGAGCAGGGGACTGGCGTGCAAGTCTTCGCCTACTCCTGATGAGATATCATCTCAACATGAGAGCGCCGCCGACAGTACCACTGAGAATGGAGCCTCCGACGCCGAGCTCGTCACACCTCCAGCCATGGACTCTTCGCCGAGTCTAGCACGCCGTAGCGTCTCTCATTCCAGCCCAGCAGACACCATCCAGTCGTCTGCAGGCTTGAGCGCCGCTGGAGATCTGAGTCTGGAGCAGCAGTCATCTGGTTCCGCCGCCGTAGTACATCAAGGCCTCATTTCCCAGTCTTCGGATGGCTTGGAGCAGCCCTCATATGGTGTCTCTCCTCCGGTCCCTATACTATCAAACGGCCCTCTCCACACTCTCGAGGACAACTTCAACAGGACCGCTCACTCCATGGGACCTTCGGCTGAGCAAGATACCTACCTCTTGGATGCCTTTAGGTGTCTCATTATAAGCGAGAACGATGAGATTGATGCCAATATCATCCAGGTCTACCCAGGGGGTCCTTCAGCAGACGATCGCCCCGTTCACTTTTTGCTCTTGGAGAATGAAAACCCCGACTTCACCAATGAAGCAAAGCAAAGTGCATCGGACGGGACCGAGAGGCTGGTGTGGCCCTATGGTGAGCGTCTAGTGCGCTTATACTTCAAGCACGTCCATCCCGTATACCCTGTCGTCACCAAGGGCCGCTTCCTCGGTCAGTATAAAAGCAACCGGATGAAGATACCTGCGTCATTGCGTGGTGCAATATACGGCCTGGCATGCGTCTTCTGGGACCGAGACCCTACCATCAAAGAGGCCTGTCCTTTCCAACAACATCAATGCATAGATCACGCTCACGAGGCGCTCAGGCGTGAGCACGAAAACCCTACTCTCTTCAGCCTGCAAGCAGGCCTTTTGCTTCACCACATCACGCCTCCCGACGTCGACAGTGTTGAGACGCCCAGCATGTGGACCATGACGGCACAAACCACTGCGTGTGCCCAAACAATAGGCCTTCATCAAGACCCTACTCGATGGAGCATTGAGGATTGGGAGAAGAGGGTGAGGAAGAAGCTCTGGTGGGCGGTATACGCTGCCGACTGTTGGTCTGCAATCTGCCACGGCAATCCTCCACACATAAGCCCAACCACGTTCAGTACTCTCCCACCTGACATGGATGATATTCGAGCCGATGAGACTGTCCCTGAAGACTTGCGGTACTTGGTTGAACCCGAGGACGCCGTCTTCCAAGCTTCAGTGGGAGCCCGATTTTTGCAGTTTATTAATCTGACCATTGTCCTGAGGGACGTGTTGGATTGTGCCTTGTAAGTTAAAATCTCCTCTGCACAGGTTCCGGTCAAATCTTGTCGGCCATTGCTCACGCGAAACGATTCATGCAGTCAAGTTCGACCCAATCCATCAACCCTCACCGATAGAACAATGCAACTTGTCATGCTGAGAGAGAAGTTCAATGATTGGCACAGCCTGCTGCCGCAATGCCTCGCTCTTGGTCCCGAAAGAGGCCAAGACACAATCAGCAACTGTAAGTTTCACTACAGCGATGGAGTAGGATGCTTTGTTGAAGTAGGCGCTAACCTACTCACCTAGCCCCCCTGCATCTCACATACTACGCCACCCAGGCCCTCTTATACCGAGGCCTCATGTATCCTGCCACCAGAGTGGCCAAAGCCAATCCCGAATCAAATCTTCGCAAGTGGTTCGTCTCCGCTCTGACCGAGTTTCGAGGCTTTGTGGACTTTTTCAACTCCATTACTGAGGAAGATTTGCGTGGTTTTTGGTGTCGCCGTAAGTGTTTGTTGACCATTTCGGAGGCATTACAGCCTCGAGAGGGTGGGAAAACACGTCGTAACTGCGCTAACGGACAAAAACAGATGCTCGGTCTCAATTCATCTTGTGTGGAAACTTTCTCATCTACCTTTTCCTGCTCGCATCTGATCAGACACACATTGCGGCTGCGTACCAGCTCCTGCAAGAGTTCCACCAATCTCTAAAGCGCCTCGGGGAAACCTCCCACAAGCCCGGGAGACTCTTGATCCGACCTGCCAGGCTCAGGCTGGATTCCTTCTTCCGCCAGGCGGCCACAATTCTCCGCGGGAGTGAAGCACCCGTCATTTAGCCTATTAACGCTACAGGTTAGGTGCAGCTTGGGCATTTTGGAGGCGGAGAAAGTTGCAGATATTTCCCACGTGTCCAGTAAATATTCACAGAGGTCAAGGATGTTTTGTAGCTACATGTCTAGTTTAGCATTGCGCGGGCATTTGAAAATGGCGTGTTGGATATTCCTTGTCGATAACGGCGAACAAAAGAAGGCAGTTTCAGTTGTCAGCTCGACGTAGTTCAGACTCCAAGGGTTAGGTGTGCCACGCATCTCCGGCCATCATCTCTACTAGGCATCATTTCCGAGCATCGCCACTATGCACTGCTGTACCTTGGCACGCATACCAATGCAGCCAGAGGACACAGTACTCATGTGTTCTCATATACTGTTGATATACAGGTACGCTTCGTATTTACTCGTACGCATTCTGACTACCTATGCAGCTTATGCATTTGTCTGTGCCCAGATCGTACAAGTGTTGTTGACCACATAAAGCCCGCGCATCAGTCATCAATCTCGAATGACCAGGATGTCATATACTGGCGGCACGGAAATAGCACGTCGAAGATATTTGTTGTGTAAGTGATTTCACTTTTGTTGATATGTACAGTATTTAAGAGCATACAGACTCTAGCTCTTTTGTTTCCATATCCATTATATACAGAGATTGGTCAAGGTACATCATGTCCCTCGCCATAGTCCTCACAGTACTCCTACTAATTGATTCAACCAGACCGTTGAAGTCCAAGTTGTGACCACAGCTTCTGTGCAAACACATTTCCTATCTCCCACTTCTTCGCCCCGTGGGATAGAATCGCCGCAAAGGGCGAGAGCCAAACGTCCACGTTGCACTTGCACAGATGGACTCCGTGCAGCCAGATGGTGCCTCCGTGTCGTATCCAATGGTCCACCGCGGGACTCTTGCCAGCGCCCAACGGCACAAATCCAAAGTCCAGCTCGGCGGCGATGGGCAGATTCATGCACGTACATGCAGACGCGTTGTTCTGGATCCATGTCCACAGGATGGCAGCCCCCGCCGCGATGGTCATGTGTGCGATGGGATCGAGCACCTCTGCTTTCAGGTCAGAGGGAGACGTGGTGGAGCCGTAGACGCGATACGCAAAGAGGGCGTGCGAGACGGCGATCCGGGCGTCCTGGGATGTGGCCCAGTCGTGGATCTCGGCGTTGTTGATGGGATGTGCGTTGGAGAGGTTGGCCGGGGTCACGCCTTGGGAAGAGACGACGGGGAGGCTCTGCATGTAGCTGTGGACGTCGGCGTAGATGTGCATGTTGAGGAGATGGTACAGCATGGTGGCGCTGAAGACGAAGGAGAAGAAGCGGTCCCGAGCGGGTTTCTGCCAGTCCTCGTGGAAGGGCTCCTCCCTGGCCGAGTAGGCCCTCAGAAGGAAGTCAATGTGCATTTTGTGCTGTTCCGGTTCTTTCCATATGGAAGTCATGCCGTCGAGCTGCAGCTTGCAGCGCTTGAGGCGGGCCGAGATCAGTTCTCGTTGTTCGCTGGATACGCACAGGTTTGGGTTTGGACTTCCTCGCATCTTGTTGAGGATCCAGACATAGTTGGTCACGCCCATCATGCGAATCTGCAGGTCCTCGACGAGGATGACGGGCGAGATTGGCTGCTGAGATCCCAGCGCGAGGTCGCATATCCTATACTGGGCGCGTTCCATGGGTTCCGAGGGCCACCTCCTGAAGAAGACGTCGAGGCCGTAGGCGTTCCATTGGCCGAACGTGGATGTAAGGCTGAGACTCAATTCTTCGCGCTGCAGGGACGGGGGTTGCTGGGTGAGTAGAGATATATATGTATCGAGCTTGAACATGTTTGTGACGAGTCTATGAAGGACACGCACAACAGTTAGTACGACAAGCTCCTGCACGACTCGGCCGGCTCCATTCACCTTTTCCATTTCTCCTTCATGGAAAACACCCAGGGAGGGAAATCGCCGCTGAAGTGGATCCTTATTTGGTGATCGATGGCATCGGTGGTGAAGATTCTGAGTTGTCGAAATACAGTGATGAGGAGGCTGAAGAGAAGACGGGCCTTTTTCATGTTTCTCTCGCGCTGCGAAGATGGGTCAGCATTGTCGTGTTTGTGCGTCTCGCGGAGGGTACATGGGGGTTTAGCTGTCTGAGCAAGACGTACGCCACTTTCGAATGCGAAAATGATGTTCAACAGGGATGATTGGAGTGACCGGAGAGGCCAGACGGCGTTTGGATCTGCGGTGGATTCTGTCTGTGGCGAAGATGTGTAAGTATTTCCATCGTCTAGCCGAGAGTGCAACTACTTACCAACTCGTCGAGCAGGCGTTTGACGAGAATGTTGTGAATATCGAATACAAGACTATCATCTCCAGTCTCATTCTGCAGCCAAAAGCCAATCATGATAGCACTGCTTCGTAGTGTAACGGAATCCACCTCGTGCTCAAAAGTGGGAGCATGCAGTACCGGCCACCGGTCATGGAAGCGGCCCATGTACGACTTGATACACGACGCGGACCAGCTCTTCACTTCCGGGGTGAGTGGCCGCTGAATCCTTGACGAAGATCCCGATGACCTTGGCCTGGAAACAGCTTCGAGTACTAGCTGCAGTCCTTCGATGGCAATGAAAGGCGCGTCTTGTTGCTGTGTCCCCTGGATCACCGGTGCTGTGCCATTCATGGTATAGGACATGGGTACAGCTTGACTGATATCGGGCTGAGAGCCGCCGGTAGAGGCTGGAGCCTCTGTGTGGGCCGATCCGGGAGGATCTGGAGAGCGGGATCCATGACCCGAATGCAGGGACGAGGCGCTACCTTGAGGCGGATTGGCGGCAACATTAGGGGCAGGCCCTCTGGTGAAGGCACAATCTATGCCTCGCTTGGTGCACAGGGAGCACCGGACGCCTCCATCGCATCGGATCTTGCTGGCATGGCATGCATCGCATGCCCGGACTCGTTTAGAATCCGAGGGGGCGGAGCCATCGTGTAGCGTCAGATGGCGGCGGAGGAGATCACTGTGACGACGGGGGGGTTCAACTTTTAGTATGCGTCTTGTTGATTTTCTCATTGGGGGAAGTAGTCTTCTTCTTCTTTTTTTCTTTGCTTCCCTTTCTTCTTATCTACAGCAGCACCGCACCCAGACGAAACATCTAATCATGGGGCAGAAGAGAAAGGGGGAGGGTGTAAGAGGACTCCTATTCTACTCACCTGCGGCTGAACGATCGCGAACACACATGGCACGTGAAGGAAGGACTGCCATGGGTAGCCTGATGCCGACGGAGATGTTCTTTTCTAAGAAACCCTCTCCCGCAGTGGCACAGATGTCGCTCTCCCGTGGGTGGCCCCATCTCCTCGAGGCTAGAGATGTCGTCTCCCACTTCCCATCCGAAGGTGGACTCTTATTTCTCGTCCCCGTTACCTAAGAATGGAAAGGAATTGCCGGGGATCGGTTGGCCAGACTTGTAATTGATTGATCGATGCAGTGGGAAGACACACTCCGTATTAGGCAAAGACCTGGATCGATGATCTCTGCTTTGAGAGATGCCGATATCCTGTTCAGCCCACTTGGCAGCCTTTTCTCCCACCGAGGCCGAGATGTTCAAAAGATGGCACGCCCGCAGGGCCGGAAAGCGGAATTACGCGGAATACAAGAGAGCGCGAGGGCCCCGACGAGTTCTCTCGCGGCGATTTGAACGAATTACCAAGCAATGCAGCCCAAAGCAGCGCGTTGGTGTTGTACACAACCGTTGCGGGCTGGTGAAGATGCAATGTGCGTTGAGGCGGGATCGGAGCCTCGGGTGGGATGAGGGAACGGGAGAGGCGAAACTAAGATTAGGCCCAAGGGAAATGCGGCAAAAGGGGACCAACAAACCAATGACCCAGGGCGAATGTTGAACAACACCGGATTACTCAGAACGATGAAGGATTTTTTTGATAAGAAAAAAAAAAGCAAAATGGGAAAAAATTGGGAACAGTGGGATGAGAGTGCTCGGGGCAGAGGGGATGATAAATCTCCGTATTATTGATGGCTTACAAGAAAGGGCGAGTTTCACGTCTCGAAGGCGGCATCCCACTTGGCGCCTCGGTGAGTGTGGACGTCGGCATCTCCCACTCTGCAACGAGTCTAGTCCGAGATGCTAGGATATGTCATCTCGAGGCTTATGCTTCTTTCAGCTCTAGTTGGCGCTGCTAACGCTCGGAGCGGGATTCCGAAACGGTCCACAACACCACGATGACCGTGCAATGGGTTGGGTGGGAGATGGAGGGAGCTTTTGCATATGGTGGTTGACTCGATGGTGTACGGTTCTGGGAGAGGAGAGGAGAGGAGAGGAGAGGAGAGGAGAGGGCAGGGTTGTTGTTGCAGGTGGTTAGTTAGTCAGCGGAGGGATGGTGGTATTAATGCGTGCGAGATAGTCGAGGGGGTGTGTGTGCAATAGTGTTGAGGATTGCATAATCGCGAGGGGAGGTGAACACTATGGACTACTACTGGCGAGTGCTTGGAAATCATGGTGAGGGATCCGACATGATGAGTATTTGAATAAGGTATATAGTGTAGGTGCCTGTCTTGGGGGTTTGAAATAGAAACTCCAGAAGCAGAAGACACAATATATAAACAACACAACGTCGCCCTCAACTCTAGTCTGCACTCGAGCATCAAATACAACTACTACTTCGACTTACACACAATACACATCTACTAAACAACTACCGAAGCAATGGCCGTTACTCCTCTCAAGAACATCGCCCTCACCGGTGCCAGTGGCGCTGTTGGCTCCGTCGTCCTCAAGGCCCTTCTCGCCGCTGGCAACTTCAACATCACCGTCCTACGCCGCAATAACTCCAAGTCAACCTTCCCCGACAACGTCAAGGTCGTCGACGTCGACTTCGAGTCCGTCGACTCTCTGACCGCCGCTCTCACCGGCCAGGACGCCGTCGTGTCTACCGTTGGCACAGAGGGCCTCGGCGAACAGCAGAAGAAGCTTGTCGACGCCGCCGCCGCTGCTGGCGTCAAGCGTTTCCTGCCGTCCGAGTACGGCTGCGACCTGGCCAACGAGCTAACCGCCAAGCTGCCCGTCTTCGCTCCCAAGGTTGGCGTCGCAAGATATCTCGAGGAAAAGGCCAAGACGACGCCTCTCACGTATACGTTTGCCTACAGCGGGCCGTTCTTCGACTGGGGTCTGGAGCACAACTTCATCTTCAAGAGCGCGGGATCCAAGCCCGTCCTGTACGACGGCGGCGACACCGTTTTCAGCACCTCGACGCTGGACGCCGTCGCCCAGGCGGTCATTGGCATTTTGAACAACCCCGAGGAGACTAAGAATCGCGCGGTGCGGTTCCAGAGCCTGGCGATTTCGCAGAACGGGATTCTCAGGCTGGCGAAGGAGGTTGCGCCTGAGCGCGACTGGCAGCCTGAGGTGGTGAAGATTGACGATGTTACGAACGCTGCGGATGAGAGACTGGCCAAGGGACTGCTTGGACATGAGACGTTTGTTCCTTATCTTATTCGCGCCGTTAACGATCCTCGGTATGGTTCGCAGTTTACGACTCTGGATAATGAGTTGCTGGGAGTGAAGCAGTTGACGGAGAAGGAGATTAAGGAGGTTGTCAAGAGCAAGATCAGCAACTAGATTGCGACTTACATAGCGTTGCGCAAGTAATTAAACAGATGAAATATTCTACATTTCCCAATTGCACATGCAAAGAAATTTCAATATTTGATGCACGCTCGTCTAGGTTATGCATGTCGTATTGGCTAATACGCCGTAAGCTTCACTAACGACAAATAAATTTGTCTGTGAGAAACTTTAGGATTGTTTCGTCTATATAGCGTCAAAGGAGTGTTTTCCCTGCTAGGTTTAAGCCATGCAGGTGTAGGCAGTCTAATTCATTTTGGCGAAGAGTTTGGTGCAAGGATGGTTGGCCATGACAACACGCGAGTGCAGACGACGGCTAAAGAAACATGCCTGATTGATGGACGTACATGCAGCTCTATTTAATGAGATTTGGAGTTATACTGTATTTGTATTTTACTAGGCTGATGCTCTATATCATTTCATTACACTGATATTTGAACAAGTGCCATATCTGGTAGTTACTAACACAAAGTTGTGAGAGTTGTAAGCATTGCTTGAATGCCATTACAACTGCGGGTGCGATGCAGCTACAGCAGCCTATTTCATTGTTCACGTTGGCCTTTTAACACCGGTTGAAAACTGCAGAGTGCGGTAAATGCATGCATCGACATTATCGGGTGCGTAGTGAGTTGACACGTTCTTAGAGGTACAAGTAATTAATCTTTAAACGAGCCACGTGTCCCAAGTATATGACTGCCCACGCGTTCAATATAATCTTGAGGAGTATTTTTGCCACTTCGGTCTAGCAACAGTCATTCGAGCCACGGCAATGGATGTTTCCTCTTTGTACGGCTTCAGATTCAGGCCTCGGAGTTCTCTTCCAGTCTCCGATCAACATTGTATCGACCACGTCGAAACAGGACCTAGACAATGGGAAGAGTCTCTAAATATGAGAGACTTGGCATACGTTTTACATGTTGACGCGGACACTTCCAGCTCAACTTTGACACCGGGACAACAGTCGCATAAGAGGAGACGGCATGATAAACCAAACAACTATGAGAGAGGCTCTGAATCGGATATATCAGACAGACGGCACCATAACGTAAATAAATACATGAAGGTTTCGCCTGCTGCTCCCTCTCCCTAAACTCAACCCCCCCAGGATATCAATATGTCGCTTCGTATACGTGACAGGGACATCAATAAACGACAAAAACAAACACACAACAACCCCAAACTCATCATCTCTTATCCACACTACTCCTCGTCCGAATCATCAACAGTCTTGACCGGCTCCTGCTTGGCCGGAAACTTCATCTTCCTAGTGCCCTCTGCTCCCCAGCCACCAAGCCCCCCTGCCGCTGCAGCCCCGGCGAATCCAGATGACGCTCCCACGGTGAGCTTGCCGGCAGCCTGATTCTTTCCAACGCCGGGCTGGTTCTCGGCCCAGGCGTTGAGCTCGTCGCGCGTCTTGCCCGTGTACTTGAGGATGTCCTCGTCGGTCGGGCCGGCGCCGCGCTTCTTGTCTTCGTAGCGCCGATAGAGGCTCTTTTTGCCGCCGTCGACGTCGGTTGAGTCGGGGGCCGAGTTGGAGTTGCCCATTATCGCTGTTGTTGATTTGGGGAGACTTTGATGTTGTTTGCAAGTGGTGGGTTTTACTCGTTACTTCGATGGGTATGTACTATCCCGTATACACGTATAGATGGATGTCTGCGAGGAGGCATGTAGAATCGAGTCTATATAATAGACAGACGGATTCAGCATCACGCACTGGGCCACGTCAACGATTGACTAGCCCAGGCCCCCAAACAAAACCCCCCCGGGTTATGCTTCCCAATCCGATTCGATCCAGCATGATTTCGCCTCACCCACTAACATGAGAGCTGAGCAAAACGCGGGGTCAAAGAGGGAAACGGGCCGAGGGGAAAGGCGTCTGTGACACGTTCAGCCTCACGAGTAGTTTCGTGATGGCGCATGTCCCAAGACGCCTCACTGTTGGAAGCGGCTCGAACCGTGTAATCGATCTCGAGATTAAAAAAAAGCGCTTGACACACACGTCAGCATCTCGGATCACGAGTCCGGCCCTGTTCGGATCGAGCCGAGGTCAGCCCCGTCGACGCGGACAGGGTTCAAGTTTCTTTCCGACGCAGCTGATGCATCATCTGCAGATTCCGCAGACAAGTCGGATGCCTTCTCCTTCTGCTGCGCCTTGACGGCTCCCACTTTCCTACGGCCGCCGGCAGTGCGTTTCTTATAGCCCAGCTTCCGCAGGGTGTGGCGGATGCAGTACTCGCCCACGTCCCAGCCGAGAGCCTGCGCAATCTTGCCGTAGGGCATGTTCTCATTGTCTTTAGATGCCATGAAGGTCTTGAGCTCCTGGATCTGCGCTTCCGTCAGCTTGCTAGGCCTGCCGGGCCGAGTGATGGGCGTCTCCGTATGCGAGAGGGCATATTGGACCTGGCCCAGAGACAGGCCCAGCTCGGCACTGATGGCAGACTGAGTGTAACCAAGGCGACGCATCAACTGAGCATCGCGTCTCTGGTCGCGCGTTGTGTCGGGGCGTCTGGACTGTTCCTGTTCTTGCATGGCGAAAATACTAATCAACTCTTGAGTCGAAGAGCTCGATACGACGAGCTAACATGAACAGGAGATAGCGCAAACATGGTGTCTTATAAACCGAGGACATTGGCATGTGGGGAAGCAATTGAATGTGTAATCTTGGTCAAACCCTGCCATGTGCTTAGCACATCAACCTATCCATTTACTGGTTTTGTCGTATGCGCCCTCTAAGCAAAGACTATCGAGTTGCTTATATGTGTGTGTCTTGCCTTTTCAGGGGGGGCATTCAAGGCAAATAGCGCCGGGATATGACACGAAATAGTAAGGGCACCATTTAGATTTGAAATTACCCGTCGGCTTGTGGAGTTGCACACGGACAATTGAAGACGAAAAAAGTCCGAATCCTAGTATCATGGCAGAAATATAGGCCCAGCGCAACAAGATGAAAAACAACGCATCAGTCGAGTCGAAGTCGAACATGATGCTTGGGGCAAAAATCAAAAAGATAGAATTGCTAGAAACCATGGTTCCTTCACAGATGAAAACCCCGAGACATCCGCAAAAAGACAACACAACGTTTACTAATAGGCGACGGAGGAACTGGAGATAGTCATGGATCAGGCCAGTAAACTTTGAAGCCGTCAATCGTCAACGCAGGCCGCGGAGCTTCTTTGGCTCCATTTGCCGCCAATCACGGAGCATCAGCACGGAGAAAATCACAAGGGAGACGGACTATTTTTTTTTTCGCAAAGTTCTTTTTCGTATTTCCTTTTCTATGCTTATTCAAGTAACCCTCCCTCTCTCTTTTTTTTCCTTCTATTTATCTCGCCTATCTCGGCCATTTTCGCCTAAGCATGGGGGGCCAGTCCCAAAGTGTTGTTGCCAATGTTAAAGGCCACAAACTGCGACTTGAAGAAGATGTCGCCGTAGACACCCAGGCCGCCCTGGGTAGTGGCCTGAAGACCGCCGAAGCAAGCTGTACACAATCACATGTCAGTCATCGAAATCTCGTGAAGAAAAAAAAAAGAAATAGGGCAAAGATGGAGAGAGGTATTGGGAACTTACTGTTTCCCGAAACGGGCGAGAAGTTGAGGTCGGAACCGCTGATGCGGGCAACATACTTGCCACCAACGTCAAGGTCCAGATCGGGCAGCTGAGCATCGCAAGGGATGGTGAAACCACCGGCCTGCTGGTCGTTCTGAGCACCCTCAACCTGGGAGTAGTAGCCGTTGACGATGATGGGGTCGGCAAGGAGGAGAGTGGTGCCGGTATCAGCAATGGCCTGACCACCAGCGGTCGCCTGCTGGGTAGCACCACCGTCGACGGCAAAGGACTCGCTGCTGAACTGCCAGAAGCCCTGAGAGTTGTCGACGTCGACAAAGGTCAGGTCGCCCTGGAAAGCAGTGGAATCAATGGCGCCGAAAGTGTAAGTTCCGGGAGCGCCCTTCTTGAGATCGGCAGTGAAGACGGGCTCGGCGAGAGACGGCGCGACGTTGTCGAGGAAGGTCTTTTGCTGCTGGGGCTGGACGGTGTTGAGGGTGGAAAAGGCAAGGCCCATGAGGCCGTCGTTCTGCTGGTCGTCGACAAATTGCTGGGTGACCTCGGTGGCGATCTCGACAGCCTGGGCGTTGAAGACGGCGCCGCCAACGTTGACAACGTCGGTGCCGACGGTGCCCTCGGCGCCAGAGCCGTCACCGTACTGGACGAGGAACTGGGCACCCTGGATCTCCTGGAAGGTCTTGCTCTTGGTAGGGTCGTAGAGGGTGTGGCCGGCGGTGAGCTGGGGGTCCATCTGAGTGTTGAACACCCAGAGATCGGAAGAGCCGGTGTCGAAGTCGAGGTTGAGAGTCTGGCCACCAATGTTGACGGGGGATAGGAACTCGACATCGTTGCCTTCAGGGGTGTTTGTGACGCTTCCGGTCTGGCCTGAGGCGGGTTGCTGAGCTGCGGGATCCGACTGAGTCTGGTTTCCGCCGGCTTGACCCTGACCCTGACCTTGACCGTTGCCTTGGCCGTGGTGATGATGTCTGCCGCTGCCACTGCCAGCGTTGCCGTTGCCATTGGCATTGGCATTGGCGTCGTCGCCATTAGTGTCAGCGTTACCGCTGTTGCCAAAGACACCAAGCTCGCCCAGAATGTCCAACAGTGATCGACGGCTCTTCTTCTGGGCAGCAGCCTCCCTAGCAGCAACAGCAGCAGCCCGGCGAGCCGTATCAGCAGCCTTGCGGACTTCGAGAGCATCCTTCAAGTTCTGGGGCATGTCCCAGCCGAACTTGCGGTACGCCTTGCCGAGAGCCTTGAGACCATCGTTTCCAGTGAAGTTGGGGTTTGCCCTCCGCTCAACCTTGAAGGAACGCTTCTGGATGGGGATGGCGGACGCCGAGACCAGGGCAATGAAGCCCAGGAACAGGGCAGTTAGGAGAAGCCGTGAGTGCATATTGAAAAGTTGTGACTGGCTGTAAAAATGATAAAAAAATATGCTGAGAAAGAGAAATAGATGAAATAGGAAAAGAGAGTTGATTTGTCTTTTTGCTGTATGTACAAGAAGAAGGAAAAAGAGAGGAAATAAAGCCACACCAGGTGGTTAACGAAGAGAACTTGAAGAAAAGAAGAAAAGAAAAGAAGAAAAAGTAACTTTGCTTTTTTGGTCCCTCACAGAGGTGTTGGCCAAGAAAGAGAAGAGAAACAGAAACGAAAAGAGAGGCCGGATATATATATATATATATACATTCACTCTTCCTTGGCGATGGGAGATCGGATCCAGGGACCAGGGGGAAGACGACAGGAGACGTGGATAGTCTCAGCGTCTGCCAGCATCTAATCCCCTGCCTACCAATAACACGGCGAATTCCCCCATATTGGCGGTTCCCGGTAGATTCGGGGGGCCCTCGTCTCTGTTCATTTCAACCGCATTGACGAGGCTATAATCCCGTATATTGCCCTCTTATTCACGGTTTGTGGGGGCCAAGCTTCAGACACAGGACGCCTCACAATGGGTGGGGCGGCGATGGCAACTGGCTAGGAATTGGAGAACCCCTGGTCGGTTTTGTCTCCGTACTAGTTTGGCATCGTGCTTGGATCAATCGATGGTGTTGTGCCGTAGATCCGGGAAGAGGCTTGGCTTGCGGTTGTTTTGAATCTGGGGGATCAAACCGAAGACGTGTCTCGATTACAACCACGCCGACGATGGCCTCGTACGACTCGTGCTATTGTTCATCAAAAGTGCGTTATGTATCAAGGTTGCGTCTGCACTAAACTAAGACTGAAGATGTCGTGTCGTGGCTTGATGAACAAGGTGCAAATTTCCGGCGGTTCATGCTCAATTTCGGGCCCAATCCCATGTAAAGAAAGTGAGCAGCACTGTAATTGAATGATACGAGTTTGCTGATGATTCGCATTGAGCTCTTCATTTCACGTATTGAAAACGTCGCCCTCGGGCATCACAGCCTGCCGCTCTACCAGGCAAACGCCGGATGAAATCGCAGCCAAGAGATCGAATTATTCTACGCGACACCATCACTATTCAGTCTTCTTTTCCCCCCTTCAAACAGACCGTTTCAAAAGCTCCGAGATTCCACAGCCAACCAACCCGCTTGGGGAGATTGTTTCACATCCGGAGGCGCTGAAACAGAGACAATCCCGGCGCTTGGCTGATGCCCCCCGCCCCCATTTTCTGAAACGGGCAGCGTAGCGCCCACTTGGGCAAGTGAATAACAACAATGAATGGAATCCCAGCGTCCCTCCAATCAAGACGCAATTTCCACGCTCTTTCATGTGTTTGGTTGAGCCCTGTGATTTTGAAAAAACGGGAGGCTCTTTTTTTTTATGGTTGTTTTAAGACGGATACAACCTTCTAAGAAGGGCCCGTGAGGCCGGTGATCTTTCATGCCGTTGTGAGTTGGGCTGCCGCTTTGGGGATCGGATGATGCGAGTAAGTTTTCATTATGCGACGTGGGGGTTTTAGCATCTGGGTTGAAAATGCCATGGCACTTTTGAGGTTCTTGTTATATTGCGTGTCACGGGTTAGATTTATGGGCGGATGAATTGATGATGCCGGTGGAGGAAGTAATGATGAAACCCGTGGTGTAAGTGATGTTGCGTGTGAAGCTGCGCAGAGGCATCAGGATGCACGTATTGCTTGTCCAACCGATTCACACTCGGCCATCATATTCCACATGAACATTGATGATCTCATGCATGTCGAATATACATTTTATTCCTACGATCAAATGATTTGGTGAGCTAGACGCACACTCTCCACTGCCGCCGATGCTCTTCATGTAAATGTAGGGTAGTTGCGCAACCATCATCACGAGCATCATTGTGTGTAAAGAACCCATAGACAAGTGTCCATGTTGGTAGACATTCAAACCAAGACACTTTTAGTCATATTCACTACAAATGCCCCCGAGAAACATGTATAGCTCAATCATATGCAGAGAATAACATATACCACATATTCAAGGAGCACATCATCCAACGCTAACGAATCTTCCCACATCTCATCCATAGCCCTAACAACCAACAACATCCAACCAACATTCAATTTAAGCACAACTACCCATCACATCTATTTCACACAAATCGTCAACCCGCATCAAGCCTTGTACTCCCCCTTGCCAACCCTCTCCACCAGCTTCTTCAGCGTCTCCGCCCCAAACTCATAATCCTCCACATCCAAGTAGACCTGCGCACTCACCCTCACCCAGAACCTCGCCCCCATCCAAAACATGGGCACAATCGTCTTGTAATCAGACGCCATCGTGCTCATCATCCACGTCACAATGCGGTCTCCATCCTCAGCAGGCACAACGACATCCCCCTCCTTGGCCTCATCCTTGTCGCCTCGCCACAGAGGAAGAGAAATATTCGCCATCGAGCAGTTGGTCAACGTGCCCTTGCTGTTCTCCAGCACTTGCGTGCCCAGTCTCTCGGCAACCAACTTGCTGCCCTTCTTGTTCAGGTCCCAGAGGTAAGAGAGGATCCTCTCCTCACCACCCAGCACCTCCTTGCGGTACGCAACGGCGTCCTTGACGCACAAAGTAGGCGCGTAGTCCCTCGTGCCCGTCCACTCAAAGTTGTTGACGAAGAAGCTCTTGTCCTTGGGCTTGTACGGCGGCCCAGGCCGGATGCTGTGTTCGCCGCTCTGCGACGTGTAGCCGTGGCTCGTGGACAGCGTCGTCGGCAACAGATGCTGGTTCCGCACCGGAACATAGAAGACGGCACACCCACGCGGCGTGTAGAGCCACTTGTGACAGTTGGACACGAAGAAGTCGGGATCAGCCTCACCCAGGTTCAAGCGCACCATGCCGATGCCCTGCGCGCCGTCGACGAGACTCAGCACGCCCAGCTCGCGACACGCCTTGACCATTCGCTCCCAGGGGAACAAGACGCCCGGCCGCGACGAAACAACATCAAAGATGCACACTTTGGCGCGCTTCCCCTCGTCCTGGACCTGCTTCACGGTGTCGCGGAAGCGCCGCAGAATCTCGTCGTCCTCAATGGGATACTCAATCGGAATCGTGCGGCTCGTCAGGCGCCCTTGGCCGTGATAGTCGTACAAGAAATCAATCACCTTGCCGCACGCGTCGTACACGGTGGAAAAGCACAGCGCGACATCCTTCCCGTCGGGATTCCACTTGAGGTTGCGGAACACGGTGTTGACGCCCTCGGTCGCATTGTTGACGAAGACGACCGTCTCGACGGGCGCGTTGACGATGCCCGCGACGGCCTCGCGCGACTCGTCGTTGAGTCCTGCGTGGGCGAAGCGGACAAAGGGGTCGGGACGGGCTTCGATGTCGTCCTGGTAGCTTCGCAGCTTGTCCTGGATGGCTCTGGGGATGCTGCCGTACGAGCCTTGCGAGAAGGGTTCAGTCAGTATAAGTGATGCCGTTGAATCAAGCGTTGAGATTGAAGTCGTCACTACTCACCGTGGTTGAGGTTCGTCCAGTCGGGAGCAAACAAGAAGTCCTTTCTCATCTCGCGGCCAAACACCTTGAACCCATCCTCGCCAACCTTGGCCTCCTCCCCATCTCGTTTCCGAATCGTCAAATCCACCATATTCGACCTGGACTGTGAATATCCTCAAGCTCAAAAACAGTCTTGACATAAAAGTTCAGCCAGCGCCCTCGTACATGTATTTATCTCAAATCCCTCTCGATCCTTTCAACAAAAAAGACTCACTTGACTCTTCCGAGAACCGGCTCTATGCACCCAATCACCTCGTTAATAATTCCAAGAAGAAAAGAAAATGACGAAAATGACAAACCTCCACGTCAATTCTCACTTCTGACTCTTTTTCTCTCTCCTCACAAATCCTCCGCCCCGCTGTCGAGCGGCTTCGGCCTTCCACCCCCGCCGCCAAAAACGGCCGGAGATGTCATCCCTCAATGACCGAATTCACACCACCAGGCACTGTTTGGCTCACGGCTAGGTGAATCCGGGCACCGAGTCCGCGTCCGATGGGATCCGTGGATCGGTTTACCGCCCTGTTAGTAGTTAAGCCTAAAGCTAAAAAGCCCATCAACGGCGCCCTTTAGTGAGGGGGAGGAAACTCTTGGCCCATAAGCCCGTGAGTAACCGGCTGAAATTCAGCGTTCAAGACCAAACATGTGAAACTCGTTGCATTGAGACAAAGATTATAGATTCTTGTCAAGTCTATATAATCCGTAAGAGAAAATGATAGAGGTGCAATGCATGCACCGCGCTAAACCAGTCATCTAATCCTCACCCCCCCTTGGTTCATGAATCTCTGATTGTGTGCCTGATGAACAGAAAAGAAGGAAAAGAAGAAGAAAAGAGGCACAAAGTCCTGTATCCCTAGCCCGGCCCTTATTAAACATCATGATAACCGCTAACACCTGTAAATGCTCGTCATATATGCCGGCTTCCTATGATACCGCTGCCCGGTGTCTATCAAAAAATCACCATCCCTAGGAAATGAAGAGAATTAATAACGAGAAAGAAAGAAAGAAAGAAGTCGAAGAAGAAAAAATGACTCTCAAGACCATCAGGAGTTGTCACAACCACGCCGCTTGCATTCTTATTCCTACTTCTTGCAGCTCCAAGTGGCCGCCCAGTTGGCCAGCTCCGTATAGCCGTTGCCAGGCACCGCGTGAGCAACCTGTGGCACCATGTGACTGTTCGTCCGGAGGCCGGCCAGCGCGAGCGCGGCATTAGCTTCGGCCTGCGCCTTGGTCTCCATCTGCACCTGGACCGGAAGAAACCTCTTGGAAATGCGGCGCTTGTTGCGTCGAAGCTCGCCGTGATTCACCTCCATCGCCTTCCACTGCGGCGCCTTTTCCAGGAGCGTCACCAGCGGGTCCTGGATGTAAAACGCTTCTGGACGCGTAAATGCCGTTGCGGCTCGTACGTTGGCCGAAATCGAAGCGAGAGCTTCCTCCACGCCATCTTCGGCTTCGGCTTCGGCTGGTACCGATGCCACTGCGGCCGTTTGATCGGGCACCGGACGTAGAGGGGGCAGTTGCTTCTTGTCATCCTCAGAGCCCTTGTACAGGCTATCCACCGCGCCGCGCTTCTTTCCAATCGTGGGGAATACAAACTCCTCTCCGTCAATCATCTTTCTCTTGCGAATGCGAGGGTTAGACTTGACAGAGTGGAGGATGGAGCTGAACTCTTCCACCGTGCTGACCGGCGGCTGGCTAGGCGTCTCGGGCGTCTCGGGCACCTCTTGTTCTTTGACCTCCTCCACTGGTTTCTTGGAGCGGCCGTGATTGGGATTCAGCGTCGACGGCGTTCTCTTGGGCCTTTCCAGAGCTCCCGGGGCCGACTTGCGCGGTCGCTTAGCCTTGCTTCGTGGCGTGCTGATTCGCGTAGGAGAATCCATGGCAGCGGCGGCGGCGGCGGCGGCACGGGGGGCCACTTCAGCGGGAGTCGGGGGGTCGGGGTTGGGGTTGGCCTCCGTGGCGACGGCGGCCGGGACGCGCTTCGACGACGGAGGCAGAGGAGTTGAAAGAGAGGACGGAAGAGAAAGGATGATGGGGATGGTGGGAGACAACGGCGGAGGAGGAGGCAAAGTGGCCGTGATTCTTCGTAGCTCTTTGAGGATTTTCAATGTGCAGTAGGCGCCATTCACCTTGGTGTCCCGCAAGGCAACAGGATTCTGCGCGGGAGGCTTCTTCTTCTCCTCCCGGTTCTCTTCGGCGGCCCCTCCTCCCGAGTCGCGCTTCTTCTTGGGCTTTGGCGGCTCCGGGTCTTGCCAGAGCTTTGGTATGCGCACCTGGAGATCGGCCACCCAAGCGTCGCAGTCCCACTGGATCCAGTAGTCGATAATGTCCCCCCAGGAGCTCTCTGGTGGCTTGGTGAAGTTGACAAAGACAACCTTGCCGCCCTTGCTGTGCACCGTCTTGGCAAACTCCCTGACCATGACCTTGAGGCCGTGGACCCGGAGGCTGGTCCCCAGGATCAAGAGCATGTCCGGGTACAGGGCGAGATCGTGCGTCACGATGGGGCTGATGAGGTGGGCGTTTGGGTGCTCCTCGCCGTACAGCACAATGTCGGGACGCAGCTTGCCCACGCCCAGGGCTCGCTTGCCCCTTTCCTGGCGCGCTTCCGTCGCGCCAACGCAGTGAGGACATTCAGGCTGTTGGCCGGAGAGCGTCTCCACCTCGCGGTCGTCATCGTCCCAAGAGCAAACCTGCCCGCAGAGGAAGCATCGTAGAAGCTGCAGAGAGCCATGCAAGAAGACGCACTCCACACCCGACCGCGGCGTCGGCGCCTCCTTTCTCGGGGCCGGCTTGGGTTGTTGATCTGGCGGTGTAGTAGTATTACTGCTACTAGTAGTAGTAGTTTCGTCCTCTTCTGTCTTACCATTGGGCTGGGATGATGTCTGCCGCTGGTCTGCAGGCGTTTGCTCACTCGACCCGTTTGGTGGTGATTGGCCAGACGCGCCAACATCGCCAGCGTTTCCGCCTTCACCGCTGGATGATACTTCTTCCACCATCTTGTTGAGCTGTGCCGCGTTTGCTGTTGACTTGCGCGAGAACCGACCTCGACTGCCCGGCCCAGCCAGCAGAGACGTCGACAGGCCAACCTTTTCTTCAATCTGGTCAATGTTTTGCGTGTAGCACCGCACCAGCTTGCCCCGATCCCTGAGGTGGCCGATGAACTTGTGTGAGCTGGTAGGTTCGGCCTCGCGGACCTTTTGCCGTAGAGACGTTGCGAACTGGTAAAAGACGGAAGTTCTCGTAGGATCCGACCATATCGAGGCGTCAAAGAGGTCCTTGCCCTTCATGTTGGGAAGGGTCGTCTTTCCGGGGTTGGATGCCTGCGAGGCCGGCATGGCGTTGGGCAGGTCCCGCATCTCGTCGACTTCCGACGGCGTGGTGCTGCTGCGGCGGCTCATGTTTTCATCTGAAGGAGAGGACGGGTGGAATGGATCAAAGAGCACTGGTGGTGGTGAAGATAGAGGAGACGAAACTATGTTCTGAGAGACGCCCGCGATGCGTTCACGATCTTCGGCTCGCAATGACGATGATGCCAATGGCAGGGGAAGCATAAACTCTTCCCTCGGCGGGGAGGATAGAGGCGATGTCGTCGTCGGCTTGGGACGCGGCGTGCTCAAGCATCCATTCGCCGACGCGTTTGGATCCGATGCGGCCACGGCTTGCTGCGTGTCGGCGGCTCGACTGGACGCAGCCGGCATCTCAGCCTCGGCGCGCGCCTTGATGTCCTCATTGAGCTGCCGATCGACCTCGTCCAAGTCCGGAGAGGGCTCCCGCGACACCTTCCTACGTTTCGTCGGGCGAGGCTCCTCTCCGCCGTCTCCGTGGCCATCGCCGTCAGTCTTGAATCGGTCGGTCGATCGCGTAGGCTGGCTGGCAGCGTCGAATTGAGCCTGGATGAGTGAGTAGAGCCCGTTCTCGGAGCGAAAGTCCTGAAATTTTCAGCAGTCAGCGTGCGCCCAATCTCAAGCACCTGTGCCTTGTCCAAGGACGAACCGGAATGCCTGAGTTGGTGCTGATGCCGGCGCCGGTGACAACCACCACCTTTCGCGCCTTGAGCAGCGAGTTGGCAACCTCCTGCAACAGGCCATGAGACTCGGGTTCTACGTGCTGCGTAGGCATCTTGAAGAACAAAAAAATAAAAATAAAAACCGAGTAAAACCAGTCGCCAGTTGTGAAAATTGGGAAATCTATTTGGAGAAAGAGATGAGAGGCGACTGGTCGAGAAAACGAAACAATGAAAAGGCAACGGGCCAAATAGAAGCAGGAAAATAAAGTTAGAAGGTAGCAGACGCCAACGTTCCAAGGCAGTCCGAGCAGCAGAGCCCGGCGCCGCGCCTAGGAAAAGGTTTCACGGCAATTCTCTCTCAGAAACTTAAATCTCTTTCAAGTTGATCCAGCGCACAGCCTGAATCGGCATTGTGATGATTGTTGCGAGAATGCGGAGAGGAGGCGGTAGTGCGAAAAGGACCCTTGCAGCTGCGCCGGCCAGAATGTTCCCGCTAAAGGCGTGATTCGGAATCCTAACAGTATTGATCTTGCAGCTTTCTGCTCCCGGGCGTTATCGATGATCTGGCGAGCAGGCGAGCGGCATTGGCCGAAGGATAAAAGTCGTTTTTGGCGCGCGCGAACCAGAAGGGCGTCAAAAGATGCAGAAAGAAGCCGTAGATGTGTGATGCCAGAACTCCCCCGGGGAAACAGACGAGAAAGACGATGCAGGAAAAACAAAAGCTGGGATCGAAATTGGCAGACCAAGCACCGGAATTGACGTCCTTGAAGAGGGACAAACGAAACGCGCGAAATCTGAGGTCAAATCCGAGGGGGGCCCTGGTTTCGTTGTCGGTGAGAAGCATCAAATCTGACGCGCAAGTGATTTGGATGTGAGAGGTTCGAGAGTCGCGGATGTTGTTCCATTGCCAAGGGGGGCTTAGCGGCACGGCTTGAGGGGGGACGGACCCCCCGACCCGCTGAGGGCCGCTGGCCGAGTCCGCTGGCCACGAGCTTTCAGGGCTCCAGAAGCCAACCACGAAGCCTGGCGGGCGGGCCTTAGTGCTGTGGGCACGAACTGGCGCATCGGCAGGTGCTGGATGCATCCATTAATGCCCTGTAGCGGTTTTGAGCCCGCTAGAGCAGTTTGAGGCATGGGCTGGGCTGGCGGGATGGATGGATGGATGGCGGCACGTCAGTTGAGTAGCCTCGGTAGGTATGTTTACTCTAGATGAACCTCGATAGTTAATTAGAAGTATTCTGTTGACTGTTTCTACTTCTTCTTCATGTAAACACGTTGTAGTTTGTATAGAATGGTATACAAGTCCAACGTGTCTGGTGGGGGGTACTGTATAGCATCAATCATACTGATCCTACGTTTCGTAGGAAATGAACTGAAACTACAGTATCGACATTGTCATGATAAAAAGCGAAACCGCCAATACTTGTGAAATTACTCCCTCTATGCCCGATTCACAACCCATCATACATCATACAGCACCTTCAAAAACTTGTCAAACTCCTTGGGCACGCCTAGCCCAGTAATGGCATCCCATCCTGGTGCCGCCGGCCATCCTCCTGGCACCTCCGTGTCGTTGAACACGCAGGAAAGGCTCTTCCCTACCGTAATGTCCTGCAAGACATTCTTGACCTTGTTAGAGTACAGGTGCTGGTTCAGCCATCCCAGCGATCTCTTGCCGGCGCGCAACCGAGCATCGTTGATGAGCGCAACCATCGAGGCGAACACTGGGGCGCTCGCGCTGGTGCCCTGCAAGAAGCGCGGGATTCCGCCGGCAATGATCATGAAGGAAGTGCCCACCGCGGAGACGTCGGGGATGGCGCGCATAGACGGGTCGTACAGGCCGTCCAGTCGGCCGTTGAGCGCCTGGACGTAGTTCTTGACGGAGCCGTCCTGCCAATGCGGCCGGGCGAAGTACTGGGAGAAACCGCCGGTGCTGAAGCTGGCTCCGGATGGCGGCTCTGCGCCATTGGTGACGGCGCCGACAGAAGTCACCCACGGACAGGTAGGGGGGAAAGTTGCCATTGCGACGGGGCGCTTGGTGCCGTCGTTGGTGAGGCACGACGAGTCGCGGCCGCCTCGAGCGCCGCCATCGCCAGACGAGAAGATGATGGACGTTCCACGGGCCGTGAGCAGGCCAAACAAGCTGCAGACGTGCTTAGCGTACTCTCGAGGCACGGACAACTCGTCGTCAGAGTACGACAACGACAGGACGTGAGGCACCTGGTGGTCGGGCTTGGCCAGCAGGTATCTGAAGAATTCCAGATAGGGCTCGTTGTCGTCGTCTTCGCCCGAGATGGGCTGTCCGTTGTCGTCCAGCTTGACGCCTCGTCCGCCCGTGGCGTAGTATGTGACGTTTGTAGGGAAGCCCACGGACACGGCGTAGTCCACGTCCAGCGCCGCTTCGTGGCCAGACTCGGCCAGGTCTTGCGAGTTGACGCCGCCATTGACCAGCTCAACGGTGATGGATTTTCCCGCCTGGGCGACGTTGGGCGCAGTCGAGCTGAGGAACTGCTGCAGATCCTGGAGGTTGGCGTTCTCCTCGAGGAATCCGGCCACGCCAAAGATGACGGGCGACTTGTTGTTGGCGGGCGTATACGATGAAATGTTGTAGAGCTGGGCGAGGCACGCGGGCGTGACGCTGCCAGGGCAATACACCGTGTTGTCTGCGTCGGCAGCGGCGGCCTTGGACGCGGGCTTTGGCGGCGCAGACAGAAGCTCTGGCTTGTGGCGAGCAGTCATGAAGTTGGCCAGGGGGTGGATGAAGCTGATGGAGCCGGCGACAGACTCGGGCACCGTGTACTTTGTGGTTCGCAGCACCGGCTTCCTGTCCTTGAACGCGAAGCGGCTCACCTTCATCCCCAGCAAGGGCTCGGCTCGGGCCACGGTCGTCGTGACGTGGATGAAGTTGTTGTCGACAACGCCCGTGAGGTTGTTCTGAGACAGCCACTGTAGCACGGCGTCAACGTCTTTTTGATCGGGGGCCTGCAGCTGCTCAATGTCCTCCAACGACAGCCGATTGTCGTTTTCCGTCATCTTGGCCTCCAATTGATCAATGTTGGGCTGTCGCAAGGCAATCGACAGCCGCATGTGACGCGCAGGGTTGACGACATCCTGGAACTTTGTCCAGCCCGTGGGGATGCTCAAGACCTGCTCGACGTTTCTGCGAGAGGCACCGAGGCCTGCCAGCAGCGACAGCTGCACCGCCCAGAGCAATGCCGACTTCATCTTGTGTCGAAAACGCGAGGCTGGGGCAATGAGGCAGAGATGTGGTGGGAGAGAAAGAGAGACATCTAGAGGGCCCCAGGGGATGGATGGATGGCGTTTGCTCAGCTATTTAAGAACCTTTTTTCGCCCTCCTCCTTCTTGCCTTTTCCAGGGAGATGCCGAGCTTGGAAGCTTGTGCACCAAACAACCTTGGAAATGCAATACGAGTAGTACTCGCTACCTAGTAGTATTGCTTGCGGTAGCCCTTCCCGTGCCCGCGTTATGTGAGACATCCACAAGGGCAGGTCGCGATCAAGGACCGTGTCCGCCAAGACGATGGGAGACTTTGGTTCTCCCGACTTCGGCAGTAAACAAAAAGCCTGGCTAGCAAATCTCTTGGCCGACAACTAGAGTAATCGATGCTGAGAACAAAAGTATTGCCAGATACAGCACGATGGCGTAAACAGACCAATAGAGGAGCAATGCCCTTGTGCTCCGATATGCACACACGGGACAATCAATCAAGCCTCCAGCCTCGGCTGCCACCCTAGCTGCGGCATGTCAATGTCACCCTGGTTTTAGTAGCAGTAGTACCAGACAAAGAACGCTTTTTGTTGTCAGGAATTGAGACGCTGCATAACTCCATCTCGTGTCGCCATTGGCTAAGACGAGGAGTCAATTCCGAGCTGCCAAGCTGGGTTACGCCGAGCTAGCAAAAGGTCGCCTGGTGATGTGTGATAAGATAAAAAAGTTCATTGATGATGGGGAAAAGCACAGACTGTGAAGAGAGGGGGAGAGAGATCGGCAGGTCCCGACATTGCATGGAACTGGTCAATATTAATCACATCAGGTTGCCACTGGGTTTCCATAAATAGCGCCGGTGATGCGACAGCCGAGATGAGACGCGGGTTTGACATGAATAAGAGAGGAGACAAAGAGGAAGAAGAGGAAGAAGAAGAAAAAAAGGAGTTTGTTCTCAATCTGACCACAAATTTGCAAGTACCTATTCAATACCAAGGTAGCTGTACAAAGGAGTCTTTCATCCCAGCCCAATTGTCTCGCCCCAATTCCAAGCCAAAACAAAAGCCCCAGACACAGACTCCATCACGTTTCGGAGCCGCCCGGTGCGCCTTGTCCACAGCATGCAAGACAAATTGGCGCCATCCCGGATAATGTCTCTGGAGCCACGACTTCTCAGACAGGCAGGCCGCAAGACGTGTCAAGCGGAGGTGCTGTCCCGGAAAAGGAGGTCGCCCTGGGGGGGTCCGGCACTTTTGGCTTTAAGCTTGTATTTTGCGAGCCGCGCCGGATCGACAGGGGATGGATGGCGAGATAGTAGGTAGATTTGGTTGCTGGCGATTGATGACTGATGAAGTGAGTGGCGAAATGGTGGATTGATTGCCAGTGACTGATGCTGACTGATGGAGCGAGTGGTTTGGTGGTATTTTGCAATGGAGAGTCAATTAGGAGACTGTGCCTATTCTAAATCGTTTACTTTCCATCAAATGCATCCGAAACGCCCTTTTGTGCTGTATGTGAACGAATATTACCGCGTGTATAGGTGTGTTGGTAGAGATGGACAAAGTAACAAAGCATCCTTGGAGTATCGTCCATCCCAACCATCCAGTGTATCAAAACTCATCAATCACACAATATTAAATCAGTGTCTCTCCATAATCCCAGTAAGTGCATTATTAAAAAAAAAAGAAAAAAACCCTCGCTCAAAAAAACACATCATCTCTTGTCTCATCTTCACCGACGAACTGACGGCACAGAATCATCTCGCGGAGGCTTGACGTACTCCGCAAGCCGCTGGCCAAACGTCCTGGACGACTGCGCCTTCAATCTCGCCGCCCCGGCTGCCGAGGCCGACGAAGGCAGAGACGGCGAATACGGCTCGTGGTCGTGGCGGCCGCCGTTGGACGACGAATAGTAGCCGCTGTCCCGATAGTGGCTGCGTGCTCCCTGCCTCTGGGACGCTGCACGGCGGACGCGCTCCTCGGTCTGCGCGGCGGCGATAAAGGCGGCGAAGTCGGTGGTATCGGGCTCGGACTCAGCATGGACATACAAGTGGCCCGCGGCTAGGTCACCGAGAGGCGACCGGGCGTGGACGTTGATGGCGGATTCTCTGCTTGACGGTCGCTCGTCTGTTCGGCTTCGTCGTTTGAACTGCTCGCGTGGCGTGGCCGCGGTTCTGGAAAAGCCAGAGGCTGCATTCATGGGGACGTAGGGACTCTTTTTGATGGGGCTGGCCTGAGGCTCGTGGACGACATCATCCTCTCCGTCGTAGTTTGCGCTGGTCCTCTTCCAGAAACGATCTCGAAAGGACGGTCGATGGCGGAGCTGTGACGACGGCGACGATGAAGTGACAGTTTGTGGTACGGAGAGGTTCTGCCGACTGTTTGGTCGATTATGCTCCATGATGGCGGAATGTGGTGTCTAGTATCTGGTAGGTATGGTCCAACGCTCGGTTTGATGCTGATGAGGGCAAGTATAAACAGGTCTGCAAGGCGGCGTTGGGAGGCGAGCAAGATGAAATGAGGAAGCGGAAGCTGGACGAGAACGGAGGAGATGATGAATAGAAATAAGAGAGAGGAAGATCAGAGATGATGTACAAGCTGGCGGCCTCGATTCACGTCACCGACAGCCCGCCCAACCAATGATGATATGCGGCCTTCTGTTCAGCTACGTAACAACAGAGAGGCCAGGCTGGTTGCGGTCGCCGCCTCTTGTAGTGTATTGCCAGACAGCCTTTCTCCTGCTGTGGATATCTTCCTCATCCTCCTCATTAGCCGATTGCCAGAGCTACAGCCCACCCATGTGGCTAGTAAACAAGGGAAAAAACCTGTAGAGCTCACCCCCCGTTGTCGTGATAGGTGGCGAGAAGCGTCAGATAGCTGGTGTCTAAAAGGCAATAATCGGAGGCTAAGAGCTTCAGCCACGCTAATAACACGCCATACAGTATGTCTCTGGGCACGAGAGACAAGAGAGATTGCCATATACAAGTGTCAGATGTCTTAGGACAAGGCTCAGTTGTCTGTCTAAGCATGCAGTCCCATCCACTATTGGGCGTTGGCGCAATTTCAACACGTCTTGGACTCGAGTCAAGCCACTGCCTCGCGGCATCCGGACTGCATACGAGGACTATGAACCAAAGGTCTGGAACTGGGCACCAACGGGCTTATAATTACCGCTGTCTCGGATCGGTTGGGAGATGCGGAAAGTCAAAGTCACGGGCCCAGCTTTGGACGAGTGGCTGCATTGCATTCGAGCCAAAAAAACGAAGAGCCGCTAATCAGGATGACTTGTCAACATTTTGTGATGGGCACATGCGTGTCATCCCGGGACGTTCATAGGCCTTGATGCCCGCCTGCGGCGATATTAACAAAGTGATAGATGACAACGTGGGGTCTTAATCTCCAAGGGCTGCTCACGCGCATTCGCCGCTTCTTCTCGGCCGGTCTGCAAAACATCCGTGAGCCGTGTTGAGAAGGCGAGACGAGGCTATCTGCAACGCGAGTGGACTTGTTGTTTCAACATCCTTCAGTAGTCTGCGAGAAGCTGGCGTCTTAGTGCGGCCCTAGGTCGAAGAAGCGCCGTAAGATGCGAAACTATGGCTTCACGATCGCCAATAACCTCCATCACTGGCGCCCGCCTAGTCTCTTCCGAGGCCGACAATCTCAGCCCGGCTAAGCCATTGCCGGACTTGCCAGGGTCGATGTGAAAGTAGGCCGTTTTCTCTATTTTTGGCGGGATACGGCATGGAGGCTTGATATCGTGGCTGCGAGCACCGCCGATACACGAAAGGAATTTGCAGGGTTCAATTCAACGGTCATCGGGCTTCTTGCTGCGTGTAGTTCCTGGCTATTGCGGCCGTGTGTGCAGGTATACATGAAGCCATGCCCAAATCTAGATGGTCATTCGCCAGATTTCGGCCTATTCGTGCCGTCTGTGGAGGGAAGCGGCCAAGCAGGCACGATTTGATTCGCCTTGACCATCAAGGTCTGCAAGTAATCAGCACAATGAGTATTTTTGGTGGAGTCAATGTCGAGGTGATGTTGAAAAGATGGGACTACATAAATTATCCAAGCACGTGTGCTGCTCGCTCAAAACAGCACGAGCCTCGGTGCATCCTTTGGCCGGAATTCCGATGTCGAGTTCATGAGAACACCCATGGCTGAGTACATGTATATCAGTGGCAGTTGCTTAACAGCCCGCAGCTGTAGAATAATTGCTAATTCGGCCTCTTAACGGCTACACGAGAAGAAACAGCCCAGTGGTGTTTCTGATGGCTGATTTTCACAAGTGCACAAGAACACCGCTAGGAATATGCTGCCGTGGGGGCTGATCCAGGCCCTACATTCTTTCATCTTCTCTTCACAGGTTCATCATATATTGGCGACGATCAAAAGGCTGAGCTTCGCTGGGCCACAACCTCAACTCCTTCATGCGGCCGTCATTATTGGAAAGGCCCCTGAAAATACCCGCCTAAACGCTCTACTTCAATTGAGCCTCTTCTCAACACACCTCTTCCTGTCTTCATCTCATAGCATTGGTGTCCTTGCCGACAGGCTACAGGTAGCCTCGTCTCCTAGAGACGGCTTATTTCACATAAATCCATTTCTTCCCACCATCAAACATCACATACATCACTAGAATTAACGGCGAGTGATGCATGCCATTGAAAGATGACCACCGGTATCCAAAAACCAATAACCAAAACCAGCTGACTGGTAGTTATCCCACCAAGTACGCCTATACAGCATGTCGCAGCTAGTAGTGCAAAGCTCAGACATGTGGTAATATGGAGAGCCAAGGGCACTCGGGCTAATGAGCTTGCCGTATTCACCGGGAATTGCAGAGCATTGAGCCATGCGGCACTCCCATGTTATTTTGCTCACAACATGGACCAGGGAGTCATTCTACCAGCTCCGTTCACAGCCTGACGACGAAGCGGAGCCAATAAAGGCCACAACGGAACGTCGACAGAGGTCGTGCGGACATCTGAGCAGCGATGCCATGGTTGACTGGCAGACTCGCCACACGGCTGCTGTTGTTGTAGCGGCTTTAGCCATGTGATGAAGAGCTTAATCGATCTGCTAGCCTGAGTCGGCAAATCGAGCACGATCCCATCATGCAGGGGCCTGTAGTCGCTTTCTTCAGAACAGGGGCTTCCCTTTTCTCTGTCATCACGTGTCTGAACAACGTGGACTTGAGAGAAATAAATGGCGAGGAGAATACGTAGAGAACCCAATTTGCGGTCTCATCCCCGGACGTCCATCATGCCAACATCGTTTCGGAGGCGGGGAATTTGAATTTCTTCATCATCTGATGAGTCCGCCGCTTCAGCACTGGCTCGGTCGAGCATTCTCTCAATATCTTCGTCTCGTAGGACTCTCCTAGCACTGTTATGCCCGGCACCAAGCCCGGTGGGAAGCGAGAGAGCTCCTCGCAAATGGCTATTGGGCCCTTTGAGTCGTCTTTTCGGTGTAACTCCATTCGGGCTGTAGTATGGGTGCTGTGGAGTATCTACGTCCATGGGCGATCCAGGAGGGTGCATCATTCCGGGAGACTTGTCTAACCCAGGCCTCCGGTGGGCATTGGTTGGTGGCCTATGACCCGGCAGACCCTTCCTAGGCCCGCTAGGCAATGCGTGTCTTGCAGCGACGTTTCTGAAAGCATTGGACTGAGGATTAGGAGACGCAGAGGGGGAGAATGTATGCTTCAGGTTGGCCGAGTTGTTGGGACTGCTCATGAATAGCAATGCCTCCATGGCGTCCTGCTCTCTGACGTTCTGATGGGACGGGAATAGGATGGGGTCGGCCATGCGCGTGGGCTGAGAAAGAGATTGATGAGGCTCGACTAGCATTGCCTGGCCGGGAGTGTGAGGAGACGCCGAATGGGAATGCGAGAGCATAGTGGGAGTATATCGCGGGCTAGAATTGCGGCGCGGGTTTGGGCGTGCAGCAGAGATGGAAGGCTGAATGGTGGCCGGAGGAGCAAGAGAGGGCTTGTTAGAGAGCAAGTTGGGAGAATCGGACTTGCGGCGAATACCAGCTTGCTGGGCAAGATGAACCTGAGTGGATGCAGCTGTGATATCCAGACGCGGACTCGCCGAGGAACTGTGTCGTCTGATGGTAGAGGAGCCCGAAGCAGGAGAGACGGCCTGGGAGGCGGCCATTGATTCCACCTCTTCAATAGAGTGACCCTGCCAGCCAAAGTTTACCTTGACCATGGCATAGGAGAGACGAGTCTTGAGCTCGGCAGAGAGCTACGAGGAAACCACGTCAGTTCATGTAATACAACGTCTACAAAATCAAAGAGCATGCCAACGTACCTCTCCAATAGTGCTGCCGGTGGACGTGATGCTGACGGTGCTGAGGTTTCTGGCATGGCCATGGCCACGTGCCTTGGCAGGGCTCATACCAGGCTTGACCTCGCCATCCGCCATGCGTTTCCTAGATGCGCCAGCGGTTGATATTCTGTCCTGGGCAGCGGCAATGGTGGACAGCTGCAAAAGATGGTCGCTCTTGTCGGCGGAGGCATCGTGTGCCAGATGTGCCGCGGCACCGTCCGTCACGCTGCTGATGTCGCTGGCGGGGGGCGTCATGGCATGAACCGAGGAGCTGGTGACGTGGGATTCTTGCGAGTTGGTCACGGTCAAAGGAATGCTGAGGGCGGAGCCGGGGCCACTGGCATCGTGGGTGTCGGATTGTTGCGATTGCTTCGGCGACGGGCCACGGGGCGTCTCTCCCACCTCGCTCTGCGAAGACGCAACTTGAACATCAACATGGCCGTCCCAGTTGCCCACGGCCATGTCGGTGGCGGAGGAGCAAGACGCCGCGGCGACGGCGGCAGCAGCAGCGGGCGAGGCGGGCACAGCTGGCAGCATCTCGGGCGCGCGTGCTTCGACGCCCACGGCCGGAGCAGGAGGCGCTGGGTGCGACATGTCGCGCGGATTGTCGAGAGCGCGACAAACCCCACTGCGAGCGTGTGTGCGTTACGTGGGACGTCTGGCCTGGGGATTCAAGACCAACAGCGGCGCGTTGGCGCGTGTCGAGAGGGAGGCTGGAGCAGAGATGGAGAGCCAGCAATGGGTCTGGAATAGAGGTCCAGGTACAGGTACGGACCGGTACTCGTATGTGGTCAAGTGAAGCAAAAGAAGAAAAAAAAGCAAATATAGCGATAGTGGTTGCAAAGGTGGGTGTCAGTGCCGGTGTCAGTGAGGCAGCAGAAAAGATGTCGGTCCTGGTTTGTGTGTGTGGGTTACGCGCGGTCCAGTCGCGACGGATGCGGGAGGGACGGGCAAGGACGGGATCCCCAAAAGTCCAAAAGGTCCCCCCAAAGACCGCCAAAAGCGCAGCGCTGAGCGTCCACGGCCAGCGCGGTGACAGCACAGGTAGGCGCTGCGGTCCCCATAAGTTCTGCACTCTACTCGCTGAGCGTCCAGTGGCATTCGCCATCACTCAGCGGACCTACCTCACTGAGGCTAGGCGCGAAGCCATCGACAGAGATGCCAGAGTGCCAGAGGCATCACGCGCACTGGAGCACCAGCGCTAAGTCGGTGGATTGGGTGGACCCGGCGTCTTTTGTAGGTTCAAAGTGACATTGATTGATTGAGTGCAATATTGAATCGAGAGGGAAAAGAGGTCAAGGGAAAGCTGTCCAACCCGAAACCTCAAACTATCAAGTGTCGCACGAGGAGAGGAGAGGGAGAGAGAGAGTACATAGTTGTGAGTGTAGAACAAACAGGTAGAAAGTCTCAGGTTGGCTGGGCGAGTCTCTCTTCTCTGTGTAACCACCTCGATAGTTTCATGGATGTCGTCAACCATTTGATTTCTCCTCTGCAGAACAAAACAAAATCTTCAGCGGCCGGGCTCGCTAATACCAAAACAGGGCCGCCTGCAGCTCTCTCACATCATCCTACCTGACCTTGCATGGACAGAAGAACCCCCCCAAAAAGGCGCTACGGTCAATTTTTTCTTGTCTCGTTTGCCCGCAAAATGCAACCCTCGGGGCGCGGGCTTTGTGGGTTGCGCAGTTTTGCACAGACTGGACAAAAGCCTCACTCAAAGGACATGCATATCCGCTCCCTCGCCAGTGACTGCGTTATACAGGGTTCGTTGTTAGTTTGAGAACCTTGGTGGGACGTTGCTGCACGACTTTTCTTGGCTTGTGCTCTCTTCAAAATCGCTCCCCGCCCCCTCAAAAAAAAAACCCCCCCCGCGAGTACCATGAAATGGACTGGGAGATTTTTTTTTCTTGCGCCGGCCGGAGTCAATTGGCAGATGCCTATTATCCAGAATTCAGCTGAGCGGCCGAAAATGGCTCTAGGCGAGAACCAGTTTCGCCCTGGCCGGGTTTTTAAGTTTGCTGCTGGCGTGGCAAATCAATCGGCAACCATGGAGTTTCCCGTGTTCGACAGCCTCCGGCACACTCCACCAGTTTTTCTTCTGCTTTGTCTTTGTGGTGTGGGCTGTGCAACCCTGCAGAGGCTTTTTCGCAGTTGAGATGAGCCTTGAAGGTTCGCGAAATTCGTCATGACACGAAGTCACGTGGATGACGCGACACGTCTTTGTGTCTTAGTCAGCAGCCAAAAAGTCTGATTCCAGCCGGCTACAGCCTCGAGCTATTATTAGCACCATCTGTGGGTAAGGGTTTTCATGCCACATTCCCAGCACGTGATCCATCTTTCTTGGGATATCTCCACCATGTGTTGTTTCAGGCACACTCAGAGTACTAAGATGTAGGGAGAATTACCTGTAGATGCGGCCCAAGGACAAGAAGTTTCTAGGTATTCTATTTCATGACGTCTATTGGCATCGTGTGTACTTCTATGGGCTTCATCTATAACAGACATCTACTAGGACTGTAAATATCACCACCACTGCCCCCCATCTTCATGAGACATTCTGCGTAACATATACGCGCTATCCGCAGTCCGGTTCGTCTCCGCCAGCCGCTTGTGAGCCATACGCTCCTCCGTCAAGAAGAACTCCTTCATTATTATCCAAGTCGTCCTGAACCCTTCTCCATCCCTTGCTGCGGCTGCTTCGGCCCTCTGCCTCGGCCCCTTTGCCTTTGGCATCATAGACGGGCCTCATCACGGCCCCCAAAAGCGGATTTGTACTAAAAGCCCCGCCAGCGTTCTTGTTTCCAGAAGTCTCTCGCAGGATGCCAGAGTCGATTTCTGGACCATCATCTTCCTCTGGTGTGACTGGGCGTTCGACGGGCGCAACGGTCCTCACAACTCGACGGCCAGCAAGGTCGATGCTAATCACTTGCTGCCGCTTCTCATAGTCTGGCCGTGCGTTCCATTCCATCTCTCGCATGATTTTCTGCTGTCTCTTCAACTCCTTTGCTCGTTCTTCGGGCGTCGCCCACATGCTGCCCATTCCACCCATGGCACCCGACACGTCAAAGTCTGCTGCTTCATCTCTCACCGTCGTGCGCTTGGCGTTTTGCGCCTGGAAGTTGAGCAGCTTGTCTCGATGGTCTCGTGCTTTGGCAGCCGCTTCAGACAGTGATGGAGCATCGCTATCCAACCCTCGCGGCGGCGTAAACGGTGCGGGTGTCTTGGCTACATCTGCCTTGCGATGAGCCGCTGCGTTCGCTGCCATCTTTTCCCTGCCACGCTCGTCTTTCAGTTCTCTAACCATGGCTTGGATCTCGTCGGAACTTAGTAGTGGTGTGCCGCAAAACGTACATGGCCCCAAGCCTTCCTTCAAGCAGATGACTTTTCCGCAAGACAGACAATTGGGGGCCGCAGCTTGAAGAGGGTGTCTGGCTGCCACGCAATTGCATTTCCTTGACTTGGTATCCTTCTCCAGCGTTGGGTTTGTCGTAATTTCTAGAGATCGGATGGCAGCGTCCAGATCAGCCAACGCTGTAGACTGGCCCGCCATCGGCACACCTCCTGAGATTGAAATCTTGGTGACATTTCCGCCGTTGGTCGGCTTTGGCGTCGACGTACGAGAAACTGGTGTAGACTTGGGCTTTGACTTTTTTGGGCCGTCGGATATGAGATAACCAGCCGCTGTAGAATTCGATTGCTTTGGGACTGGGGCTTCGACCTTGGTAGGTTGTGCCGCTTTTGTAACTGTAACAGTTGGTTCCTTAACGGGAGGTCTTGCCGGCGAGGCTGTCCTTGACGGGCGATTGCTGCTCGGAGCACTGGATCGCTGAGATATGTACTCCAGATCGGAATCCTTTTTATTGTATGCCTTTCCAGCTGGACCGGCGTAGTTTTCGACTTTTCGGGCCTCTGGGGTGTGTATCGGCGCTTTCTTCTTCTTCGGCCCTCTGGTCGATTTGGGCACAGCGTCTGTTGTTTCAGGAGCGGCAGGTTTTGAAGCTTTGGACGGAGCTTTTGATGTCGAAGCGGCTGGAGGGGCTGCGGGAGCCGCGGGATCTTTTCGACGAGCGTTGAACGTGGATATAAAATCGATTACGGCAGGCGAATCGCCGAGGAGGTTGCTAAAGTGTGTGACCGCTTCGGGTTTGGAGAGAGTCGAGGCATAGTCGAGAACTTGCTGTAGTTCCTCATCTGGCAGCGGGAGCAGCTGGGCGAGCTGGTAGATGGACATTGAGGCGACGATTTCGGCAATTTTTCTTGTGTTGGATATACGGAAAGCTAGGTGGATATTGAATTAGGTGCGGGTGTTAAATTATGTCACTGTCACTGAGCTTGATATGGAGGGGCGCAAGTGAAGCAAAGCTCCCAGCTGTTGGTCTTTATCGGTGGATGCAGGGACTTATCTGTAGCGGCAGATGAGTCATGCCGAAAAGAGACAGCCATTGCATTTACATGGTCTAAAATCCGGGAAACCAAGCCACCCAAAGTGAGAGTGCCGGCTGATTGCATTTCGTGTTGAAAATTGTTAGTTAAATCATTGTCTTGCTTGTCTAGAGTGCCGCTTGTTAGCTTAACAATGGTGGGGTTGATAGAAGTGGGAAGCGATCCCCAGCCCAGCTTCAGCCTCTGTTCTCGACGCATTCGTCCCAAGCTGCACTAATACCCGTACCACAATATGTATGTATGTGAGCGAGTGGCTCGCTAATATGAATGGTCTGCTCAATGCTATGTAAATGTGTAATTGCAGCCACAGACGTAGCTCCTCGGCATTAAGTCGACGTCTTGTAAGCATGCCGACACTATTCAACATGTAGTGGTCGTCTAACAAACACTCACACTCATACCCATTAACCTTAACCAAACAGCACATCACAGCACAATCCCATCCTCTCCAGCTCGCTTACGTCTTCCGTCAGCCGGCCAAAATGACGAGATCTACAACAATCCCCCCCCTCCGGACATGTCGCTCCAGCGGCTCCTCTGGAACAAAATGAAGCCCGAAATTCCCTCCCATTGCCTTCCCTCCGGCCGGTCCGTTGAAACCGCCATCACCCAATGCGGGAACTTGGCCCCATCCAGCAAGTTCAGCCGGGAAATCCCGGATTATAGCCGGCCTTGAGCCACAGCCGTTGCGCATTTTGTCCTCACCAGCTACAAGAACCCTCGCCATCCTCAGCGCCGAAACCTTTTCTTGCTCTCCACCACCCGCCCCAATCGCCTCTGTCCTTGGTTCAATTCCTCGCATCTCTCTTTAGATCATCATGTTGGCTTCCAGAATCCAGCGCAGGGCCTTCTCTGCCTCTGCCCGCAACGTATGAGCCTTTTGTCCCCCCTCCCCCGCCTGTTCTTCCGTCTCAGCGCCCAAAACTCTGTCTGTATACCTGATCGTGTGTTGTGCTGACCAGCTGCTCTTCGGCGTTGTTAGCTGTCCAAGGTTGCCGTCCTCGGTGCTGCCGGTGGCATTGGCCAGCCTCTCTCTCTCCTCCTCAAGCTCAACACCCGTGTCACCGAGCTTGCTCTGTACGACATCCGTGGCGGACCTGGTAAGTCCACGTCGCTCCCCCTTGCGCCAATTTCCAATTTTTCCTCGGGCTTTCTGTTCCGGGCCTCCTGAAAAGTGTCAATGGCTAACTGTTGCTTGCAGGTGTCGCCGCTGACATCTCCCACGTCAACACAAAGTCCACCGTCAAGGGCTATGAGGCCACCCCCAGCGGCCTTGCTGCCGCCCTCAAGGGCTCCGACATCGTCCTGATTCCCGCCGGTGTCCCCCGTAAGCCCGGCATGACCCGTGACGATCTCTTCAACACCAACGCCTCCATCGTCCGCGACCTGGCCAAGGCTGTTGCCGAGTCCGCCCCCGAGGCCAAGCTCCTCATAATCTCCAACCCGGTCAACTCCACCGTCCCCATCTGCGCCGAGGTCTTCAAGGCCCGCGGTGTCTACAACCCCAAGAAGCTCTTTGGTGTCACCACCCTCGATGTTGTTCGAGCTAGCCGCTTCGTCTCCGAGATCAAGGGCACCGACCCCAAGGACGAGAAGATCACCGTCATCGGCGGTCACTCTGGCGTCACCATTGTTCCTCTCTTCAGCCAGAGCAACCACCCCGACCTCTCCTCCAACGCCGAGCTCGTCAACCGTGTCCAGTTCGGTGGTGACGAGGTCGTCAAGGCCAAGGACGGTGCCGGCTCTGCCACCCTCTCCATGGCTTTCGCCGGTGCCCGCATGGCCGATGCTCTCCTCCGCGCCGCCGACGGCGAGAAGGGCGTCATTGAGCCCACCTTTGTCGAGTCTCCCCTGTACAAGGACCAGGGCATCGAGTTCTTCAGCACCAACGTCGAGCTCGGCCCCGACGGTGTTGAGAAGATTCACCCCATTGGCAAGATCGACGCCAACGAGCAGAAGCTCGTCGAGGCCTGCCTGGGCGATCTCAAGAAGAACATTGCCAAGGGTGTTGCCTTTGTCCAGGAGAACCCCGGCAACTAAAGCGACTTGAAATGCCTTTCAGCATGACTTGAGCGTTTTCTTTTTTTTTAATGAGACAAACGTCCGGGAGGGGGGAAAGATCAAAGGAGGGGTGGGACTGGACCACGGGGACTGGCTCGCTGCTTAGCTACAGGCGGCTTGGTTGGGCTGGGGCTTTGTGAGGATGGTACACGGAAAATATAGGGGAGGTTTGGATGAAAGAGAGAAAAAAAAAACGTACGCACGAGAAAATCATGGCTTTGAAGAGGCTCCCTATTTCCCCGCTGTTCTGCAGCTGCCATAGACTTCAATCGAGTCTCTGTAACATTAGCAAACAAAATAAATACAAGAAAATCCTAATTTCCGAAGTTTCTTTAGTAAATACTGTAGGAATGAGGAAGGGTAAGTGTCGTTTAGAAGAGGAAACTCTTCTACTATAGGTATGAGGAAGTACAAGCATCATTGAGAAGAGAGAACTCTATTAGATTCAGGCTTTATCGGCGTCTACATTACTCCGCATCCCTTCCTAAGCATCTAACAGCATTATACAGCCTCCGCCTCTATACGTGTACTTCTTTTTCCTTTCTTTCTTTTCCTAAATGACTTTTGCCGCTGTCACCGCCCGCCGGAAACCTAACAAGAAAGGGGAATGGAAATCATCATGATCCAGACGCCGCCGCCGGCTGCTGACGGCCAGTGGCCCACGCCTCAATCTTCCTCTTGCGCTCCTCGACCCTCCTCTCAAACTCGGCCACCTTCTCCAGCCTCTCCTTGTCGTCCTGCTCGGCCTTCTTCCTCTCCACCTCCTTCTTGCGCTCCATCTCGCGCTTGAGCTGCTCAGGGCGGCGCTCGGCAATGTCGCGCGGGCGGTAGTCGCTGAAGAACCTCTTCAAAACGACTTCAATAAGCCAGCACAGCACGTAGTCCAGAACCATGACCATGGACATATTGGTCTTGAACTCGTCGGTAAATGGAACCAACTTCATTTGTTCGTTGATTTCGGGCATCAGCTCGAGAGCGCAGACGAAGGCGAGACCGGAGACACCGACGATACCGTAGAACATGGCCCTGTTCTCGGTGATGGACTCACGGAAGGGTCGGCCCTGGTAGTTGATGGCGAAGGTAGAAATTTGTTGAATCAGCTGCAGCAAGTAAATCGCAGAGTTGAGCAGCGACGGCGTGAACTCAGCCTCAAGATCAATGTCTCCAGAGCGTCTATAGCAATGTTAATAAGAGATTAAGTGACACTTGGGTATAGTGAGAGACACTTACGGTTCAAGTCTATCGCACAAACGAGCAATGTAGATGAGAGTCACAATATGAACAGCAAATTGTCCCAGAATCGATCCGATGATGTAGACGTTGAAAATGTTGGGCTGGGGTCGCTCTTTGCTGAGTCCTTCCACAACGCGAGCTCGGGAGATGCTCAAGAAGCAAACAGACATGAGCATACCACTGATGGTGTACTGCGTATCGCCAAACTTGATACCCTCAAGGTACAAAACAGACAGGGAGTAGGCACTGATCAGACAGTTCAGAGCAAGGATCTTGTACATCTGGATTGTGGCGACGAGGGTGCATCGGCCTTGGCGAATGATGTTGGGAATAGCCATGACATCGCGAAGCTTGGAGGTGAACGGAGCAGCGACGGAGGCGTCTCCCAGTTTCAAAGTCGGGGGCTCATCATCACCCATCTCAGCTTCCATCATGCTGCTGGTCAGTTGGTCAGCCAAACTGGCCGCCTTCTTGTTGACTTGCTGCTGGCGATCATTGATGAGATTCTGAGCGCCGGGAGAGGTAATGGTTTCCACAGGGTGGCCATGCTGTTTAATGTATTCCTCGGGCGTAATCTTCTTTCGGGTAGCTTCGCGCTCAATAGCCTTCTGGTAGTGGGGGTTGGTAGGTCCAGGTGCGTAGAGGTGGGCAATCATGACGGGGACGGGGGGTGCAGGCTGGTTGAAGCGCTTCATGAGCTCGCATTGCTTCTGGTACATTTCCTTGAGCTTTGTGTTGCGAGCGTGCTCTGCGATGCGAGTCAAGTCATCCTTGGTACCGTTGAGGAGGGCAATGCCAATGTGAGCCTGTTTCAAGGCACCGACATCGTTGGTGCCGTCACCAGCCATCAATGTATAGTAACCCATATCCTTTAGACCGAGCAGAATATCTTCCTTTTGCTTTGGTGAGACACGAGCATAGACCCAAGTGTAGCGCAGAATGTCCTTCCATCCAGGCTGGCCCTTGAACTGGGCAAGAGCATATCCGGTCACGCAGATGTCCTTGTTCTTGATAATCTCAGGGTCGATGGGCTTTGAAGGATCCACGTGGATGGTAACCTTGTCGTCAACGCTCTTCCAAATGAGCTGCTCGCCGCCATGGTTATCCTCGGGGGCGTCCAGAATAAGAACATCGCGATCAACAATTTCGACTTCACGGGCAACATGCACAGCTGTCAGAGGGTTGTCACCGGTAATCATAACAACACGGTGGCTACTCTCGTTGAGCATCTGAACAGCCTCCTTGGCGTCTTCCTTGAGGGGGCAGTGAAGAACCAAAAAGCCAGCGAACGTGAGATCAGCCTCAACCTTTTCTCGCTTGAGGTCGTTAATTTTGCCAGAGCCCAATTCGGAATCAACAGTCAGCTGCTTGTATGCTAGTGCGAGAACTCGGGATCCCTTGCGTGTAAAGTATTTGTACGTCTCCTCGTAATCTGCGGGCACCTCGACGAGCATCTTTTGGATGGTTTCAGGAGCACCCTTGACACCTGCAAATGTGCCCTTGATCTTCTGGCCGGTCGCAGTATGAATTCCATTGACAAACGCAACGGAGCTCTGACGCTTGAGTGCAGAGGAGAACTGGAAACGGCGCTTGATGTGGACGTTGCCTTGGGTAGTGCCAGCCTTGGGAGTGCTTGAGAGAACGTCGTTACGGCCAAGGCCCCAGCCAAGAGAAGTAAGAGTAGCCTTTTCCATTGGGTCTCCCACAATGTCACCTTCATCCAATCGTACCAGGGCGTGAGCGGTAGCGAGTACCAACTGGGTCTCCAGACTAGCCTCTTTGACGGCAATGATGGTCGAGTGGGCGCCATCGCCTTCTCGCTTGTCCTCCACGTCGGTATGGTTCAGGCCAAGCCCAGCAATACCTTCCACAACCAAGTCTTCACCAGTAAGCGTTCCAGTCTTGTCGAAACAAGCGATATCGACACGTCCAGCAAATGGGATTCGGAATGGCTCTGTGCAGAAGATGGCCAGTTTGGCGAGGGCTGCCAAACTAGTGTTGACTGCGAGACTAAGCTCCATTGGCAGCTCGGGAGGCACAACACTGGTAATGATCAAAACGCAATCAAGTAGGAGCTTGGAGCGCTTGCGATCCCTTCGCACACCCTCGTCCCAGACGTACCAGGAGGCGGCGATCGCGAAGACGAGAAGGAACAGGATGAACAGGAGGGCCTCAAAGTTGTTCGCAGAGACACGCTCGGTGGAGTAGATCATGGTTCGGACAAGACTGCCTTGCGAAGTCTCGAAGCCAGTCTTGATAACAATAGCCAAAGCCCCATTGTCGGGGGCAGCAGGGACGCCTGAAGCCAGCTTGGGCTTCTCCTGGTCAGGGTTTCCATGGGTGATTTGGAGAACTTTGGTGCCACCCCACAAGAAGGCGTTCTTGTCGAGTCCCTCTGTCTCAAGAAGAGCATCGGCTGGACGCAGCTGAATCGAGTCCTTGAGCAGCGGGGTGCTTTCTCCGGAAAGCATGGCCTCGTTGACAATGGCAGTGCCTTCAACCAAGAGCATATCACATGCGACGCCGCTGTCTTCCTTGGTTCGGCCAACGGACACAAGGTCACCAGGCAAGAGCGCATCGCTCTGGACCTCGGTCCATTTGCCAAGACGGTAGACCCAGACATCGTAGGGCTTAATGCTCATTCCGCGGAACTCGTTCAAGGTACGCTGGCGCTGCCAGACGACGGTGCTCTCAAATGCGACAAGCATGAACAGAGTGAACAGCGAGTAGTACCAGTATTCATCAAGCATCCACAAGCCAACGCAGAAGATCTGGAAGACGAAAAAGGGCGCGACAGCATGCTCTTTGAAGAGTTCTGTGAATGTCGGGACGGGGATGTCGAAAGTGTTTGTGCCATAGTGTTGCTCGATGCGGGTCAACTCGGACTGCTTGTCGATACCCTTGGAAGCCTGGAAGTGGCCAATGGTAGGCTTCGGCTCGCCATCGATGGGATACGTGAGGCTGCTAAAGGTCTTGGTCTCCGAATCGTAGAGGAAACGACGTTTCTGGAACAGGAATGAGAGATTGGTCTTGCCCCCAACCTGCCGAGTAAGTTGCGTTAGTTGATGACGGCACGACGGTGGGCTGAGGACCGAAGGGAAAAGACGTACCTTGTCCCGCAACAGCTTGCAGATTTCGGCGGAGCCGGCGTTGGCAATGGGAATGACCTTGACCAACTGAGCGTCCTGAATATCCTTGTCCTGGACCTTGGCCGCAGTGAACCGCGCATCCAGAGCGACGCTCCAGTGCGTGCTCAGCCAAACCAGAGACTGCAGGGTGATGATGGTGCCGCACCAGACAAAGGTCCATTCGGAGGCGCCAATGTGCTTTTCGTAGAGATCCGGGGTCAAGTAGTACCTCAGGAAGATGGGCCACAGAATGGCAAACGGCCAGACGTAGGCGTGGAAGTGGAAGGGCAGCGGACGAAGCAACTCCGCATGCTTGATCTGCGGGTTGTCCACGAGGGCTGCCATGGCGGGCAGATAGTTTGAGGCACCCCAACGGCCTCCGGACAGCAAGTAGAGCGGCGCGAGGAATCAGCAGTAACGGGCCGTCGAAGGTCCGGTCATTGAAGATTTGAGAGAAGAAAAGAAAAAGGCCAGACGGAAGCCTCGTCGGCGGAGTTGGAGAATTCCACAAATTCGGCCGGCTTCCAAGCCGCGATCTGTACTTTTCGCATGGCCTGGACTAGCGAGCATTTGGTGGCGAGTACATTGGGCCCTTAGTCAGCTATCGGAGGCAATGGAAGGCCGCTGATAAGGACGGCGAACCCGCACGTCATTTGTCCCCCACCAGGCGGAATACATGGGCGAGCAAAAGTACCAGCCTAGTATCTGGTTCCTTAGAAATTGGTATTTGGATAGTATGAAATGTGCTATATATCATGAAGTAATAAACAGGTGCGCACTGTAAAGAATTCCCGAGATGTGTATGCCCAGGTACTTGTAGTGAATGTACCTTGAGCTTTGAAAGGTGCAGTGGTGACCACGCCACCAATAGCGCTAACGGGACTCTAGAGTAGAGTATAGGCACCATCTGTAGCCATAACATGTAATGGCATTGAATAAATGCATGAAATAAGCACAGCATGGTATATCCATTGCTACTAATCTAACAATTCGCGGCAGGGGTGAAACTAGCATCAGATGGATGGAAACTTTAGAAACATAATCATAGACTAAAGGTTGTATTCGGATGCTAGACCATGAGAGAAATAGCGAAACCCCCCTCTGAAAAGCGAGCGTCTTGCAGATATCCTGGGCCTGGCAAAGCTGTCTGAGAACTCAACCAAAAGGAAAATGTTGTAATTCTCACAGTTTGAATACCAACTTTTGCATGCATTGCAGGGAACGAGACCGCCAACACGGACGCGGAAGAGACGGTCAATAGGGTAGAAGCCACTGCACAAGGCGCACCCGTGAGTATAACTAGCGATTGATCGGCTATGCAATCTAACTCACAGGATGGACTATAATAAGATGCATCGTGGGATACAACAATACGAGAAAGGTGAGTTTTTCTTGGGATCTGCATCGTGAATACAGGTTCATTCCTTTGGGGGTTATGCTCACAACATGTTTTATACCATTGACTCTTTCTCCGACGTCTTGTATTGACTCAAGTTTTATGTCCATTGATGCTTGCCAACAACATTACTTTCCGCCTCGTATTACAAGTTTTCCACAACTCTCACTCAATCCAATGCAAAATATCCTCGCCGAGAAATCCGTATTTTCAGTTTCCTTGTCTAGCACAACAAGATATCAAGCTGCCAGGGCAATATGAAACGAGCAGGAAGCTATTCCGATACTGCGTAGGCAGCTATTGCTGTGTTAAAGGCACCTGTCATCCCCGTCTTCAACGCCAGAGCACCGGGCTTCAGTACAAGAGGCTCAGCTGCTATAACAGCATCCATAAAATTTGATGTAGCGATCCTCATTGACTCGAGTTGGGTTAAAACCCAAGATCCGCCCTGCATAGCCTCCCAAGCTGATTGTTGGGCCCCTATAGTTACTAACGAAGCCAGCATTGTGGGCACTTGTAGCTGAATGTCGGCAAGGATGGTTGTGCCAGACACCGTGCCGAATGCGCCAGTAGACTTGATATCAGAAAGTGTACTCTCCAAAATAGAGACTATATTGGCAATATCGTCTCGAATAGTAATTGCTCCTACAAAACCGCTATTTGGGAAACCGTTCAAGTCGTTGTTGAGGGTATTCCAACTTGGGCCCATCTTTTGTGTAATATCATTCTGTACGGCAATAACATCGCGTCGAATGATGGCAGTAGCAGTGGTAACGGTGGCAGTCAACGCCAGATACAGTAGTTTCGTGATGACCACCATTTTATTACTGCAATAGAAATCAGTGAGAGAATGTATAATCGAAGGGAAATAGAAATAGGTCAACACAATTGGACGCGAGGCCACCTGAGAAGGCACAAGAGTCTTGAAGCTTATATGTTTTATCTTCCTGAACGAGACGGAAGTAGGTACGGGCGTTGTGTGATGAGATTTTCTGTCTTGGTAATAAACTCGCCGGTCTCAGTCGTAAACGTCGTAAACGCGCATGTCTCAGTTGTTCATACGTGTGTCTCAGGATAGTGACAAAACTGCAAATTTCCTAGAGAGAATGCATCGAAATATATGTCTGCTATCCTTTAAGCGCATACCCTTGCCATGTTGAGGTTTTGATGCCAGTTGCCGGGGACCTACTGAGTCAATAAGCGGTCGACGTGGATCGGCAACGAAATGTCTCAGTCTGGAAGAAGCGGTCAGCGTAAACTGAAGTAAAATGAAGTAAAATCGTTATTGAATAAGAAAAGTTCAGCAAGCCAGCTGACAAGATATCTTAGTTGAAACTAATACTAACCGTGGGCGTTACATCAGGTTATGTTGTCTCAAACGATGTGGGACGTATAGGTAATAGAGCCAGAGGAAGTTTTCATCACATTATTGTCGACGTTAACCAACCATTCGACCCCAGTAAGTCTCTTACCGTCTGTCAGGGATAGTTTCTGCCTAAATACACAAGGTCTGTTCATTGAAATATGACATGTCACACAGTTGAAGTTTGGTCGGGATCGCAGCTGCAGGTCCATACCATACTCAGAACCTATATATATCCCATATTCGCTGTAGTGTAAATAAATGTACAAGAGAGTGCCTTCTCGCCAGATTTTACAGTCATTTTCTCAAGCATACTCTCCTACCGTCTAATCTTGCATTCAAGCACACAATCCTGCCATCAAAATGGTGAACTTTACCAAAATCCTCCTACTTGCTTCAACCACCGCTGCGATCATCCTCCCCCGCGACGCGACTACAGTTGAGAATGATATAAACCAAAGAATTGGTCCCCAATGGACCACCCTCGGCAACAACATAAATGGCTATCCTGCAAGTGGCTTACAAGGCGCCTTTAATATTCATGATTATGCGCAGAGTCTCGTTACTATCACGAATGATGCAACTGGCAACGTCAACGCTGCCGGTTCGTTTTCCGAAGCAGACGGCACCACTATTCTCGCAGACTTACAGTCCCTCGTCCACACGTTTCTTGGCACACTGTCGGCTATAGGAGATCAGGCGCTGGCCTGGGGCAATTTGCAAGGTGGACAAGCTGTGATTCTTAGTGATCTCCAAGGCCTAAACTCGTCTTTTATTGGCTTCTTCGATGCGTTGATAGCAGCTTCGCCTGCTGACCTTGTTCCCGCGGTTACGAGTGTCAGGACGCAAGTTGCGGAAGGCTTCAATAGCGCCATTGCCCCTTATTCTGGTTAGACGTTGGTCATATATATTGGTATGAATATGCTGCTGAAGTTTAATGGTTTGTGATATTTTGTTAAATGTTGGACGTGGTGTGGAATCTGGGCTTTAATTTGGGGGGACAGGGTCAAGATGAATGGGATGGTAGGTCGGGTAAAGGGGTGGTGTTCTGCAGCAAATTAATCACAGGATTAGGATTTAAACTCCAATATCCAAAAAGATAACCACTACAAAAAGCTTCTTCATGTGACGCAATAAGGATTACCAAATGTGACATGGCATTAATTAGCAGCCCATTATGGTCCATCAAGTAACCACACATGTATGATAATGTATTTTCACATGGCTTCAAAAACATAGTTTCAAGGAAGAGACTCCTAGCCGAAAGCACCCTGAGCAAGGCAGTTGCATATTGTCTACAGAGTATCGCTGCTGCTGAATGGTATCTTAACTTGACCCAATTCATCAATATCCAGCCTCAAATCCAAGCCGTCCAGGTCAGCATTCATGTTCCAAGACTCTCCTTCGGTCGTAAACCCGAGAATTTGCTCCAAAATCCTACCATTCTCGTCTTCCTGGCCTTCCTCCGCCGCAGGTGACCCCTCACCAACACTCCTCGGAATTATCCTACTCGGTGACCGCAACAACGCATCTGCTGCCTTGAGGCGTATCATATCGTTCAGCCGTTTGTCGTAGGTTAGGAACGGAGAAATTGTCTGATACATTGCGTGTAGGAAATCTGCTGGTCCGTATTTCCAATATTCTCGTTGTGCACCAAAATACGATTTGCGGCGAGAATTGTAGGAGTCTTGTACGAGAGGAGTACTGTAGGCAGTGGTGGTGCATAATATCACATCTGCTAGTGTATTTGTGATTTCAAAGGATTTAATCAGCTATGTCATTGTTAGGTCTGGGCCGAGAGGGCTGTATGCGCTTATGCACATACCTGATCTCTCCCTAACGAAACCAAATGTTCCTTCGAGTTGACTGTAATTGAGGAAAGAAAATCTTGTGCTATTTGGGACGGAAAGAGAAAAGTCATTGAATCGTCGTCTGCGGAGGACGACAGCAGACTTTGAGACATGGCTTGTTGCCAAATCAGAATTCGCATCCAATGCCTGGTAATATTGTAATCTGCGCGTTGCACCAAATCATATTCAATAGCTTTTGGGGCGATATTCTCCAGAGATCGCTGGACTGCTATGAGACGATGCTGATCGGAATTGCCCTGGCAGGTTGCGTATATATACTGAGCTGTACGATAAAAGAAGGCATCGAACGCCGCGAATAACGTGGCAAGTTCGATCAGTCCCTTTCCGTACTTGTCAAAATCATCCATGTTGTCCGTCGGGATCCGGACTGTCTCAAGTATGGAGATGGGGAGATCATGTTGGATAGCGTAACCCCTGGTTTTGAACAAACAGAGTATTAGCTCCTATGCTTCCTTGGATTGGAGATATGGTTTCAAACGTAGGTTACGTAGGTTACCTTTCGCTAACCCACAAGAGGATATAAACGAGGCGCTTGTGAGCAGTTACTGGGATTTGACCATCATCGAGGTCACACTGAAAACGGCAAGATTCGAGCTCTAGCCGGTCCAGGCGGAGAAGTCGAGCAATTGAGATGCCTTCTTGCAGATAGACCATGGATGCTTTTCTGTTGTCAGCCTTGGCATGGTAGACATGAAGAAAGAAGGACGTGAGGGCGCCCTCAACAGAAGGATGCTCTCGATAATTTGTCAGATTGCGATGCCGGTTACACTCCTTCTCCATATATTCGCTAGTAATATGAGGTGGATTATCCTTCATCGCAGTCAAGTTTAATTGAGCCATTGTCGCTGAACATAGTGCCAACGTCATAGGATAAACATCAGCATCTGGCGAATCACTCGTTTCCAGCTTCTCAAGCCTGTTGATGAGATCCGGCACATGGAGCACTGGCCAGACGGGATACATGCGGGAACTGTAGGCCTCAATCACTGGTCTGAGTATAGACAGAGGCAGCCTTTCCGCCTTGTCATAGGTCGGAGCATTGGCGGCGAATCCCGTCGAGTTTGGATCGACATGTCCGGGAGAAGCTGGAGGTTGAATCTGTGCCTCAATTCTCCATTTCCAATTGCACCGCTGCGTGAGTTTGGAAGTCTTTGGGCCCCGTTTGAGCACCGGCTTCAAATAGGTGCATTCGAGTGGAGGCTGTGCGTCAAGGCACTTGCGGCACGGCCGGCCATTGTCGCACCGAGTTTTGCGTTGAACACAGAAATCGCAGGATCTCTTGGCCATGGGCGGTTGAGCGCAGATGATGGAACGGAGCCCCGAAAAAGCTGAGTCCGGAGTAATTTAAGGAAATACTGAAGACTCTTGGCCGGACAATTACTGAGCCTGGGCCTGATATCGGTCACGGTGGAGCGGAGGACGAACGACAGCCATGGCGTTGGCCTTTCGTGCAAGTTTGTCCGTCGAGCGAGTCACGCATAACTCTGGGTACAGGCTTTATGTATGGAATATGAGTGTAAGCTGCATGTACTATGCGTTGACGCTCAATTGGCCCCCACGAACGAGGGGGTTGAGCGGGGGTTGAAGGTTGAGGGGATGAGTTTACGATGAGCTAAAGGAAAGCTCCGACTGCGGTGCCATGCCGGGTATCGGGTCCGCTGTTCTAGAATCATAGGCAAATCCGGAGTGTGCGGATAGATGCTGATTTCAAATTCATTTACATCATGTGTCACTTACACGGCGAAGCACTTTTTCAGAGTCAAAAGGGTTAAGTAATGGAAGAAAATACTCGAAGGTGTTTGATACCTAATGCGTATTCAAGATACACATACCTCATGCAAGGCATTAGGTGTGTTGTTCGTGGATGCTTCGACTTACACATGGAGTACAAGGCAAACAAACAACGTCACGCGAAACAAAGTGCTGACGCAGGCAACCAGTTTAACAGCATTGCCAATCATATGCCCTCAATAGAGGCATCGCCGTAGCTAGAGTCGATTAACGCTGCCGATCTGGGTTGGCCACCCGGACAAATGCTGGACAATTTGGCAATTTGGCGGGGAAGTTGGAGAAATTGCGTCGAGACTGTGAACAACCAGCCCCGTGACTACACCATCTCAACCGGGCGAATCAAAACATTTGGTGGTAAAGATGGAATCGATGCTTTCCGTCGTGAAACCTATAAGAGATCGAATTTCATCCGTCACAAGGATGTGGTACATGTCGTCGTTCAACCACGCCACGAATAGACATCTATCCGCAATCTATCCGCGACAACTGTGTCTATCCGCAACCACACTTATACTCACTATCCTTATATCTATCCGCGATAGCAATTTCCTGCGAAAATGGTCAATATTCCCAAAACTCAGACAGCGGCTACTGTCCCAAAACTTGGTGGCGGAGTTGTTTTTGTGCATGACTATCCGGTGCCGCAGCCGGGTCACAATGAAGTCCTGGCCAAAGTTCTCTATTCGGGCGTCTGCCAGAGCGGTAAGAATGAAGTCACTTACACCAAACTGTATTTCCGAGACAGCCAAACTCTTGATTACAATTCTAAGTCATACTCCGTGCAGATCTCCACACTCAAGCTGGCATTGCAGCATCAGCTCAGGGAACGCCAATTCGTAATGTGAAGCTACCTCATGTTGGAGGGCATGAAGGCGTTGGACGCATCATTGCCTTGGGTCCTGGCGTAGATGAGGACATCAAAGTTGGCACATATGTTGGTATCAGATTCGCAAGTCGAATTTGCCGGCGATGCAACTTTTGTTTGGCTGGAAAGGAGCAGCATTGCATTAAGAGCACGAACCACTTGCATCATGAAGATGGAAGCTTTCAGGAGTACATTGCCTTGGATGCTGGCTATCTCACGCTGCTGCCTGATGATATCGACCCTGTTACCACCGGACCTGTTCTCTGTGCTGGATTGACCACTTACAAGGTAAGTTGTAAAGTATTCTAATACGCAGCTGCCAATGCACCTGTAACTAACAACAACTATCCAGGCAGTCAAAAATTGCAATGTCAGCGCAGGAGACTCTGTTGTAGTTGTTGGTGCTGGTGGTGGACTGGGTCATCTCGCAGGTATTTATCGCACGAGTAATTCCATATGATCTCTTTATACTAATAGCGAATGTTTAGTTCAATATGCACTGGCTCAAGGCGCTATCGTATACGCCGTTGACGGTGGTGCTGAGAAAGGAGAGTTCCTGAAGTCGCTTGGTGTGACTGGCTACGTCGATTTTACGACCACTCCTGATCTCACTGAGAAGATTCACGAGATTACCAACGGGGGAGCGGATGCCGTCATCGTAACAGCGGCGAATCCAAAGGCGTTTGCCCAGGCCGCTGAAATGCTCGCCGTCGGCGGGACGCTCAGCTGTGTTGGAATTCCTGCAGAGAGATGTTTTCTCGAAACGCCCATCAGCACCATCGTGATCAAAGGTCTTCATATAACTGGTAACCTGGTTGGATCGCTCAAAGAATGCTTGGAGGCGGTGGATCTCGTACGAAGAGGCATTGTGAAGCCCAAGGTTACGGTTCGTCCGTTTGAGGACTTGCCCAAGATTTATGAAGAGCTGGAGAGGGGTGATGTTTTGGGCCGTATTGTGTTGAAAATTGCAAAGGACGAGTGAGTGGATTCTCAGTGGGATGTCGAATATCGCACTCAAGACTGTCACACAGTATAGTAGAATTCATAACCTAAGTGGAGATTACTGTTCAAAACTACAATAATTTGTCTTCTAATGTTGCTTGCCTTTCGACTTACACATCTATGTATTGTAGATCACTCGGCAACTCCTCACCAATGCGGCAGAAGTATGCCGCTGAGCCATGCCGCCGCACAAGTCGCAGTGTCTTGCTTCATGTATTCGCAATATCTTTCTCTCGGAGTCGCGCAGTCTTGCTCGCTCGGCGTGCTGTTCTAACCCAACTCAGTACCCCACGGCACTAATCATGTTCCCCAAACCAGAGTTCTAAGTTGCATACCAGCGGATCGGGTTCGATCGGGCTCGGAAATACGGGCCACTATTGGACAGGCCATGAGCCGTAGGGCGCGCCAGAAGAGGCTGGACATGACTCTAGTCGCCAATAACTTCTGTAAGCAATTTCGACATTGAATTGACAAATTGACGTTTCGATGGACTGCAGAAAACCGGATTGTTGAGTCCATTTAGCTATATAAACCAGGGCTGTCCCCCTTCGGTTTCTGTCTCTTCTCCTCCTGCCTCTGACTATCATCTCAAAGCACATCCCAGTGACCATCGAAATCTCACCGGTAAAGAATATCGTATCACGGACTACAGCCTCAACCATGTGTCAAACAACTGGTGTTCCTTCATCTTCTGAGCGGGCCACCTTGAGTGCCGCTGCCAGAGCTGTGGTGCCGAACCATCCCGCCGCTCAAGAGGCCCTCGATGTTGCTCTCAAGTCGCTTTCGCCATCCCTCTTCAACCACAGCCTCCGCCTATACATCTACGCCCAAGCGCTGCTCAACTCGTCGTCGGCTGGACTACCCGGTTCCTTTGAAGCCTTCAAGGGGGTTTCAGTTGAGCCTCACGTGCTCTTCGTTGCTTGTATCTACCATGATCTGAGCACGGTCGAAAAGTATGACAGCAACCCCAAGCGCTTTGAGATCGTTGCTGGCGATGAAGCAGTGCAGCTGCTACTTAAGCACGGTGAGAGTGAATCGGCCGCTAGGGAAGCCTGGCTCGCCATGTCACTACATACCACGCCCCATATTCCGGAGAACCTTGGAGGAGCCGTACAGGCATTGCGACTAGGAATAAGGACTGAGTTCCGCGGGTACGAGTTGGCGAAAGAGGCGCTCACGAAGGAACAATGGAGGGTCGTCAAGGAAGACTTGCCTCGTCTTGAGATTGAGAAGGATCTTTCTGATGCAGTTGTTCGACAGGCGTTGGCGACTGAGGAAAAGGCACCAAGAATGACATGGGCAGGAGAGCTATTGAAGTGGAAGAAGGCGAACCCGGATTACCAGGGCACCAACCAAGCATTCTGAGTTGATGACGGACCTAGATGATTTGTGAATAGTTGAGAACAGTTATGGCGTACATAGTATAAATCGAGTACCTACATCGACAAGTACTGTACTGATGTCAGTGCAAATAGATCCGATTTGATAAAGATCTATTGTGTGTTGCTACCAACACTTTGGACTTTCAATCCTTTTCCGTGCCATTTCAATCATGCACGCAGTAACGCGATCTATTCAGGCTTATGCGTGTAAGGCTGCGGTCGTCTTGCTCATCTCGGCCAAGACACATCCCGCATTACGTCAACTTCCGATTACCATGATTAGAATATCTTGTGACGCAATCCGTCTAGCATCGGAGAACTCATCATGAAGAATTGTCTCTAGAAGCCAGTGAATTCATTATGCCGGGGAACGACCCACTGGAAACGGCTAAAATAACAGAGGATGGCGGCAAGACAGAGAGATACCGAGAATAGCCGATTCCTAAATTACATGCAACTAACCCAAGTATTCTCTCACCTTGAGACAACACTTTCGGAGAGTCCCAATCTCGGAGAGTCTCACTTTGTGGATTTGTACGGGCCAATAACGGGAGAGAGCAAAGATGAAAAGCGCGGTTTCAAAAATCAGAGGCAATGTCGCCATCCATGCAATGCGACCGTCGTCGTTTCGCAGTCTGACAACCACTGCTCGATTACGTGCAACAACGCCGCCGCCAGCATCGGAAAATGGAGCAATTAACCCAAGGTGGCTGTCGGACTTGCAGAAGAGATTACAGCAATCCCTGTCGCTCAAGATTGCGCCGAAAAAGGTAGACGAAGTGAGAGAACGACTGGCGCATCTGGATAAGAATTGGCTGGAGCTCGCAGCGGGACGAGAAGGTTTCTTGGCTGATCCGGAGAGACGAGGGTTGGATAGACATGCGGTGCAATGGGGAGACATGGTAAGGATACGATGCCCTTTAAAACCATGTTGAAATAGGAACAGCGCTGACTTTTTCTCTTTTTGTTGGTTAATGCAGGACACGATGGTAAGTCGCCTAACTCTGAGATGCGCTCACTTCGAAGCTTTATTCTAATGACGTATTTGCATCGCAGGGTAACTAGCTACAACATTCCGCAATTGGTTCCAGTTACTAATTATGCCAAGGACATGTCAATAATGTCATATACAATCGGCTCGCCGAGTCTGGCCGTGTCAACTGGACAAGAAACCTTGCACAGTTTTCAGACCCCAAGTATGAACAGGAATGGTACGATCTCATGTCGCCAAAGAGCATCGGCCTCATCTTGGCGAGTATCAGAACAGACTTCAAATTTGTAAGCCATCTTCAGTTCTCCTCCATAAACTAGAGTTGATTTCGATAAAGCCTATGACGTTCCCGGACCGTGTCACAGTCTTGCATAAGCTGGTCACGAAGCCGGATTACAGCTCCGACCGCTTCTACTTGGAAGCCGTCATGTATTCCGAGCAGCAAAGACGACCGGCGGCGAAGTGCTTTGAGGATATCGTGGTCTACGATTACAGAGCGGCCAAGAAGGCGCCCTTGAAGCCTTTTATGGTTGATGAGTTGCAGGCGACTTATGATCTACAAGAAGAGAAGAAGAAGGAAGCTGAGAAGAAGGTGGCAGAGCTACAAGAATTTGTTCAACAGGTAGAGGACAGTGCTGGTACTGCATAGAGAGGTATAGAAGGGCGATATTTTGGGGTAGATAGTTATAGAATATTGTACATATACAATCAAGTACAACTCAAGCGGCGGCATTCCAACTCTGAAATTGAGAATTATTGAGAGATCATGTCTGTACATACGATTGACCTCACTTATACGCAATAGGAGCAGCTCTTATATATATATAAACATAAGCATCATCAATTCGTACTTATTCACTCATCTTCGCAACGCAAAGCGCAATATATACATGAAGAAAAAGGATATATACATCATAAAAGGGCATGTATGTGCATAGTGACAGGAGGAAATGGAAATGCTCATCCTCCTAAATTGCCACTGAGCCCGAAAGGACCTCAGGCATATGTACTGTGGTATCGTATGTCACAAACAGCTACCTCAAGAAAGCAAAGTTCTTAGGTAGAGTAGTGAGCGACGTAGCCAACCTCCATCATGCTTCCGTAACCGTCGAGGGTAGCGCTGTTGGGGTTGCCAGGCTATAGATGTGTTAGCTGTGTCTGATAAAACTTGAAGCAATAGAGATCATGTGGAGGAACGTACCCAGTTGCCACCGACAGCAACGTTGAGAATGAAGAAGAGGGGGCTGTGAGCAATGTTGTTCCAGACGTTCTGGTTGCCGATGCGGGAACCAGTGATCTGGAAGTAGTTGGTGCCGTCGAGAGACCAGGTGAGGGTCTCGGACTGCCAGCTACCGGGAGTGCGGTCGACCTCAACACGCCAAGCGTGCCAGTCGTTGACGTTGGCGATGTTGACAGGGCCTCCAATACCGTTGCCCTCGTTGCAGATACCGCCGGGGAAGACATCACAGTGGAGGGTACCGTGGCCAGTAGCCTGGCCGTCGACAGTCTCCATGATATCGATCTCACCACAGTTGGGCCAGCTGCCGCCCGGGTGACGGAGCGAGTCACCCAGCATCCAGAAAGCAGGCCAGATACCCTGCTTGTTGCCCTGGGCGTTGCTGCCGAAGCGGATGGCGGCTTCGAGACGGGTAACCTTGCCGGCCTGGGGAGTGAAGGTGTACTTGGACTCGAGACGACCGGAGGTCCAGCCACCAAAGGTGCTGGTTCCCTTGCTGCTATCTCTCCAGGGGACCAGCTGGAGGGTGCTGCCACCGCTGAGCTGAACATTGGCGGTGCTGGAGGAGTAGGTCTCCTGCTCGGCGTTGACGTTCAAGTTTCCGGTGATGATGTTCCAGTTGTTCTGGTTAGGAGAAGTGGCACCGTTGCCGGCGAAGGTGTCGGTCCAGACCAAGTTGAAGCCGCCGTAGGTCGGGGGCTGCCAGGCGTTGGTAGCACCAACAAAGGCGAGGACGGCGGCAGCAACCTTGGGAGACCACATTTTGTATATGTTTCAAAAAGAGGTTAAAAGGAGGGTATATAGTATGTACTGATGTTGTATATACAACTTGAGGATGGGTATATGTACAAGGATAGGGGCTTTCGTAGGAAAGGAGAGACTATGCAGGGCTCCTGAGCCAAAAGATGCTTCTATATCGTCAAGATATTGATGGTGATTCAAAAAGAAAAAAAGAGTGATCGACGAGAAGAAGCCTGCTCCTTTATGTACAGCAGCTTCGAGATTGAAGTCGATTGAGAATCCTGATTCTGGCCCGGGCTTACCTAGTGACCCCAAGTCATACCCAATGCCGTTTCGGAAGGTGAAAACTCTCCAAGAGACTATTCACAGGCATGCCACCAATGAAAACAAGGACACGCCATTGTCATCCGTGATAACAGCGAGAGAAGGCCGGAGCCGTGACTGGGCCGCGGTGGGGAGCGAATAGACAGATGCCCTCGAGCCAGGGCCATATGAACCCACAGCGTGCCTGCCCAAGAGACAAAGAAGCTCCCCAATGACCTTGAGCCCACCAGTCCAGAAGGGGGACCATGTTCCGGGAGACGGACTACTTGGTGGAGAAGCGCTTTAAGACTCGATTGGGGTTATCAAGGGTTGTCAAGTCGAAATGCTACCTCGAACAGGAATCTGTGCGCGTCTTCTGACGGACGGGCCGATAGGCTGGATGCAACACGTGGGACGGTGGTCTTTAGAACAAGAGACTCCTCAATAAGGTCGCTGGATCTTTCATGCGACCAGGATACATGATGATGGGGTTCCCGGATGAGAGATTGAGGGCATGATCGGGTCAATCTGCCGCCCGGTATCGAGCTTGTCATGGTGAGTAACGATCTCCGTCGACAAGCTGCATGCGTTGTCTCAGTCCAAGTACACTTGTACACATGGGATAAGGACGGGAGTGATTAGTCCAAGGAGACAATAGAGGAGGATTCCTGCTCATTTGTCTCCGGGGCCTTGTCGCCCCTTCGGTGTCAAAGATCCGCAGGTCCGTCCTACTAGTATTAAGGAGAGGCGGTAGCCATGAGAGATAGACGAATAGCATAAGATCCCACGGCGCCAAGAGAAGCTTGGCCCGGATGGCGCCGCGTACCATTGCAGATGGGGGCTTTCCGCTTCTTCCCTCTCACCTTACGTGTACTACTAGGTGTTCCAAGGAGACATATCCAAAGAGCCTTGTGCCTGACTGACTGTGGTCATGGCCCCCTTGTCGGCGCATGGGGTCGTCTGGGGTGCAGAAGCCACCACGCGCGAACGACTACTAGGGGCGAAGCCAGACCGGCGTTTGAGGCGGCATTAACATGATTCGATGGCGCATTGAGCTTGTGATGAAAGGTAATCTATCACAACGCGCACCCAGCACGCACTTGGTCACTAGCAGCTACAAATGCCCGAGCCAGATGATGGCCGATCATGGCAGTCGTGTTCACTCACCAACCCTCATGAGTCCCCTTGCAAAGCCCATCGTGAAGATGTCACGCTCCATCCCGGGCGAAGTCAAAACCTGGGGTTGCTATCAACGTGACTGATGGAACGCAAGTAGGGCCGCTGGCCTCCACACCATCTTGCCATCACACGCGGGTACTATCAACTGGCGAATTGCCGCCCCCCGGGAGCCACGAGATTTTGGCGCCTCCCTGATCAAGGTTAGCGGGCGAATATGGAGCGAGCGAGCGCGAATATGACTTGCTGGGGGCTGGTTCTGCTCCTGATCCCCCTCCGGGAATAGGTAGGACAGACACAGTGACGGGAGCTTCTACGGAACATACTTGTACGGGGCCATGTCTCTGGGGCCAGCTTCCCGCGAGTCATATTACAAGTATTGTATATTTCAGACTGCGTGTACAATTTCAGTGATGCATTAGTAGGTCTGCTAGACATTCAGGCAACTTCCACGAGTGGAAACGGCTGCCATATAGCCGCAGATAATATGTGGCGCCAATAGCCGGCACTTTGGCTGTGTGCCCGACATATGGCCGTCAAGGCTAGGCAAGATTGGACGTGTTGATGTTTCTGGCCCTGACGGAAGGATTGCGATGCTCGAATCGATGCTAGGCAGAATGCTCCACCGCCGATCATGTTGTATTTTGCATGGCCGAAGATAGAATACGCTTCGAAGCGTAAGCTACGTTAATAATACTCGCCGTACTCGTACAAGTTCAGTCCATGTCAAGACCATGTCCTCTCCGGATACCCTCGGTACTTGAATTGAGCCTCCCTGCCGGCTAAAACCTCCCTCAAGGGATAGCGTCATGTCAGCATACCTACATGTAAATACAAGGACCTGCAATCACCAGCTTCTCATCAGCTGCGGCTGTACGTGTATGTATGTATGTAAGATGCCGGGGACCTGCAGATTGCATTTGAAGCGCTACTGTAAGCTGCAAGTTCAAGAGAATCCAATCCCCAAAGAGAGCAGAGCGTTGCACCCGACGTAATCAGCGTCCCATTGAAGAAGCTCCAGAATAAGCCTCACCCGCATGGCGAGGCTCTCTCAGCCAGCCATGCTGTGCGACATTGCCGCTCTTCTGTGCATCCACAGATCTTTTCCTGCTGCCTCATCTGGCCCGTCGTACAGACACAGAGAGACAACACGTGCTGGGGGATGCTGGGGCTGAGCGTATTCGATTAGCTCATGTCCTAGGCCCTTCTTTGGACAGGTATGTAATCGTTGACAGATGCCTTTTCCGGACAGAGTCTGAGCGCGCGTGGAGTCGAAGCCTCTTGGGAAGCCTCTCGGGACGGTCTCGCTCATAGAGGAGGTTCCCGGCGCATTGGCGGCTTATTACATACATGTAGTATTTGCTACCGAACCTTGTAATTCCCCTTTCAAGCCAATTCTTCGCATATGAAGGATCGAAGTTCTGATCCAGGTCCGAGAAGTAGCGTAATCCAATGATGAACCTGGTCGTGAAAGCTTGTCTACATGTAAAGGCGATTACCACCACTCCGAGAGTGCAGATCTTCCGGCTGTGGCCTCGATCTTTATCAGGTCTGAAAAGCCCCAGGGGTATCATCAGGTTATAACACGATTTTCTTTCTCATTGTCTCTCCTTCTTGATGTGCAATTGCGCCCGCATTTAGGGTTCCTAAGACATCTTATCGCCGAAATAGCCATCGGACTTTTATCCGGAATCCTCACGGATGCTGTGAACCCCGCGTTTGTTTGTCTTTGACGCCCCATAAGCGCAGCCATTGTTACGGGGAATGAAATCATAATGTAGTTTCTCTCTCCAAATTGGAGACAACTGGATAGTATGGGAATAAATTTCTCACGGACAGTCTCCCGGGTTTAACCCCGATTCCGTTCTGATATAATACATCCAATACCAGAGGGATTGAGTTCACGGTTGTGTTCCTTGCACCATCAGACCTATTATTGCTCGGTAGTTCCCGTCATCTTGCTTTTGAACTTCCTAGTCTGACAATCGTGGTCTCTTTGTTTTGTCTTCTGTTCTCATCCCACCCGATCCATCAGCGCGCCAAACAAATGTCCGCCGCAGCCGCAGTTTTTGCCCCGGGAGCGACCGCCCTCATCACCGGCGGCGCTTCCGGCGTTGGCCTGGCCATTGCTAAGCTGTGCCGCAGCAAGGGTATGAAGCTGCTGCTTGTAGATCGCAACGCCGAGGCCCTGGAGAAGGCCAAGGCTGAAGTCGGCTCATCATCATCAGATGTAGCCACTTCGGTGCTTGATGTCAGCAAGCCCGATGAATGGGCTTCGCTTAGGGACCAAGCCGCAAAGACTTTTGGCTCGATTGAGCTTCTCGTTTTGAATGCTGGCGTTGGTGGTAGGGGGACCTGGGGAGATGCTGACTACTTTAGAAATGTACGTGCCAAACCATCTGGAGGGGGGGAACCAGAGCTCGATGAAGAAGATGGTGATGGAGCAGAGGGATGGTATCACCACCACTGACGGTAGTGCGTGCTACATAGATCCTCGAGACGAACCTCTTTGGGGTGATCCATGGTATCAACACTTTCCTCCCGGTAGTTCAAGAGGCTGCAAAAAGCCGGCCCACCTCCGTTGTCATCACCGGCAGCAAGCAAGGCATCACAAACCCCCCAGGAAATCCTGCCTACAATGCCTCTAAATCTGCCGTCAAGACCCTTGCCGAGCATCTTAGCTGGGACCTTCGAGACACCAAAACTAGTGTCCACCTTCTCGTCCCGGGTTGGACGTTCACTGGCATGGTAAGTGGCCGTCGTCGAATCTTGATTCCTATTCTTCTCACCCTCATAACTCATAACTCATGCTTCATCTTATTTGACCCTTGATGTTATTTTAATGTTGCATGAATCTCACGTGTTACGCTCTCTCTAGACTGGGGGAGGTCAGACCAAGGAGAAGCCGGCGGGCGCGTGGGCACCAGAACAGGTAGCCGATTACTTATACAAGAAGATGGAGCAAGACAAATTTTATGTCATCTGCCCCGACAACGAGACCGCCGAGGAGACGGACAAGAAGAGGATGCTGTGGAGCGTGGGAGACATCATCAAAGAACGGCCGCCGCTTACGCGCTGGCGACCAGAGTGGAAGGAGGAAGCAACAGAGACCATTGCGAAGACGCAGATATGAATAGCGTTTTGTCCGCCATGGCTCTTGGCGAAGTGGAAGAGATAAGGTCGGTTAACCAAAAGAGATAGATGACTCAACCGCCTGCTTATTTCGGACTCTTGTCATATTGCTGTTATTGACCTCGGGTTGATGTCGGGTTGATACCGAGGCCGTGAAGCTGGGCTATGTAAGCGGAGTTACACTTGATAGAATAGTTTCGTCAATTCAGGCCAAACTATTCGTCGTCGCATCTCACCACCTCGGAAGTGTAACGTATTACCAGCCTGGCTTAAATTAATCGGCGATGCCATCATATGTATGATGGAGTGCTGTCAGTTCCGGCGTCAATTCGGCGAAAGGTCTGTTTCCCACAGATAGTCTAACCCTAGTCAGTAGTTAGAGAAGCATTTCTGGTGTGGTAGCCCGTCCAGTAGATGAACACACCTCTTCTGTCAAATTTGAGTGCTGAATGCGCCTCATGCCCTCTAAGAGATGAACGACAAGGGTCACGGCAAGGCACAAGACATCCCACGCGACTTGATTGGCGTAAAGAAGGGACAACTATAGAAGAAACAGAAACTGCCCGATCCTCACGCCGGGCCTTCGAAATACGCCCGAGTCCCTCGGCTTTCAATCGGGAGCATCACCACGCCCCGCTTGAAGATGGAGTCACATCCGCAGGCTGGTAAAATATGGGGAAATCCTAATTGATATTTGCTTAATGAAAACGAATAGGTGGTATCCTATACAAAATTGTGTGCGCATGATATCACTTTGTATTCTCTGGGGTAACACGAATAATGCTCACCATTAGCAATATATTTGATCATCCGCACCCTATTTCTTGGCTTTTGCAACTAGTACACTCCTTGGTCCTGGCTGTCGCCGAGGCTAGGTAGCTGAGCGAGAATTATTCTCAACGACCTGTTTGAAGTCTCAATTGCGAGAGTCAAGGCGTTGACATGCAGCGTGTCTCATGCTACCCTACTGACACGGGCTATCACGAATTTCCTCATTCAGAATTATCCTAATAAAGTAATTCAATGCTTATCCATCTGCAAATGGCATGCAACTTTGGGAAGTAGATAGAATGGCGATTATGTCTCCATTTGCCCCCCATCATGTCTCTTCAAAGTGGCCTACGCTGTGAGATAACTCGAGGTAAAGACAGAAAAGATGTCCTCGTGCTCTTTTGCCCGCCAACAATGTGAGTTCTCTATACTTTAGTAGGGGCTAGGTTCCAATACGTTGGCGGTGGCAATGGGAAGAAGCATGAATGTTGGGGCGGATCTGATCATGGTTGTTGATACATATACTTTTGATGCTAGAAAAGAGTCAACAACTTTGCGGAGAAGCCGTACTTATAGTAGGGAAATGATGGATCTACTGAAACTGATGGCTAGCACCTACTAGCAATAGAAGACAGCTCTTTAGAATATCTCTTAGAATCGCTTTAGTCGCTCTTCACAATTTTGAACCTGACAGTCGCCAGACCAACCCCATATCGAATAATGTTGCATCAGCAGCAAATCTGCATTCGCTGGCATCGATTTTATGTCAGACTCAAAAACACTCATCACGGTCGATATCAATGTGGCACAGCTTATGTCGGTTTTCACGGCACGACGCCACGGCCTTGCCCTTTCACCGGCTAGCATGTGACCTGCGAGATATCAATTCCATCTCGAGCGGTGCACACCGCAAGGAAAAGTAGGAAAGGAAGTTGTGAAGGCCAGCGGCCCCAATATCCGAGGACCATCCACAACCTATAGGCAGAATCTCCCTGCGTCGCCCATTCTCACGAAGGAATCGGTGGCCAGTCCCATGATATTCGAACTCAGTAAAGCTACTCTGCGATTTAGCTCGACCAAATCCAGCTGAAATTAGTATTGAGACCGTTTGGAACTCACGCTGAAGAAATCACCAAAAGTTGCTCAGTCACTTCGACAATAGCTGCTATCTTTAAAGGGCGTCGACTTCCAGTCTAGAGCATATCCGCCGGTCGGAAAATACTGATTGCTTCGCGCGCCATGAGAAAGAGGGAATATCGTAATTACAGTAGATGATGGTTAGCATGCTGGTACATTAGACATGGCGTTGCATCTATCTTCAAGGCAATCTGTATCATTCTCAATAAACTGATGACACCTCTTCTTTTCTCCCTGAAGACAATAGACCACATATGGGGTTTTTTTTCGGTTTATTTGAAGAAAGCGATTGCAGCTTGGGCAACTTGGAGCAGTCAAAGAGTCGTTTAAAATGGCAAGCTTATCACTACATATGGGGATAGATATCTATTAGAGATATGAGACGCCTAGACAGCTTAATATTGCTTAAAAGAGAAGCCAAGAGATTGTGGTGAGTACTAGTGCATTAATTTCTGTATAGCTATCATACAGTATAAATGCTTCACGCTCACAAATGCCTTCTATTTATATCCGCTGTTCAACTCTGCATTAGAACTGCTCGATTATTCTCTGGCCTGCATGTAGGCCGGATATGGTATTATGATGCACGTGTAATTGCAACGTGACCCAACGCGTTTCGTCAATTGCATCTTAGCGGATTCCTATTTCTGCGTCCCTGTAATTGAGGTTCTCGCCGATTCATCAGGTTCGCCAAGGGTATTGAAGTTGCTCCAATCCCACAACCCTGTAGCTGCGCTTTCAGGATCTTGCTTAGATGAACGCTCTGCTAATTTTTGCTCGGTGTCTCTAGCAATAACATCTCCAATTAGCAATTGAGATTCAGGAGCCGATACATTGGGACCGTGCAAATTTGCTATAGAGCTGTTACCATGTAGTTCTTGTATCTCATTTCCTGCAGATAATTCCGTTACTGCTTCGGTTACTCCAAGTTCAGGTTTCTCAAATGCGGCACCTTTTGGCCCATGGATGGCAAGACCAGTACTGCCTTGTAGCTCTACCTTCAACGACGTATCTAAGCCATCTCCTTCAGCTGAAACTTCCTGATCTGGTGTCGGTTGTAGTTTTCTTCGCCGCAAAAAATAGACAAGCGCTACACCTATCAAGAAAACCACTATGGGAACGACTACTCCGACTGCGATTTTCGCTCCTTTGCCAAATCTTTCAATAGGAAGCTGCGTCTCTCTCGTAGGAGAAGTTGCTGTTGGACTGTTGGACTGTATCAAAAGTATTTTCATCGCCTGGGCGGTTAAGGCGGTTGAGGGGATCGATTTGGTCGTTTCTGCTCCCACCACTACAGGATATGCCGCCTGTTATCGCAATAATAACAGTACAAGTCAGTAATTGTGTCTAAGTATATACCTCAGAAAAAAATGAAGACAGCGGCCATTATAAGATCGGGCTGGTTACCTGCTTGGCCAAAGAATGGACGGCGTCAAATTGAGGAATAAATTGGGTCATACTTACGATGGGCAGCAGCCTATAGCAATTTCACCGTCATTTGACATGCTCCATATCGCAGTGTCCGCAGGCGCCATCGTATTTGTCGTAACTGGATTAGAGAGGCCTTCACCGCGCTCTACGGTACACTGAGCCAAATATCCAGAAGGGCAAGCCAACCCAGGAGAGTAGACCAAAGGCTGAGAAGTCCATCTGCCAATGTTGTCATCCGTTTGGCCAAAGGAGGAGGCGAATCCTGAAGGATAACAAGACTGAATCAAGGAGGAACCATGACCGGCAGCTGGGCTTTGGTGAACCGTGCAGTCATGATTCTTATCAGAAGTCGACTGTGCAAAAGAACAAGGCATCCATGATATAACATCACCAATTATAGAGCTGCAGTCAAACCGCAGATCCAATGAAGTTTCCGAGCATGGCACCCATTGCGTCTGAACATCATAGCACCCTGTCAGGGGTCCGAGGAAGGAAGAGGCATAATGGAGCCACGAAGCCGGCGAGTGCTGCCGAAGTCGCTGCTTAGAGGCTAGTCACAGCCAGGATTTACTATATAAAGGAGCGTAAATCCCCTTGGTTCTAGAGGAGGTCAGAGATAAATACAGTCATTGTGTGCCCCCTAGCTGCTTTATCCCTTTGTGACAACTAGAACCTCTCCTTGACTCTATCACTCTCTCGTACGCCGCCGCTTCTGACACACCCATAGCCTAAGGATGCACCCATAAACACTTCATTTTCAGTAATGAATCGCAGTGACGCACATCGCTTGGCGGACGGAAGGTCGTCGTCAGAGGGCCGAGATTGACACGGGTGGGTGTTGCGGAAGTGTGTGTAGTCTGCATGGCTAGCAGTCGGCTATCGATCGAATTGCATCAGTGAACTTTGAGATTGGGGCTTGTCGATAAAACCAGAAGACTTAGAGATTGAGGTTTAGAGATACCGTAGTCAAAAACTGAAAGGGCCCAATCGCAAGTGCAAAACTACCCGTGTTTCAACTTGTAGAACACATGTATGGCAGCCATCACTATTCTTTGGAAGAAGCCCCTTTATGCATCTAGCCATTTAATTTTTAATATCGCATGCAGAAGATCTTCCGTCTTCGTCTTAACTGTGACTGAAATACACGAATGGGAACCTTGCACAACACCCCTGGTTATGTAGTATCAGCATGCTGTTGGTCGAAGATTGTGCATTTTGTTGTTGGTCGAAGAACAGAAATAGGCCCCCTAGCCTCTATTGGGAACGCTAGAATGCATCCGTCGCATTGTTTTTTCTGTATCTAACTAACTTGATGAATGACCTAATTCTGGTGCTTGATGTCGCGCCTTTGGAGTTGGCCGATCGCTTCCAGAAGGCCAAGGAACAAGGCTGAGGCCCGCATAGAGCTGAAGCTTATCATATCAAGTCATGCAAACTACAGCCGTGTAAACAAGTTGAGCCAAGCTGAAAGCCATGGGACACATTAGCTATCCTCTGAACCGATAAGGCGAAAAGTTGGCCCAATGTTTGACAGCAGAGATGCCCGCGTCTCCATCCGATGGATTTCGCCGTCAAGAACTTCGACATTACTCTGCCTCCTTTGCCTTCTACTTGGCTCAGTGTCGCCCGCAAAGGTACCCGTATTTGTGGTCGCACGGGATGGCTCCCCAGTACTCGGATGTTCTGAGTCTTTTTCGCTGCTCTCTTGTGCCTCAAAATTGTCCTGGTCTCGCTCCAGTTCGAGCGCCGCCTCCACTCGCAATCTCATTGCCTCCTTGGTAGTCTCCTCCATTATGGAGGCGTTATGACACCTTTTGTATACACCGACACCCGTTAAGATGAGCCCGATTACTTCGTAGGAGAATAAGACTGGTAGGGCATAAGACAAGTGTGGATTACAACCACTGGACCAATTATCTGTGAGCAGCTCATAGGCAGCGTGCGCTGGTAAAGCATATCCCCAACGATAGAATGGAGACGACACGCTGAATGGTAGTATGATTGAACTGACGTTCATCACAATCCAAGAGACGAGGGCCATGGAGACGTACTGCGGTGGTATCCAGATAGTAAAAACGTCGAATACAAGGAAATTCACATGGGCGAGCAACCATATGATAAGCCAATTCAGAGCGAATTGGCCGCCCGATACTTGCCAATTTGCTTTGAATGCCCAAATCGCCGCAGAGTTTATCAATGAACCCAACATGGTGAATGTGATAGAGATAGCATCGCGGACAAGGATTATGCGCACTGGCGCAATTCGCGAGTAGACCTTGAACTGAGCGTAGAGCCCGTTGATGGTGGCGAGATAGAAGAAATCTTCGATCAGAATTAACACAATGGCGACTGTGTTATAGACTGTACGAGTTCCCTGCACGGTAGGTTTGATGTTGATAGATGTTAGTGTCCACGGATTGGTGAAAATTGATATGGCAGCGGAGTTGTTGGGTGGAATTGTAAGGAAAGCCGAGGTGCCGTTGAGAGCTATGTAGGAAACTCGAGCAGCGTCGGATAGCGTGTGAAGATTATTCGAGATGGCGCTGTCCATAACGGTAGGGTATTTGGCCTCATTCCAAATATATGACAGTACATTTGACGTATTGTATTGCGACGTATTTGATCCTGCAATGGCAAGACCTAAAGCCACGGATGCTCCAGGAGACGTATACAGGGCGGCCCAATAATGCGTATTGCAAACAGCTTCTCTTAGGTCATGCGGTGTCGGATATTGGGATGCTGATCGCTCAATCAACGTCGGAAACTCATGTGACCGTAAAGAGTTGTATGAATTGCGTACTGCATCACCAATGATGCTGCCATCATAGTCTACCCATAGGATATGTAGGTTATGGGTTCGGGGAACTTGTTGAAAGAGGGTTCCATAGAGATAGCAGAAGAGACAGAAGAACAGCAGAATATAGATGACAAAATTCAACAAAGCTGCCCTAAAGAACTTGGCTCTGAATGCCTTGACCTCTGGATGGCCAATATCGAGTCTATTTTCGCATGCGCGAGGATAAAATTTGCTGATAATCGACCACGGCATGATGGATGCTGGTATGGAATCCGGAGGAGATGAGGCTGAACGCACTAGTAGTGGTTTGGCCGTCATTCTTGTACGCAAACTTTCGGAAGCTCCGGCTTACAAGCCGGCCCGTCTTAGTATTAGTTTGAGAGACTTTAATTCATTTGGTGTGTATTTAAGTGCTCATCGCGTTTGATTGTTTCCATTGGATTGGTACGACAAGAGTCTGGTTGCGGTAGAGCTGTCGCTTTAATAGCTAGGCATTTGCCGTAATTGCCAGCAGTTTCAAACATTGAGGTATGAGTCAAAGACAAACACATGATCAACTCATTGTAACAGGACTCTTTTGTATGAGTCAATATTTGTTACATAAGTTGATGTTTAATATGAGTTGATTCTGTTACATGAGTTAATGTCTGTTGATTAGTTATAACTGGACTTGAATAGCGTCGAGTTCCAGGATGACTCTGTTTTTAGTCAGCTTGTGACAGAAATAGCGGCAAGAGAAGAGTCATCATTTCGACATATCTCACACCGACAAGAAAGCCATTCTCATCTCGAAATTTCGATTCGTGCTAGAAAAATTTCATTATCACCCTTTAGGTATGTGAGGCGCGCTGCCGCTACTATCGCCTCCCGCCTCGGGGTCCGCCTCGGGGTCCGCGTGGGGAGGGATCTGCGAGCTAAAGTGGGCAATAATTAGGCCTACTTTAAAGTAATAGAAAGCTCTCCACTTGTCTTTTAAAGTGAGAAGAATGCAACGTTGCTGGTTAGTTCTCGTCTTCACTTTGACTTGCGCAGCTCAACCTTTGTAGGCATTCTTATAAGCTATGAATACTCATGCCGCGCAGTGAAGGCGTCTGGGTTGACATCGCGTCTCTTTAGTTGAAAATACAAGTTCAGCTTCCAATCATTACTTTCCAAGAGAGTCGCAAGTCCAGTGTTCTTTCCAAACCCTTCTGCAACGGAGGAGACAATAAATTTGGAGATGGCGTCTGACAGAAAAGAAAATGCTAGCGGAAGAATATTTGGTAGAAGTGACGAACTGACTTGGCTAATTCTAATACAGGGCGGATCGTCCGAGAGAGAGCAAAGGTCTCTCACCGGGCACACAATAGCGCCAAATGGAGGCTTTGTGGGTTACTAACACAGGAGGGACGTTGAAGAAGTAGACAGCTACTCTCCGAGGTTCTTTGCATATCCTGATGGATCTATTTTTTAAACCGCATTTTGGCATCAAACTAGCCCAAAAGACATCTTTGTAACTTCACGGCCTTTGGGCAGGGCATTCTGCGTATTTGGTGACTGCGGCTGCACTACGTTTGATGGGGCCATGCCTGCAACAGCGTCCGTGATTAGTACGCCGGTGCTTCTAATCGGAACATTTGTGATGGCTAATGGCAGTGCAGAAAATGGTCGTCTGACTTTTATATCTTCTTCACAGCAGAAAAGTTTTCCTTGTAATAGCTCTCCAGATTTATGAGTATTAAACCGAGAACCTGGTCGAAGGTACATGATCCGCGGTTGGTCTAAGACCTAACCTAGAATGAAAAGCTATATGTGATCAAAACGGGTTAATTTATGATCTGACCAACTTTGAAAGGGATACCCGATCATCTTCATAGAGTAGTTTTACATCGTAAAAGATTATATCGCTTTACTTCCCGATTTGGGCAAGCTTCCACCTGAAAGTAAGCTACAACTCTCACATCTAACCTGCTTCCTATCCCCTGGTCAAGTGCTACGTGTTCAGCGCATGTTTATTCCGTGCATGTGAAAACCAGTATCTCAAACAATGTCTCCTAATTAAGGGGAGAAGGATTCATCTGATCAAAAGATGCCACATCAGTTTGAGCCCCTACTAAACCGAAAGATGCCGCAATGGACGGTCACATGCCAGTAGAATGTCTCCTATCCCCGCTTCTCAGCCGTCTCGTCGGTTATCTTGTTGAAATGTGAATGGTGGATAATACGATTGCTCTGGTGTGGATGAACCTCATATCTTCCTGCTGAGAACAAGTGGGGAACTTTGGAAGCCAATAGTTCCCTTGAAAGAACCTCTGTAGGCTCGGCATCCCGGGACAAACAACCTTGGTGCCTCAGATGTCGATGTCGTATCCTTCATTTAGTGTAGTTAGATCCACCCTTCTCCAAAACAAAGAGCCCTCAGTTCATTAAAGGGGCGCAATTTATCCCATGTGCTGCAACCGTCGCGGACCGTGTTCGACTAGAGACGGATAGACTGATCGCGGATTCATGAGTAAGATACCCGGCGTTAGCATCGCCCGCACCGTCCGACGGATCCAAGCGAGGGGTCAGGCTCCAGCCTCCGGATTCTGAACAATGATTTACAGCCCCCAAACTCCTCGTGGTTTGGGAATGGGCCGTGCCGGGCGGGCGGAACGCTAATATATTGTCGAGCCTTTATTGGCCAAGTTCATCAACCTGGTAGCAGTGCGCCTCGCCTAGTGCAAGTCTTGTCCTGTTTGGGTTGTTGTTGAAGACGCAGAACCAACAACATCTTTCCAAGTTTCAGAAGAGGTCATTCGAGAGACTTGGGCCATCTATTTCTGGGGACGGATTTTGGCCGATCGGTGTACTTCAAAGACGCAGTTGGCCCTCGCGAAAGTACATATACTTGTGACAAATGGGCGTTCTTAGACTGCAATGACTCGCGAGATCTGTGATCTGAGGGAAAGTTTGATAGCTCGAGCTGGAGCCCTCAGAACGTGGAAAGTTCTCACGGAAGTGTCATAGATCTAATTTGGGGTACTTGGAGCCTCGAATTCGAGAATATAGGGAATTACTGGCGACGCTATCCTGATATGTGTTTTGACAGTGGTGGAGGACAACGCTGGTAGCACGCAATCTGTAGAAATCTCTCCATCGACTTGATATGGACAAAACAACTAAGAAAAACCATCGTACTTCATAAAAGGTTCAGTTTGTCTTCCAAAAAAAAGGTATATGTATATGTACTTCTGTTCTTATACGAGCCTAGGCCGTATCTCTTGTCGCCTGTGTATCACGCGGCCACGCCGAACAGTCTTAACTCAAGGCGATCAAACATAATTACGATCCTTCAAACTAGTTTCCCATTTGGATTAGTTGCATCTTGATTCCTCATACTGAGTGAAAAGCGTATTACCTTGTGTCTAAACCGGTGACCGGCGTACAAGGCTCATCAAGATGGCGGTGCAATCGGCGCACATTATGCCGGTTAAATAACACCTATGCGTCTAGGTTTGCCCACACTAGGTATTTCTGTTCAATATATATATACTCATTCATGCTGCTCTTGAGACCTTATTGATGTCAAACAACGCTGCCCTTTACCATTTAAAAATTCGACATTGCAATATGGCTACTACCAACTCTATTCAAGATCCCATCTTTGAAGAGCTTGCCTATATACAGGCAAGTCTCGATGAGTTTACGAACCACCATGATGGTTCTAAACCGCTTCAGTGTCGCGCTTTGCTTAAAGACGGTTCACGTCGGTGTCAAAACAACGGGTGGCTTAAAGACCAGCACGCAGAAGTCGAGGCGTTGTTTGTCGAGTTCAAGAATATGACGAAGTGTCCTGAAACGGATATTTTATATGAGAAACTAGAGGTTTTCATCACCTACACGCACTGCAAGCGCCATGTCGAAGTCGCTCTCGAGTCTTTTCGTGAATGGGCAGAGCAACAGACAACGGCCGCTTCTAGTTCGCCACCGATGTCCCTATCAGCATCAGCTTCTGCATCTCCCTCTCCACTCTCATCGTCTGAATATGTTCTTTCAACATCTTTATCGGAAATCAGTGATCTACTGGCCAAAACTTCTCTTTCTGGTGGACCCATTTACGACGAACCAGTTTCAGACTGTGACTCGGAAGGTATCTGGGAGAAACATGAGAAAGTTGTCACCAAAGAGATTCTTATCTCACCAGACACTTCAAAGATCGATAAGAAAATGAATCCTCCCAAGGGCGGTCCAAAGGCAGGAACCAAAATTCGTGGTCTTGGAGATATTGGTGCTCCAAGACGCCAAATATCAATACGAGACCACGCGACAGTGTTTCAAGTGATCAACAGCCATCCAAAGGAGGGAATGATGAAAGAAGGCACTGTCTATATACTTGAGCATATGAATATCCCTGGCTTATACAAGATCGGATTCTCGACCATAGGCGCAGACCAGAGATTGAAGCACCCCAAAAACTGCTATGGAACCGACACGAAGATCATTCACGAAACCGAATCGAAATTTCGTGGAGCACGACAGGCTGAAAAAATCATCCAAACGCGATTGTTTCATGATAATATCTTGGTTCAAGCTTGTGAAAAATGTGGTGGGGGTCACAGAGAATGGTTCGAGGCCCCTAGAGACAAGATATTCGAGACTGTTACAACTATAGAAGCATTTGTCCAGATGCCAGCGTACGTTAAAAAGGATGGGGAATGGAAGCTCTCTGCTGAGGCATATGAAATAGTTGGCCCGATGTGCCATTTGAACCTATCGGCATTATCGAAAGGTGGGCGTGCGGTCCAAAAAGAGGATGCAGAGGCTGGGTCGTCCCTTGAGATTATCTCAGAAGGAATGCCATTAACGGTTGCTCAAGAGCAAGATATGGATAGAAAACCCAAAGTGACTATTCGAGAGAAAATTGTGGAGTTATCGGATGATGGAGAGAAGCTCGGAGAAGGCCAGCTTACAGAACTTCCTCTCACACCTAAGAGGAAGCAGCGAGTATCCTTAGCAGCCTCCTAAGGCGAAATAGTGGCATAGAGTAATTGCTTCGATCTTAAGAAGTGGGGCTTGAAGAGGATGGAAAGATATAATTGAAGAAAATCAGAATATTTTGTAACCCTCTTGTGTCGCCGAAGTATTCTGAAAGAATTATTCACAATATGTAGATTAAAATTCCTCAACATCATCAGTTCCTATGCGCGTGCACAGAGACACTCTGTAGGTCAAGGCCTCAATCAACCTTGCCTATTTATAACACAATAAAGTTTGGTTTTATTCAAAACTTTCATCTGAAGAGAAGACCGTTATAAAAGACGAGCCTATGGTTTTTTTCGCTGTTGTTTTGAGTTACTGGCATAAGGGCTTTTGCTTTTGTTAAAGTAATAATTTGTATCTCCCCGAGACTCAATGTCTCTTCTAAACTAGCAGGTATGTAATCCAAGCAATTCATTTATTTTATTTCATAATCCAAAGGGTTGCCCCTACCATCCTCGCGTGATAGCTTCACCCTCAATGCAACCTGTCTGCAGCCCCATGAATTAATTAGTTTGGAGCTTTCATGGCCTCGATCCGTCTCTTACCCCATAACGTAAATCCAATCAATCTCCAGAATTTTATGAAGTTCACTCAAATTGACGCTTAGACACCGGTTGGTATTGTAATGTTCCCATTTGGAAGTAAGTGTAAAGCTTCGTAGTGAAATAAAGTAATGATGCCTCAAAATTATTTCAAATAGCGACTGCTCAATGCACCAACCCACTTAAAGGGGACCAAATTCACTTCATCTCCCAAAAACTCGTATTCTTTCCTATACCGACCTCTTGATGAATCTGGGGGCAGGTGAAGCCGATGTGTTTGCTAGGTAGGGGGAAAACAGCGTAATTTATATCGGGGAAAAAGCACCCCTTTGTCTTTCTGAAAAAGATCAACCTCGAACATAGTTTGGCGCATCAGTAATGGCAATTTGTGAAATGCGGCTGTTGTGATCTCTGGATGCACTTGCATGTACTAAGCCAGGCGACCCACGTGGACATCAAATACAGGTAACGCGCCTGTATTGTTGCCTCAAAATGACATACATACGGGAGACGATTGGTTCTATATAAGATTGTAAAGCCAAAACCTGTTAAATATAGTGCTTTTGGCTGAATCTGACCGGCTGGAGTCATTTCAATATCTTTCCCCTCTGGAATACGGCAAAACTACAGTTCAGTAACGTGAATGTGACATAGAGTTTCTGGTCTAAATTTTCAATGGTTGTGATGTCTTGAAGTATGCATAGGTAAATGTAGTTAAGTGACCTGCTAGGTCAACGAGCATTAGATTATTTCTAGAATGGAGTTATTGGTTTTTAAACCTCTGCTATTATTTAAATAGCCAAACATCTATAGAATAATAAAGAGTAAGAAACAAGAATTCTCTTTTTGTTTCCATTTGGCTATAGATAAAAGGCTATGCACGTGATGATATAATTAGTCATCTGTATACATGTATGTAATTTGTGGCTTAGTGAGAGCGAAAACTTCAAGTTACAGCCCGACGACGAGCAAGCAAATATTGATCACAGGGGATATCCAGCCTTGTTAAAAAATCCTGACAGAGGACTTTCGGCTGTTTTGGTCTCTGTGCGTGTTTTTTTCAAAGCATTCCTCAGTTTTGCCGCGTGGTATTGCGATTGTGAGCTTTTCCTCAAGAGTACATAGTCGTTGGGCAGCTGACCATTCAATCGACCAACAACAGCCTCCAAATGTCAAACCCAGACGATTCAACACCTGCCGACAGCTTTATCAGCAAGGAAGATGGCCTAAAATACTGGGAGGGCGTCGGTGCTGATGTCAATGGCATGCTAGGCGGCATCCCTGCAGTACAGGGATTCTACGGCATCTTGAGGACGGACCTCCAGGGCTCACGGACATTTTTAGCCAAGTTGGGCATCGGCAGCAAGAATGGTCGGCACAAGGTGATCAATGCACTGGAGGGTGGAGCAGGGTCAGTGTCTCGCATATGTGTACTCGTATATAAGTGGACGATACAACTGATGGCTAACATAACATGATGTGAGCTCTGTAGCATCGGGAGAGTAACAGAAGGCCTCCTGCTACCCATAGCCGAGCAGGTTGATGTCGTTGAGCCCGTGGCCAAGTTCACAGCGGCGCTCCGGAGCAAGCCTGGGGTACGAACTGTCTTCAATGTTGGTCTACAAGACTGGCGGCCGACCGAAGACGTGCGGTATGACCTGGTTTGGGTGCAGTGGTGTGTAGGCCACTTGACTGACATACAGCTGGTGGAATTTCTTGGCCGGTGTCAAGAGGTCCTGAACCCAGATGGAATTATCGTTCTGAAAGAAAACATGAGCACAAAGGGATATGATGTTTTTGACGAAGAGGACAGCAGTGTCACCAGGTGAGGTCTCCAAGGGGAGGGGGAAACGTGTTGAACCGAGTGGCTAATATGCTAGCAGAGAGGATACCAAGTTTCGGAGCATCTTTGAACAGGCCAACTTGAAGATTGTTGCAACGGAGCTGCAGAGAGGGCTTCCCGAGAACGGGACTATGAGGCTTCTCCCTGTGCGGATGTATGCTTTGAAGCCAATGGCTTGATGTGCATCGAATAGACGTTGATAAGCGCTTGGACCGTTTGAACAGCGAGAACGCATCTGCAAGGAGAGGTAGCGAAGCAATTATAGACTACATTACGAATCACGACGTTGATAACTTACTATTAGAATGGTCAAAGCTATAAATGGTCAACACCACGTTCATGCAACTCTATCTCCGCCCTACACACTTATTCCTTAGAGTGTCTTGGAATCGACTGAAACAATTAAAGAAAAACACAAAATGTGGAACATGTTCATTTCGTAGATGTTAACTTGAACCCTTCTCCATATCGTTCATGGAATTCGGCGTGTCGACTAACTGGTCCCTTGTCAGCTGGGCCTGTTGAACTGCCTTTGCGCGCAGGCGGTTGTTCATTATGCACAGTCCTGATTGTGGCCATCACTATGTCTCGCGATATCTGTCGTACGGCCTCGTCGTTCATGTATCCATAAATTTGCCTCGACCTCTATCCGAGCCGTCGATTTGTGCCATCTCATCGTTGCCAGAAGGACAACGGTTTTGCTTAGTCGTTCACTTTTATTACAGATAATGGCGAATAAGAGATTTTTAAGTTGCTATGTCTTCAATGGATATTATAATGATTCTGTAACGTTCCTGTTCCTAGTTGCCGACTGAGTGCGAGAACCATCGCATTCCCATTGGAGGTGCTAGTTGTAGACTCTCGCCCGCCATTTCACTTCCGTCGGGTATTCATGAATCCATTAACGTCTCATTGGTGCCAAACTATCTTCCGTGTTTCGTCTTCTCATCACAAATCTCTCGTCGGACCCATTAAGTCCTCTTGAATGTTCGTCATTGCTGCTCTGCCAGCCAGATACGTTCCTGACTTTGCTTCTTATCAGAGTCTTAAAGTCCTGTCTATCCGTTCTATTTTGCTTCGCCGCTGTCGCTGGGTTCCATTCTTTCCATCGTGTCTCGAGCGATGTTCGACTGTTCATACTGTGAAATGTTGACGGCAAATATTGATGACCCCGATCTTGCAATCTGTAAATCATCCAGTCACGGATTTCTTCGCTTTTGTAGCCATAAATCCATGCAAGAGACAGAACTATTACTGTCATTGGTATTCCGGTGATCCAAAAGATCTGCTGGTTCCAATTTGAGTCTCTCACGTCTACCGTGTTCATGCCGAGGAAGCTTGACACAAATGACAACGGCAGGAAAAATAGAGTAACGACAGTAAAAACTCGGATTGCCTTTCCATGATCTTCTTCCATGATCTCAATCGTCTGCTTCACCTGATCCTTCAAAATCCACAGTCTTGTCGCCAAATTGTCGATTTCTCGCCGTCTTTCTATCAGTTGGTGTAATTGCACATTGCCGTATTGGACCTCTGCTCGAAATTCTCGGAGTCGCGTCTCTGTGGTGTATCGAGAAGTGAGAGGATCGATAACAGTCAAAACATTATACAAACAGCTTTCTTGGCTGTCGACCAACTTATCCAACGCTTGAAGCTCTTCCTCGAGGCCATGAATATCCAAGAAAACCCGTTTCCGAGGCCGGTTATTAGCTTGGAAATGAAGCCGAGAAGTGTATTCTTTATACAGCTGCAAAAGAGTATCCTTTACATAGGAACGACCCATAAAAGATGGCTGCAGCAGAGGCCGTTGAATCCCTGACATGAATGCCAAGGCGAGAAATTGGACTCGGACACTCTCAGCCTCGAGTATCTCCGAATGAGACCCAATACCAGATAGGAATATGTCTTTCTTGGCGCTTTCTAAAAGATCTACGATGCGTTCGTTTGCATCCATTTCTAGGGACAAAAGTTCTTCAATCTTCCGATCAATGCGTTGAATCAACGGAAAATTCTCCAGTGAACTTCCGCTGACCAAGTCTCGCCGCCGATTGACAAGAGACAATTGTTTGGAGCGAAAGACGAACATTTTGACAATTTGTTGAAATGCGTGAGTAATATTGCCGGATAGAGGAGGCGTTGATACTGCGTCGTTTGTTGAAGAATCTCTCGCCGTCATATTGTGCAATTCTCTCACGTAGTCGCTGATATAAGAGAGCTCCTCAATGAAATCCTCCACGATCCCCAAGAGCCCGTCTCGTGAACTTCGCATTGGGTAACCATCGTGCCAAATGCGATGCAGCCATACATAGCAAGGGTCATCATATGGCCGCTCGGAACCGCCATGCTGGCAGTCAATGTGTTTTTCGTGCAAATGGTCCAGGGCATCTTTAGCTGATTGGTAGGGCTTTGCGGCCTTGCAATCCCCACACATCAAATAGTGTATCTTCCCTGAGATTGGCTTTCGTCTTTTGTGATCAGTTTTCTTGACTTGGCTCGAGAAATTACGTATGATGTATGTGCACTCGGAATCGTGTCCTCTTTGACTCTCTTCCCAGAGAAGTTGCTGCCGTCCATCAAATGGCATCAGTATTGGTAAACTGTAATAGAGATTGAAGATGGGAATTGCTCACCAGGCACATGATATCTACGCAGCCCCAAAGTCGTTTCATCAAAGTATGTATCCTGGAGCCGCCCGTGTTTGGTATGAATGACCATGCAATCTGCTGGCTCATGCCAACCAGTTGTTTAACGAGTGCTTTGTCGTGGCTTATAAGACCAAGAGCCTGCGTTCGGTAAAGTTTTATTTCTCCATTCGAATGTCGGCCTGGTGAGCTGTTTGTTGAATTGAATGCATTGTGAGGTGTGGGCTTAGTATCGCTTCCCTGAGCTTCAGCGTTTGTCGGATCGTTCTCCATACTTGTGTCAAGCGCTTTCAGAGGTTCAGTATTGTTCTCTTCGCTCCCTTTATCCGGCGCTTCAGCTTGATCTGTAGGTGAACGGAGTTTTAATATGTTGGCTGTCCTCAAATCCACTGTTTCTTGGGCACTCAGCCTATTTGGTTGGTTAGATTCATCCTGATCGATGCCCGAGTCCTTTTCCAAAACTGGCTCATGAAGTGGCTCCTGTCTCGATAATACATCATCCATAGTCAATTCTGGGACTTTCGAATAGTACTTGCTAATAGGATCATCGGATATCCGCTCATCAATTTGATCAAGAAGCTTAATCAGGGCCTGCTCTGGATTGTCGTGGGATGAGAATGTACCTGTCACACTGCTTTGCTTCCAGAAGAAGAATGGTACAGCTGTTTGTACGGGTAGTGTTTCCACTTTAGTGGCATTTGAACTCCCATAAGGAGACATCTCTGCATTTTCGTGGTAGTCAGAGTATTCTATTTGGGGGTGAAACCGGACCCCTGGTCTCGAAGATGAATCGCGGACCAAATTTGGACTGTCCCGCTTCCAAGGTCGTCTTTTCCGTGTACGAGTTCTTCCACGCGAATAGAAGGAATTATCTGTGGAGCTTGAGAGAGACCGAGATCGTGAGCGAAGCCCCTTGTATGAATCGCTCTGTGGAAAGCTGGCACTATTTCTGGGAGAATGCCATTTCTCTGAAGTGTTTTCCCGATTGCCGAACTTATGCGGGATGGGCGGATAGAAACGGTCTCTCTGGCTCTGTAGCACCAAGTCATCATCTAAGTTGAGCTCGGAAGCCGTATCCCGTAAAATAGCCTGAGTTGTGTCATCGTATGAGTGTCTATCGATTTTGTCCTCATCAGAAGACTCAGATCCATCTTCTATCTGAACCTTTTGATACGCTGTTGCTGGTCTATTTATTTGACTGCCGGGTATCCTTTTGTGTTCACGTAACTTATCATCTCCCTTTTGCATGTTGGGATCCTTAGTCGAGCTGATTGTATCTTTGAGCAATAATACGTCTGCGGCCTCTTCTTCGGGTACCTTGTTTTTGTCGTCATCACCGAGGTAGAAATAATGATCTTCAAGATGTGTGGCTACTTCTTTCTTGTCTTCAATGTCGCTTATAGTAGCTGTATGCTCGTATATTGAGGAATCATGCTTTGACAAAGACCGCATATGGCGGATGTCCTCATCAACAGAATCTGATGATGGCGACTGCTGGCGTTTTGGTGTGAATGTATTGGATGAAGAGGCCTTGTTTTGGTGAGATTCTTTTGCTTCAATACCCACATCTGCAGAATCGTTTATCGATGCAGTTGCCTGTTCAGGATCTAAATAATTTTCGTCGTTGCTGTCAAGCTTGATTCTTGTGGGGAGGCTTTTATTTTCAGGTTTTGAGTAAATTTCTGCTTGTATTCCGGACTCTTGATCTTTGATCTCGGCAGGCTCGCTGTACCATCGAGTGTTGATGGGAGACCTTGGATGTCTAGGCGGTCTTGGCGTCGAAGTTCTTTTCGATACCGCTCTTCTTTCGCCAGAAGACGAATCTCCATCATACCTATCCTCAGAACGGCGTGATGTACTGCCTTTTGATCCGTGGCGATAGTTGCCATGTGCGTAATCAAGTAATAAAAGTCGTTTTATACCCGAACGGCTGCTGATTCGACTGGAAACACTCGATGAGCGCGATGCTGGGGTCTTTCGCTCGGTAAGATAAAATCTAAGTAGCGATGGCTTCGTTGCTTTTGCGATTTCAACCCATCTTTCTGCCGTTATTACTTCGTCTGCCTCGTCCACTAGCTCATAGTCCATAATACTCATGAGATTACCGTGAACAGTAAATATCACATGTCGAAAGAGATCTACCCATGGCGTCTTTGACGATATACTCATGCTATGCTGCGAGCCGTTTGTATCGATAACCTCAACTCTTAAGGGTTGCTTGAAATAGTCGGTACGTTTTTCAATCGAGCCACCAAGCAAATCGTCCGTTGGTCGGTCTGAAAGGGTTATCAGGATATCTGATCCTATAACAAGACACCACAATTGATTGACATATAAGGTATCATTTGGTTGACTGCCCACCGGCATCTTGTGTATAACTTGATGCTTGCCTCTGCTTGTGACGATGTCAAATCCGTAAAGATTCTGAAGGAGAGTTCGAGGATAGTATTCATCTCTTTCACGAGACCCGTGGGTATTTCTGGAAGGCGCCAACTCCGCAAATGGGAACGCAATAAAGATGACAGGTTCTGTGACCACAATATTGTGCGACTCGTGAGGCATGTGACGGGTGCCAGTGAAACGCACAACTGAGCCTGGCTCGATGTATGCTCCATTTTCTGCTTCTCGAAGAAATGACCTTTCGACAGCTTCAAGTAGTAAAATGGCAACTCTCCGAATATCTCCATTGATTATTGGGCAATCCATGACGAGTTTCTGCATCATCATTAGCCAGAGAAATCAGGAATAACGAGCCATGGCGTCCTACTTCCAAAACTTTGACGCTCATTGAAGAACGTTGAACATGGCTAGTCTAGGAGTCAATTCTCTGAAGAGAGCTTGAGAGACGGCATGTCTACTTACAGCCATTTGGCTTGAACCAGAGCGGAATCTTCATCGTCCTTGATAGGGCCTTGCGGGCAAAAAAGCGTAATCTTTTCTTGTCCCATCTCGCCTATGGAATATTTTATTGAGTAGATTGATTGGAGATGCGTTGTGCCAATCTTTTTATCGTAGCTCTTTTCGACTTTCCATGCTGAGTTTGAGTCTGTGAGATTTGTATGATGAGGCAAGCTTTGTTCGTTGTTGTTTGGGAGAGTGACTGTGTATGATAGGCCAGCGTCTTCGACTTCTTCGGCTTTTTTCCCGTCATTTTCAATCCCTTCAACAAAGCTGGGTCTACTGTTGACATTTCCCCCGCTAATATTACCGCCACCTGGCAGTGGTGGTGTGCCTGATGAAGCGTTTCGAATGTCATAAGATTCTGTGCTGTGATGGGGCTCCCAGGACCCTGAATACTCCGTTATGGACACTTCTTCATAAGGAACATCAAATTTGTTTCTATTTCTATAGTGACTTTCGCGAAATGCACGTAATTCTCCTTCTAGGGAGCTCCGCAGTATACTGTTGGAAGTGTCAGCAGAGATATCTCTGTGTCTCCGAGGCGGCTGATCGCCGCTGTGCCGACGGCGTGGAGAAGGCGAATTGTCCATTTGCTGGTTGGAATCGTCTCGTCAGCCATTTCTGAAATAACAGACATTGCGGAGAATTGCGGCTCGTTAGTTCCGCATAGAGAGTCCCAGGATCCGAACCTGTATGTATAGCCCGGGCTCGTGTTTGAACCATGAGATTCAAAATCGCGGTGAGCGGCAGCTGGATTTCCAAGAGACAGGGATCGGAAGATGGGAATGTGTACTCATTGGTCAGTCTCTAACTCATTAGGCAGATTGTGACATATTAATTCCAGCTGACATTAGTCCGGTAGCTGTGACTGCAATGCCAGTTTGATGTCAGACAAGTGAGCGGGGATGACAGCCGTCCATCGCAATCCTTGGAGGGGTTTATCGCTAGGCTGCCGTCAGCAGTATTGTGGGACATGAGATGCATGCAGCTTTATATAGAGGGATAGAAGCGTAGGAGTTGTACGGAGTAGACCGACTCAAGCAGAAGCGCAATTTGCTTACAATGGAAGAATTGGATTTGAGAAATTTCGACTTAGTGGTACTTGTTTTAATTTTTTGCTTTTTGTTTACTTCTAGGGAGCCGGATGTTCATTTCGATGACCAATGTCCCCATTCGCTGCTCGGTCGTCATCGATCCGCAGCCGAAGCGTTGTATATGATCAGTGGGAAGGTCGAAGTCAATTTGAGGTTGCAAACTCTCATCAAAGAGAGTACGCAGTGCGTCGAATGCAACCTACTTCTCCAAGCTGTGTACAACTTCAAGCCTGGCTGGACCAGAGCCGACAAGAGCGGCAAATGTTGGATGAGTGTCGAGAAATGGAGCACTTACTCTGTCAAACTCTTTTCAGGGAGGTTCTCAGTTGGCTCATTTCAGATGCTGCACCGATCAAAGAGTAATCCACATAGGCCGTCTTCGTCGCCCCACAAACCTGCTTATGCATTTACTTCCCTCTGACTATATATGTACTAACTATCATCATATAGATGAACCTTTTTATGAACCAGAGGATCCAAAGTCTGAGTCAACTGATATCCTGCGAAGACCTCGGGCTCAAGCATTAGAAATTACCTCAGATTCATCTTCCAAGGCTGCTCTATATCGCGCATCCCAATGGCTCTCCCACTGCCTTGAGCACGATGAGGCATGCAAATTACCAAACACAGATTTTATGCCTAAGCTGCTTATAGATGTCGGTTCCGAAGATGACGCTATCAACCCATTTCTCTATAAACCCACTGAAGTGACACCATACGCATGTCTAAGCTACTGCGGGGGACCCGATACTGAAGATGTTTTGCGGACAACTGCAAAGAATTTGGAAGCGCACTATGAATCCATTCCATGGTCCAAGATACCTCTTGGTATAAAAGACGCCATTCTAGTCTGCCGCGGTCTCAAAATTCGCAGCTTATGGGTGGACTCTTTGTGTATCATTCACGATGATTCCGTGGATTGGCGAGGGGATGTAGCAGAAATAAACCGCATCTATCTGTATTCTCGGCTTTCAATTGCAGCTCTTGAACCAGCCACATGCAAGTCACGATTTCTAGGACCTCAGAAGTTTGCGCACCCGGCCTGGCAGAGTCGCTTTACCGCTGAAACTACGCTCAACCCAAAGGAACCGCCTCTTGAGGTTTTTGTGAGACCATACTCTGGAATAAATAATGAGCGTAAGGAAGACTTATCAAGAAGCTCCCTCGATAAGCGAGGATGGTCTCTCCAGGAAAGTCTACTACCAGCCCGTCGGTTGTGTTTCAACGGCAACGAGATGATTTGGCAGTGTCTGTGTCGAACAATATGTGAGTGCGGTCACATCCTGTGGAAGCCTCAATCCTCTGAGTTTGGGTGTTTAGGGACACATCTCAAGTTGAAGCGCTTAAAAGCAGATGTAGTGCTCTCTCGTCCGCAACCAGCATGGCACACTTGGCACAAGTACGACAGATATGACTATCGCCGGAGCTGCCCTGGCTATCCCCAAAACCCATATAAAAGATGGAGAGATATTGTAGTGGAGTACACAAAACGCGATCTTATTCCCCGAAAGGATAAGTTGAATGCTGTCTCTGGGCTGGCTATGCTGGCCCGTGAAGGTCTTCCAGATGATCCGCAAAGCCAAGAGGATGAACACCCTGAAGAGTATCTGGCGGGCCTATGGAGAAGAGAATTTCGCTATGACCTTGCATGGATGGTGAAATCACCCATTGCGGATCAGGGCATAGCGGAGATATCAGGCATCCCAAGTTGGTCATGGGCATCTGTTAACGCGCCTGTGACTTACAAATTCGACGATCCGATACAAACTTGGAAGCACACCCCTTATCTTATAGAATGCGTCAAGGTGGAAAGTGTTACATGCCTAAGGGAAGTTGCAAACGAGGAAACAAGTAACGTTGTGAGTGGTGAGGCCATCTTGACAGGCCTTGTATCTCGTGTGAAGCTGGCTGTGATGCTCGACGAAGGCGGAATGGCCAAAGCGTATGTGAGATCCGCAAATCTGCACTCCTACAAGGTGAAATTGGACCGACCGAGAAGCTTGACAATCTTCTCTGAAGATCGGCAGAGTGCCTGCTGGATGAATGGTACATGCCAGCACGAAGATGACTGCTGCAAATGGACAATGGAGGAACACGATGAGAAGCTTATTTGCCTTGTGCTGTTTACGTGGACTGCCCCCGTCAACAAGAACGACCACAATGGTAACCCGAGGCCAAATATGGGACCGGAAACCTGGTTTTTGGTGCTGAAGCCGTCTACTTCTGTTGACGGCGCATTTGAGAGGATAGGCATCGGGCACCATGCTTACTGGCTGGCCGAGAAATGTGAGCTCTTTGCGGATGAAGAGCTTGCTACGGTGAAAGTAGTTTAGACCCTTTGGGTGATGCAATTCGACTCTATATACATCGAAGATATCTATTTTAACGTCGTCGTTGGCATATTTACTTAAGCATGTAACAACCATTCTCCCATTTATCTACTACCACAAGGTTCACTTACTAATTTGCTGTAGAATCCCAACAAAGCCATCTCTGAGAAGATTCACCTAATATCAAGAATTTGACTTACTATTGCATTATAGAAGACTCACTTTCCTCTGAGGCCACCGGCGTCTTTGTAACTGCAATTACCATCTCTTCTGTGGTACTTTCCACATGCATTTCAACAGCTGCTTACTGCCCTTGTTAGAGAAGGTGAACCAAGCGCATATTTCATTTTCCATTGGCCTTTGTGTCCGTGTTTAACAAACCTACTACAGCAGCACGAATCGTATAAGAGCATGTGTTTTCAGAGTGATAGCGAATGACAGACCGAAAATCATGAATCCTCCAGAAACTCACGGTGTTGCTTGCTCAATGTACATTCTCTGGGACCAATCATAGGACTAGAAAAATACTATGGAAACACGCGAACGGTTACGACGGAATGTAAGACGATGATTGTAGATATGTTATCTCGCCGTTTGCCCCATCGGGATTAACATGCGGATATTAATAATATCGCAGTGCGTGACTCTAGACGAGGCTCAGTCGATGTGCGGGCAACTGAAGTCTCTACTCTTCCGAAATCCAGAGCCTGGCAACAAAGGCGTCCTTCTCTGACGGTTACATCGCCTTTCATCATCGCATTAAACTCTCAATAATGCTTTTCTCCCTTGGCTAGGCGAGAAGATGGTTATGGCGACGAGCTTCGCGACGACTGGCCGCTTGCAGGTGTTAGGGGAACCAGATGAGAGCTTTCAGGATGGCGTCGAGTAGGACAAATGAGCAACCAGATCCAGCACAGTTCCTCTTCTAACGTATGAATTATAGCATTGTTCTTATTCCTGGCATAGGAACCACCTCGCAGAGCTGGACATCTCTCGCATCCAGGATAAACGATACGAAGAAGGTGAAGCTGCTCTTAAAGAGGCGCTGCGCATGCGTAAAGCTCTTGGCAACTACATTCCTAGATCGGGCGAGGCCAATCTAAGCTGGGCTCTCCTCGCGCAGGGCAAACTTGAAGAATGCAATACACTTCTTCTGGAAAGTCTAGCAGGTAGAGAGGCGGCATTGGGGAAAGACGATAGAGAATCTGTTCGAACTGGATTGATCCTCTACGCACTTGGCAACCTTCGCGCCGCGCAAGATAAGTGGGAGGCGTCATATGCTTGCGACAGTAGGAGAACGAGATTTCTATACAGCAAATGTCTTCCACAAGCTAGGCGAGCACTTCATCCGCTTGGGTCAGAACGAAGAAGCTATGTAAGTGTCACAGAATCCAATTTGAGCAGCGATTCTTTGCCTTCTAACATGTATTAGTGCAATGATTAACTGGGCGCTGGATATCTGGTCCGTAGATCCGACAGCGCATAAGAACGAGATTGCTCGCACGACTTTTCTCAAAGGAAAGTTGTTAGAAGGGACAGGAAAGGCATAGAAGGCTTCTATTGCTCTTAGAGTCGCCTGTCGCTTGAGAAAGGAAATTACAAAAGAGGATCGAGATGCAAAAAGTTTGACGACCAAGGATTTTGACGAAATTGTTGCTTTTTGGGCTCGCTGATGATACTCTCTTTGGTTGTTAATAGGTTAAAAGAATGCAACGAATTTAATGATTATGATTACACTTCATCACCTGGCATTACAAGTAGCTAGAAAATAACCCAAGCTAAAGAGTGCTACATATATATACGATACTCCAATGGCCCTTACGACTGTCTACCCCATAATATACCCAAAAGTGTTGGATATAGTCTCTCTCATTGGGGTATCGAGTACCAATCTACTTCATTAGATCACAAGATCATACCGCATAGGTTGGATCTTTATCACTTCCTCTAGCAATGTTCCTTCCCCTAGCATATAAAAGACACTTCCAGAGTCTCGTCCAGTACCGTTTCAGGTATTGGTAGTCCCAAAGATAAAATACATAATCGAACAGTGTAATCGGAACACACAAGACAAAAACCCACCAAAATCTCACTGCATTCTGCCCCAGCAGATCAACATTCATACCAAACAGGCTGGAACTAAAATTGAGGGGAATGAAGAGCGTCGCAAGAATAGTAAGCTTCTTGGCTCGTTCTGACTGCTCAACAGCCTTTCGAGACTCCTCAATCGTGGCTTTGTTAATTGCTAGAGTTATGCCGCTGGTACAGAGTTTGGACAACTCAATGCAACGAATACGAAGCTCTTCATAGTCTTCTAGAACGCCTCTTGTTGTAAAGGTCCCGTCAGAACCACCATCGGATCCGAAGCTTCTAACTATGTCAGAATCGGATGGCTGCCGCCGCGTGCCAACTCCTAGACTCGGAGGCAATGGACTTTCCGCTCTAGCTCTGCCAAATATTTGGTTGCTTCTTTCGGCCAACTTGTTAAGTACAAGAGAACTGTCTTTCAGCTGTTGTGCATGACGGGTGAGAATATTGGAAAAGTATTGAAGGGTTCCCAGCACATCTGTCAAAGCCCCTTTAACGATGGTATTTATCTGGATTTGTATTCTAGACTTGATAAGGTTCAAGAACTGAACTTCGGAAAAGGCGGCGTGGGCAAATAATGGGATGCACATAGAAAGCGGATCTTGTGGTGCTCGACGGGCCAAATCGACAAGCGCAACCAGTGAGTCGTATTGTAAAGGCAGAATGGCCGTACTTTTTTGTATCTGCGCTGAAACATTTGCATCCAGATCGAGACGGCTTGTGGTTTTTAGAAATGCCATCTTGGGATGATGTTGAAGAACGGGAATTGGCGTGGCTTTCGACTCAATATGGCTCGTCCACGGTCCCGGAGGAGATTTCTCCAAGGGTCAGACACCTTGGTCCATCCAAGCAATAACTATAACTTCGTTTCAGTGCATGTTTTCCCTTCTCTTATAAAACGTAGTATCATGTGTTACCAGCCCAGCCACTCTCCGTTTTGGTAATATAGAGTGAAATCCATTGTTCAATCACAGAGAATGAAGAACATACTGTAGCATACTCGCGCACCAACGAGTCTCCGCAACATACTTGAGTAGAGCCAAGTTGTTGTATTTCATATGTCGCAAGTTCAGCAGCTTGTTCCGAGCGCTGTAACTGAAGATCCTGTCCGCCGAAATCGTCGCGATGAAGGAGCGTGTTTACGCAAAGTCGAAACAAGTTCTTTGAAGAACTAGGAAGAGATGGGGTACTGTACGCGTGTCTGTCAATGCTCGCAGAGAGAAAGTCCATGTGTCGCCTGAAGAACTCCGGGTCGATACCATATTTGCTGCCGATTGCTGACACCCATGACGGCGAGATGAAGCCCCGGATGAAGACTATTTGCCCCGCGCCTCCCGGTGGAATAGATGTGACTGCGGAAAAGGCTTCATGCTCGTGCTGACCATATTGCTGCATATCCCACTTTCTTTCCCCACTGTTGTACACGATAACTAAGTCATGGGGCTCTTCTGACTTGGAAACAAAGAGAGCGGTATCTTCCCTGGGCTTGACGGGTGAAATAAGCTGCGATCTTGGAGCATCCATTCTCCAAGGTCGACGAAGTTGTTTCCTGGGAAGACAGAGGTGCTTGAATATCTCCTCGAGAGCGAGATAATTGCTCGAGTATAGTTTTCGGGCGAAACTAAATCTCAAGGTCAATAAGTAACACATGTCTTGCTGTCACTTTAATTAAATGTGAAACCTCACAAGCAACTATTCTGCGCTCCATGTCCTATTAAGTACCATTATTTGCAGACTAGTTGGCATATAACATGCGCATTTGGTTCTGCACTATGTGGCGCAATGGTCAACGCGACAGAGAGTCGAGCAAGTGCCGAGTGGAATAGTCAGGGTACATGATTGAGAGAAAGCTGACATAGCGCCCAGGCTTTATATATGAAGAGCACAGCTGAACGAGGCTATATTCCTCGGTAGCCCGGTACGACGGTCACCCGCCCACGGACAAGTGTTTGCACTGATGCATGAGGCCGTTACAGGGCTCGGCATAACGAGCTGTACTGCTTAGGGCTAACCACATAAGACATAGGGAGTACAATCCATGTAAGTGTGCGACTGAGAAGAGTGACAATAGTCTATACTGTTGAACAAACGGAAAAGACCGCGGATAAGCTGAAGTTGGCGGCGGGGCCGAAGCAAACCCGCCAGACGCTATCCCTGTCCCGACCAGCGGTTGCTGTTGGCGATCCTCCAAAACACACAAGATCCAATCTATTTCCCCTATAATTAGTTCCGAGACAATTCCTAGTGACATCGGCTGTGGCGCGACGGCGTCGGGCGCTAAAGTTGTGTTGGAAACTTGAGCTGTCAGTCTTTCTCTGGCCACGTGAGAGCGGCTCCTCCTAGTTTTCTAGAATGCAATATACGCTTTTACTGTTGCTTACATTGAGTGTCATAGTTAGTTGACCGACACCCGAATCTTGCAAGGATATGATCTCCAAGTCCTATTGCAAGAAACACAGCCTACACTCAAGTCGCATTTGACAACCCGTTCGAGCTTCCTTCTTCGTCTAACTCCTGGCCCCGTCAACTTGGGTCAATTCCTGCGTTAGCTCAGTCAGAAATCATGGCTCCGCGTAAGACAGAGTGCGTGATCTCCCACATGGCATCCGAAGGTGGTCTTAAGCAGAGTCGTTGGTTATGGGTCATCTGCCTCGGAGTCCACGTAACATTACTATAGACAGAAGCTAAGCAATAGACATGTTGTAAGCAGTTTTCCGCCAATCCGGGCTTGCCTTTTCGACATGGACGGGCTGCTCATCAACTCCGAGGACATGATCACTCAGTCTATCAACCTACTGCTAGAAAAGTACTCAAGGCCGGCCATTACTCGGACGATCCGTGCTCAGCTCATGGGTATCCCAGACTCTACAAATGGCGATGTCTTTCACAACTGGGCAAAGCTGCCCATCCCTCGCGAGCAATTCGCTCGTGAATCAAGTGAGCAGATGCACACGCTATTTCCGAAATGTGAGCCGCTGCCTGGTGCGGTGAAGCTTCTGTCGAACCTGAGCCGTGCACGGAGTGCGTCTTTGGGGGGTCCAATTGAGTTGGCTTTAGCGTCCACTACAAAGAGCGACAGCTATAAGTTGAAAATTACACGGCCAGAAACAAAGCAGCTACTTGACACTTTCCAGCCCGACAGACGGATTTTGGGTGATGATCCACGAGTTCCAAAGGGTCGAGGGAAACCAGCGCCAGACATTTATCTAATAGCCCTGCAGGCACTAAACACGGCTGCTGGTCCTGACGCAAAGCCCATTTTGCCCAGCGAATGCCTAGTCTTTGAAGACAGCGTCATTGGAGTAGAAGCTGGGAGGCGTGCTGGAATGAGAGTCATCTGGGTACCGCATCCAGATTTGGCGATCGAGTATCAAGACAGGCAGAATATTGTGCTCGCTGGAAGGACGGGATTGGTGGAGATTGGAGACACTTGGCAACTTGGGGAAATTGGTGATGACTGGGCCGAATGCATATCGAGTCTGGAGCACTTCCATTATGAGGAATACGGCATTGACGTACCACTCTAGGCATTTATAACAACTACAATTTGTATTTAATAATTTCTCCAAGTCTTTTGGCCCTTGGTGCCAAATAACAACAAGTCAAAAACGGCGCTGCATATGATATCTCACGGCAGACCGTCAAGGATAGGACCGCATAGTTTATGGGCTGCTTGCCACATGAAGTACATGCGACTGTATCTACACGATATATCTGGAGGATCCCATCAAGTTCTTACAATTAGTTTATTTTTTGATCTTTTCCTTATGCACTTTTTTTATAATTCTCTCTTTATAGAGCATGGGGCTTATGCGTCGAGCCAGCCCTTATGATCGTAGCATTTAGCTTGCAGGCCAGACGCCATCAAATAATAGCGATCTGCTATATTAATTATGGACAGTACATGTACTTGCTTGGAGAAAGTGAGCCTAGGATAGAACATTACATGCTTCGGAAGTAAGCTCAACCTCAGAAAACAAGATTGAGTACACCACCTGAGCGGATGCTAAGGTAGATACACGCTTTATATTATCATATGGACAATTGACATGGTCATTGTTAATGGTTTCATATGCAAACGAAGAGTGAAATTATTTGGTAGCGGTAGAGTAGGAAGAAAGTGAGCCGTATCCTACTCTATCGAATTTGAGACGCCAGAAATGAATACCTTCTTTTAGCAATCACTTGAGTTTAGCAATCAATAAGAAAATATATTAGGCAGTAGATGCCATTCATTTTCGAAAAAAGCTTCGCTAGCATCGGGTTTCGGCAGCCGAACTTTGCTCGGTAGGAAAGGAGAGGATAGAAAAGAGTTTCAATGACGGCAGTTCTGGCAATAGTAAGATAGACGGAAATATATAGAGACGATTTCGGCTGATCAATGCTGAGATCTTGAGTCTTGTGTATTAAAATTTGAATCTTCGATGCTCGGAGATGCGATCAAGACGTATCCTCTGGTGCCTATGAGCAGTACGAGGAGGTAATGACTGAGATTGTGAAGTCAACAATTCTGCCACAAGAAAGAACTCAAGAGCACATTTTGGATGAGACTTGCACAAAAAAAAAGGATATATTCAGCTGTCGCATTCAACACTTCTTGGAAAAGACATCTAGGTGTACGTGGCATGATTCTGCATGTGAGAGGCTCGTTGTGGGGTACAGCCCTCTTCATCTACCGTCAATGACACCGCAAGAATATTGCCTAAAATTCTCAAATGTCGGTTCAAGGGCATTGCCAAATCAGGTTAACCATTACGCTTCGTGCCGAATCATCCCCAATGCCGTGGGCGAGACTGCCAGCAGCGGCCTAATGCCGGCTCATTCGAACCCAAGTGAGCTATCGGGTGGTCGCGACTGACCTTTGCAGATCTAACGTGTGTCCGGCTGAGTAGGTGTAGATTAGCCTGCCAATAGTGAATATTCATGGAAAATGGAATACTCTAGGAGGCAAGAGTCCAATCGGGATATATGGCTACCATGGAATTTGATTTAGCCTAATTCAACACGTGGCAGTCTGAGGATGAATGTCTGGGGGAACGGAATACAACAGTAACTAGAACAAATTGGGGTTTTTTGTATAGAACAAGGCAATGATGTAGAGGAAATGTTGGATAATGTGAACAAAGTCAATAACTTATGCCTATATAGGACCCTGTTGAAATTCTCGATGGTATATAACCTCCTACCTGCCCCCAACGTCAATCATCCTTCAAACAATGAGCAGCATCTTGCACCATTAGCTTCTAGGCTCGGCATCTCTGTTATAAAGCTAAACATGCCTTCTGTTAAGAGCGCCCTCGCCTTTGTTCTAGGCCAAGCTCTTCTGGCTACTGCGAGCCCGGTAGAGGGTGAGGTTGTTCAGAAACGACAATGCCCAGGAATCCATGTCTTTGGTGCCCGTGAAACCACAGTAGGTCCAGGCTATGGCTCCTCCGCTACTGTTGTGAACTTGGTTATCGCCGCCCATCCAGGAACTACATCTGAGGCGATCACCTATCCAGCTTGTGGTGGTCAGGCCTCTTGTGGTGGCATTCAATATAATGCATCTGTTATTGCCGGTATCAACGCCGTAGCCACGGCAGTGAACAACTTCCACAACTCCTGCCCAGACACTCAGCTGGTGCTAGTTGGATACTCACAGGTTTGTCTCTCTTCTCTCGCTCTATTTCTTCTTTATATAAAGCCAGATGCTCATGAGTTATATAAAAGGGCGGCCAAATCTTTGATGACGCGTTTTGTGGAGGAGGCGACACCGGTGAGGGATATCCTAACACTGCTGTTCCGATATCCGCAGGAGCAGTCGCTGCTATTAAGGCCGCCATCTTTATGGGAGATCCTCGAAATATTCACGGACTTTCCTACAATGTCGGAACCTGTACTGCTCAAGGTGTAAGTATTCGCCATGTTACGGAATTGATCACCCTCTGCAGATTATTGTTTTCTAATTCCATTTTTTTAATCAGTTTGACCCCCGTCCAGCTGGCTTCGTTTGCCCCAGCGCGTCCAAAATCCAGTCATACTGTGATGCCCCAGACCCGTACTGCTGCAACGGAAACGATGCAAACACTCACCAAGGTTACGGCCAGGAGTATGGCCAGCAAGCTCTCGCTTTCATCAATAGCAAGCTTTCCTCGGGTGGTTCTACTCCCCCTCCGTCCTCAACAGCCGGCACCTCTTCCACCAAAACTGGCAGCTCACCTGGCCCAACCCAGACCCAGTACGGACAGTGTGGTGGCATCGGCTGGACTGGTCCTACACAATGTGCTGCTGGCTTTACTTGTAAAGTCCTGAACTCGTACTACTCACAGTGCTTGTAAAGAGTGTGGGGACCGTTTGTTGTGGAAGGTTTAAAGAGGTCATATCTTGAGCTATACTTAAGACCAGCTACATAGTGCCTACTTCTGCTGCGAATAATATACGCTTATTTGTTGCCGCGGAACTTCATCACCAGCTGCAGAAATATTTGAACGCCAAATCATTCAGGGTCAGGCCAGTGAGAGGCAGATCAACACATGTAATCAACTGGATGACCATCAGCGGACCCGGTTGTGCGTGTTGTTTGTCTTGTTTAAAATCTTGATGTTATGAACTGATTTCTATTTCACTTGGAATCTGCACCTAACGTAAAGTATCTCATAGAGATCCTCGGATGTCTGAGTACATACCTAGGTACATAAATATGTAATAAGAACCGCCCTTTACGATCTTGGACAAGAGGTGTGCCAACTTTAAAACATGATGTAGGTACTAGTAAGTATTTCAGCTTGCCTCTAAGTGATTGAAATAGAAAGCTCGCAACATTAGAATAATCCTCATACTACTGGATATACCATTTATTTTATCCTTCCCTTTCAAAGATTATACTCCCCAACACTCAAAATTGCCTGGATCTTATTAGTGACTCTTTGTATCAATGTGACAGAAATGAATAACATACGGACGCGACAGGATAGTGATTGACTCTGGCAAGCATGTGTGTACTTTAAATTACTGCATTTATCCATTCTCTTCATCACTGTTTCGCAGCAAATGCATAGAAGAGAGATGCTAACGGTCACTACAATCTTGATACTTCACTAAATTATCTGTAGACTAAATGTCACTATCAAGCTCAGTTCTACCAGGCAATAAATCAACGCCCTGTTTGTTTTCAACATATCGAACCAGCCAGATGTTAGATTATTTGATCCCAAATATCCTTCATTTTTAGCTGAACCGCATATTGACACTCCTTCGCATGTTCTGATGGTGTCCCATCCGCGCTATCTTCAGCATTGCCATTTTGCACCCGCTTTAAGCAACAACTGGACCATGTTTTGATAATTTGGTGCTGTACTTAAATGCAATAATGGCGTCTTACCATTTTTATCTCGAACATTAACATCTGCACCCTTTTCAAGCAGCAGCTGGATTATTTCTTGGTTATTCGGCATTAATACTGCATGCGATAATGTCGTTTTGCCGTTATTATCCCGAACGTTGGCATCTGCACCCCATTCAAGCAGCAGCTGGACCGTATTTTGGTTATTCGGTATTAATACCGCATGAGATAGTGGCGTTTTGCCACTATCATCTTGAGCGTTAACATTTGCACCCCATTCAAGCAACAGCTGGAGCTTAGCTTGGTTTTTCCGTGCTGATACCGCGTAAAACAATGGCGTCTTGCCATGGTTGTCTTTCGCATCCACACCCGCACCTCTTTCAAGCAGCAGCTGGATCGTATCTTCGCCATCGTATCCTATTGATACCGCATGTGATAATGGCGTCCTGCCATCATGATCTGTAGCTTTAACATCTGCCCCTCTTTCAAGTAGCAGTTGGATCGTAGCAAAAAGGCTACGACCTGAAAACCCCCCATATATTGCATGTGATAACGGCGCCATGCCATTATTATCTTTAACATCCACATCTGCACCCCTCTCAAGCAGCAGCTTAGCCACAGATTCGTTGCATCCGTAACGTACTGCACATGATAGTGGCGTCCTACCGGCTGAGTCTTGAACGTTAATTTTTGCGCCTTTGTCAAGTAATAGTTCAACCATACCCCTACTAGCATTATATGCGGCTAGCAAGGGCGTCCTGCCATGGCTGTCTTTGATCTCAGGGTCCGCACCTCCATGAAGCAGAACTTCAACTATGCTTTCATTGCCTGCCTCTACCCCGTATAATAATGGCGTTTTCCTTTCTTTATCTTGAGTGTTGATTTCCGCACCCCCGTCAATGAGCAGTTGAACTATAAATGCTTTGCTAAATTGTGCTGCATACGATAGGGGCGTTCTGTTGGTTAGATCTTTATCATCAATTCTCGTGCCTTTGCTAAGCACAAGTTTGACCATAGCTTCGCTTCCAGCATGTACTGAGTACGATAATAGCGTCCTTTGGCTACTATCTCGAATGTCGATTTCAGCGCCCTTGCTAAGTAATAGTTTGACCATGGGTTCATTGCCAGACTGTACTGCATAAGATAGTGGCGTCCTTTGACTATCATCTCGAATGTCGATTTCAGCGCCCTTGCTAAGTAATAGTTTGACCATGGGTTCATTGCCAGACTGTACTGCATAAGATAGTGGCGTGCGGCCTCTGTATTGAACATTTAAGTCAACGCTGTCGTTAAGTGACCGTTCAACAAGAGAATAGAGACCTTTCTCGGCTGCAATCGAGAGAAATGTGCGGCCATTTATATCCGTACAGTCAATTTTTGCACCGTTGCCAAGCAAGAAATCAGCAATAGCTTCATGACCATTCGATATAGCAGCCGAAAGCAGTGCTGAATGATCAATATTTTCGTAGCTCCAATTGTCAAGAAATAATTTCAAGATAGATTTATGGCCCCTCGCAGCAGTAATGATTAATTCATCTCGACTGGGCGAGTCAAGATACACATTGACGCCAGTTATTTTGAAAGAAAAGGCAACAGCCAAAGTGGCGCCATTCCTGATGAAGTCTCTGAAAGAATGTGTTCTGGAAAATCTGAAGCTCCGCCCAAGGTTATTTCTTTCAACACCATTAGAGTAATAGTCGTTAACAATATCGCGAAATGAAGGCTCAATCTCTAAATAAGCATCTAAAAATGCTCGGAGTGACATGGAGCTATTCATCGCCAAGGCTGCAAATAGTGGTGTTCCGTAGCGTTCTTGTTCTACGCTCAGAAAAGATAATATGTCCAGGTGGCGCCTGATCAGATGGCTCATGTTGAATTCGGCCAGGATATACAGAAAGCTCACATTCCTTTTATGTCGCCGTGTCTCATATTTTTCGAGGAAATTATCGAGTTGAATCCAGTCATCCAGCGGAAATTCTTTGAGAACCTCAGGTTGGTTGGCACCATGAGCCTCCGCCTCGTTTGCGTGATACAGAACGTTTTTCACAGCGTATTCTAAGAACGGGAAGGAAGAGTTGGCTAATTGGCGCTGGCTTTTTGCTTCTTCAGGCTTTGCATTTGCCGCCAATTCAAGAGAAGCGGTTTTGCCGATAGCAATGTAATTCAGGCAGCACTGCTTCAATCGCTCGTGGCTATACCCATTCACATTTGCCTGAAGATCAGGCCAAATATCATTTAGTCCATTTTCTTTGAGGAGATAATCTTTAACCGATTCGTGTATAAATTGAACAGTCGGAGTCTTAGACTTTGTTACCTTAGTGAGGCCTTTAGATAAATTCAATATGAACCTTTCGATATCAGAAGCTGTAATTTTGTCAGGGGTCCGAGGAAGGAAGAGGTATAATAGAGCCATAGAGCCGGCGAATACTGCCAAAGTTGCTGCTTAGAGGCTAGTCACAGCTAGGATTTACTATATAAAGGAGTATAAATCCCCTTAGTTTTAGAGAAGGTTAGAGATAAATATAGTTATTATATACCTCCTAGCTACTTCCTCCCTTTATAACAACTAGAACCTCTCCTTAACTTTATTACTCTCTTATACGCCGCTGTCTCTAATAGATTTATCTCTTTTTAAAAAGCAAAAGACTATTAAAGTAAAGATAACAAAGGCCGCTGCCCAAAAGCAGGCAAAAAGCCAGTTGCATCTTAAAGATATATAGCAAAGCCCTATACCTTATATAGTACCCCTTAAGGAAGAATTTACCCTTTAAACTAATACCTTAATTCCTAATATATAGCGCGACCCTTAACCTATTACTTTAGATCCCCTAGCCTTCTTTAAGGGATAATATACCTCCCTAACTAAAGATAAGCTACTTAGTCTTATAGTTTTTATTATAAGAGAAAATTAAAAAAGAAAGCTTACTTAATATTTAGTAAATCCTACTAACTTTTAGGATAAAGAATTTAAAGCGCTTCTTTTATAAAAAGGGCCCCTCTTTAAGTTACCTATTATAACTCCCTAGGAGAAGTCTACGAGAGAGCTAATAAACTATATAAAGGATTAGAAGCTATACTTTCTAAAGCCTATATTTAAAAAAAAAACTTAAAAAGAATACTAAGATTACGCTTTTAAACTTAATACCTTATTTATATTTAAAAAGATTATTAATAAAGTATATAAGATTCTTATAGTAAGCCTTTATTTTAAAAAAGAAGCCTAATAATACTAGATTAATTATTTTAAAGGAGAACTTTAATAAAACTATAATAATATTACTTATATATAGTACTTAAAATAATATAAAAACTAGGTTAAAGATATTTAATCTTACGCTATTAATAAAGGAAAAGTACTAAATATTATATATTAAGGGAAGGGTAAGACTGTAAAGAAGTTTATTAAATAATTTAAAAAGGCTAATAATAAGGTTTTATATTATATAAATAATAGCTATAAAATCTTAATTTTCCTCTAAAAAGTATTTTTAAAAATAAAAAAGTATATTCTTTATAAAGAACTCCTTACTATATAATAAAATCTTTATAGGAAATGCTTTAGGGCAGAATTAATTATTAATAGCCTTAGTAAAGGGGATAAATAAAAAGAAAAAAACCTTACTTATTTTAGAAAAAGTAAGTATACTTTTTATACCCTATATAAAAGAAGGGAAATCTTAACTACGCTAGAATAATCCTTAGGCTAAATAAAGAATAATATTTTAATTAATAACCCCTTAGCTACCCTAAAGTAGGGAAGGCATAGACTTTTATTAAAGATTATATATTATAAATATAGAACTCCTAGGTACTATTTTATAAGCTATAAAAAGCTAGATTACTTATATTATAGAGATAGGAGGTATACTATAAAGTATTATAATAACCCCTAAGTAGGTATTCTAGCTAACTTAGCATAAGGCCTAAACCTTAAACTAGTTATCTTAAGGAGGGCTTAAGAAGGCAAGGCCTACCTGTTTAAGCTACTACCTACTA